CTCGCTGACTTAGTTGATGCATGTCATCGTATCCCAATTGCGTGGATCGATGCTCAGGATATCAATCACTGGATTGTCTGGCCCAAACTCGATTATTTACAGATCGCCGTCATATAGCTGGAATATTGCTGAGTGCGGCGTTAAACAACAAACAAACAAACAAACAAATCATATGGTTGAATCAAGATATAACTTAAGTCAACTTCAGTGTATGTATGACCAGATTGTTTACTACCAGGGCTATGGTAAAAAGGATTCCCTAGCAGATATGTTGTACCTATCTCTTGAGACCTACACAGAGTACCCCGGTAGGGTCGGGTAATAGAGGTGTGGGTACCCGGGTCGTAAATCTGGACTCGTCCCAGTCCTACTCACGATAAGATTTTTTCTCAAATCATTCCATACGATGTCAGAAAAAACATTGCACGCAAACCATCGTTGTCTTTGTCTTTTCAGCAATAATTAAGTTTCAAAACAGCTGTTATGTTGAGTACCATGTATTCTACCGTGCGTTATTGTTAGTGGGGAGTTGTTTAAAGCACATGGTACATGTGTTCAACTTCAAACTGCTGATATTAATTATGTTGTGAAATGAAATAGTTCAACTCTCTTTCAATGTTACTACAAACTGTTACCCCAACAATAGAGGATGGCGTGTTCGCAAGGGCAAGCCAGTTGGTAAAAGTTTAAATAGGGTTTTAATTTTGTCACTGGTGCTTCAAATATGGAAATGTCCTCCACACGTCTGTCATAACACTGTTTGAAAACGTTTCTGTGGCCAAGCAAGTTGTGAGCTTGATCAAACACCTCTTGAGCATAAGTAGTATGACGCTCTTTGAAATTTTCGTAGAAAGAGGATGTTCGATTGCATAAAGCAGAGTCGATTTACGATTCCGACTATATCATGAGCATGTGTTTATGAATCACTATCAAACAGTAATGATACCAGGCGTTCGCGAAAAGGTGAGCGTATACTGCCCACCTGTCACAAACACATGCAAAGGCAAGTCAATTGTTCACCCGCAAAAAATATGGGAACATATGGTACAAATCAAAATAGGGAATTACATCGGACATCATTTTTGTCACTGACGCCTCAAATTTGGAAATGTCCTCTTTTTGAAACTTTGAATTTTTTTAACTTTTTGAAAGCCTCTAATGTTGTAACCTTGGAAATCTTGGTAGAAAAAGCATGCTCGATTGTATCTCATACGTTGCGGAATGTAAACACCAAAGGCTGGAGCTGCTGGAATATTGCTCGACATGAAGGGAGAGTTGACTATTGGAAAGTTGAAGTCATCCCTCTTATCATAATTCTTGTGGAGAGTGTTTTGTCACCCTGAATCTTTATGCATAGATCTAAATATGAAACAGATAAGGCGGTCTCACTAGTCTCCTTTATTTCTAGTTCCGGTAGGTAAATCAGTGGCAGGGAATTTGCCATTTGATTGCTATTGAACGATATCAGATCATCGATATACCTAAAACTTAAGTTAAACTTCTTGGCCAAATTTACCTTGTTTTGACTTTGGCAATCCGAACAGAAATTCCGATTTATATATTCATTCATAAAGCAACAGATCAAGAAATGGAGCAGAATTGGTGCCCATGGGGATGCCTACTTCTTGCCTAAATGTCTTGCCCGCAGATGTTATGAATGAGGAAGTCCAGGATTTCACATATATTTTTCTCAGTAAACTTCAGATGCCATATGCTTTCATTTTTCACAAATTGTCCTGAACCTCTGAATATAATTACGTCAGTGTATCGGTGTATACCACGTTTTGTAACAAAAGCCCCATGGATCAAGGAATGAAGATTTTCCTTAACTTTGTCATTTGGGATAGTGGTGTACAAAGTTGAAGAATCAAATGTTTTGATAGAATGGAACTTGGTTCTTTTCTGAGAATGCAAAACATGAAGCAAATCCTTTGAGTGTTTGAGAATCCATATGGTTTTGGTCCACATACCTATTAGTCATACATACATATTAGTCTCAAATACCTTCTGTGAACGTAAAGAAAGTCCTTCCTGTGAACATAAAGTATGATTGTATTAAGGATTATGGCCAGTCTTCGAGACAGGGATTTGGTGGTACATTTGCTGGACCGAGCAATGTATCTCTCTTTGTACGGATTTTTAGGGAGCTTTGGAATCAAGTATAAAAGAGGAATGGACATGTCTTCAGGTTTTAGAGGCAAGTCAAAAGTTGACAGTACTGATTTATGGTTTTGGCAGATTTCTTCCTGAGTTAGCATACTGGCCTTATTTGATATCTCATTTATACCAAGTTCTTTGATCAAACAGTTAATGTAGTGATACATACATATAATGGTTATGTTAATTTAGGCCTTGTCAGTGGGTACAACTTCAAACCTTTCATGTAGGGAAGCCATACTTTGGATAACAGCTGGCTGGGACAGAATGGGTTTATTCCAATTCCGTTTCCTCTTTTTAAGTTTGTGCATTCTACCACTGACAACATCACGCACTAACTTAACCCATTCTGAAAGACATTCAACAGGTTTCTCTTTTCTGTTGGCCCATTTATGGGCATATTCTTCGACAGCATCCATAATGATTTTAAAGTTGTGATCCCAATTGGTAGGACTGACGAAGGTTGTTATTGTAAACAATAGGGAAATCACCTGTGATTATATGACCTGCAGGTTGATAGCAGTATAATAAGCCTTGGTAGCCACAAGTAGTGGAATTTACGTCACATGGGCTGCCAAGTCCACGTTCTGCAATACGTTCCTATAATTGAACAACCTGGATGAAATTGTGTTCGTATAGGAAAATGAAATTGTTGAGGGTTCCTTAAAAAATTAGAAATACTGTGGGACATTTTGGGAAACTGATCTTTGTCTGAGAATGTTACGTAAATTTAAGGCATCAATTCCCTTATTTTGCAGATTTCAAATTCAAGAAATTGCGGTCGTTGTCTGATTTAGTGGAGTCTGTTTCTGGTTTGGCCAACCGTTTTAAAGCAGGCTTGATATGCTGGAATAGTATCGACACGAAGGAAAAGTTTACTGTGGGAAAGTTAAGTTCTCCCTCGTGTCACACAGTCTTGTGGAGTGTTTGTTTTCACTCTGAATCTTTATGCAGAGATATTAAATATGAAACAGTTCCGGCGTTTTCCGTTATCAGATCATCCATACACCTGAAGCTCAAGTTACTCATCTTGGCCAAATTCCTTTGTTTTAATTTCGCCATTCCGAGCAGAAATTCCGCTTCTTGGGCATAAAGAAACAGATCAGGAAGAGGAGGAGGACAATTGGTGCTCATGGGGATGCTTATTTCCTACCTAATGTCTAACCCAACAATAAAAATCACACAGATGTTATCAATGAACAGATATGTAACTACATTGTATGTCTATAAAGGTTTTGTTTCAAATACCTCATGGATGAAGGAATGACGTTTTCCCGTAAGTTGTCGTGTCGGATAATGATGTACAAAGTTGAAAAATCAAGTGTTTTGACAGAATAGAACGTGGTTGTTTTCTGAAACAAGCAAATCCTTTGAGTTTTTAAATCCACATTGTAATAATTCTACTTGTTTCAAATGCTTCTGTGAATACCAAGAAAATACTTCCTTCATTGTATTAAAGATTATGGTTAATATTTGAAAAAAGTATTCCACCAAACGACACGCAACGCTTGCCTGACGTGTTGTGTCAATCATGTCGGACAGGAAGCGACGAGATGACATTCGCAAATAGACGATAGTTACCCCTCAGGAACTTAGTGCTGGGCCTTCAGAACACCCGTCGTTTTCCCCCATAATTTTCTCCTCGGAACATTCACTGAATATCAGATTGGTTCCATTATTAATGCGCTAGTTCGTGTTAAGTTTTTTCTTGAAGATACGGGGAAGAATAGGTCTTCAGCAACCCATGCTTGCCGTAAAAGGTGACTATGCTTGTCGTAAAAGGCGACTAACGGGATCGGGTGGTCAGACTCGCTGACGTGGTCATCGTATCCCAATTGCGTGGATCGATGGTCATGATGTCAATCACTGAATTGTCTAATGCATACTCGATTCTTTACCGACCGCCGTCATATAACTGGAATATTGCAACCAGCCTGTTTCCAATAGGTCAATTTTGTCCTCCCAAAATAACTCTGATACATGTATATTGTGACAAAAAGATTCATGCACATAAAAATGTTCATAGGTGTACGATAACTAGGTTCTATGATTAAGGAAACTATGCATGTTAGAGCCTGAAGCAAGTAGATCAATAGGATTAATATTTTTGGATGATTCATTATAACTTTACATAATCAAATATTCATTCACAATCAATCCTTGAATGGTCACAGTATGAATATGTGGGTGTGGTATATGTGTTTCGTACATCATCCTCTGGCAAAATCCCTCATATATATTTCCTCAGCTTGGTTGGTAATCATAGAGTCTGCTTCAATTGGATTTGTTTATTGGCAAGAACAATGACTGACGCCCCGATGCCCAAGAAACAATTTCTACAGTTTTGCCTAAACTGTTTACATGAGCGTTTAAGAAGATGACCACGGGGATTGATAGTCTCAAGCTTCACTTTACATACTTGTCATGTAAAATGTGCCATAAAATAGACCCGTGAAGATTCCAGGGTAGAAAAGGTCTTCAGCAACCCATGCTTGCCGTAAAAAGTGACTATGCTTGTCGTAAAAGGCGACTAACGGGATCGGGTGGTCAGGCTCGCTGACTTGGTTGACGCATGTCATCGATCCCAATTGCGTGGATGGATGCTCATGATATTAATCACTGGATTATCTGGTCCAGACTCGATTATTTACAGACCGGCGTCATATAGCTGGAATATTGCTGAGTGCTGCGTTAAACAACAAACCAACCAACCAAAGCCATAAAATAATGGCTGTGTAAGTACATCTAATTCAAACTATCTGATCTAGATAAGGTCACATGTTTTCGATGTATATCACAAGAGAAACTTATAGATAAGAAAGCGATATAAGTGTAACGTCTCAACACTATCTCTCACTTCTCGCTCACAATGATCGGAACAGTCGTCTCGTCTGCCGTGCTCTTGGCTCTTGTCGTTTACTCCGAGTCTGCATCACTTCCGGTGGTGGCAGTTGCAGTTGACAAATGTGTCCATCAAAATAAGACGTACATGGTTGGTGAAAAGACCGACAGCGCGTGTATGCCCTGCGAGTGCACGCCTAGCGGCCGTATGGCCTGCCTGGTTATTGATTGTTTCTTCGCCCCTCCATGTGTCGACCATGTGACGAAGCCGGGGCAGTGCTGTGCGACTTGTCCAAACGGTATTTAACCACTTATTTCTGTCAAGATATCGTGTTCTACTTTATAGACTGGAGGGGTGGTCGGTTGGCCTAGTGGTTAAAGAGTTCGCTCGTCACGCTGAAGACCCGGGTTCGATTCCCGACATGGGTACAATGTGTGAAGCCCATTTCTGGTGTCCCCCGCCGTGATGTTGTTGGAATATTGCTAGAAGCGGCGTAAAACCATACTCACACACTCACTTATAGACTGGAAGTTATAGAATGGTTGTGTGATAAAGCTGCTACAAATATTAATGCTTTGAAATAGTGTTGACGCATAGTTTTGAAGAACGCATTTGGTCGTGATAATTATTTTCTCAAATCAAACCGTCGTTATTTGTGCTTTGTCAGCCATAATTACAGATTTCAATAATCAACTTCTAGAATGCCAATCAAGCAGTTAGTTATAAATGTCTGTGGTATATTGCTGGAATTGATGGAATTAGTGGCGTAAAACAATATTCACTCACTCTCTATGAAGTTGCGTTGCATTGATGTCCTCTCATACGGCTATGCCAGAACTGTAAGCAGTGCTTAGCTCTTCACTTGATGGTGAACATGGTCTTATGCCTTCACAAGAATTGGCAATCATTTGGTAATATGTCATTGTGACGGTTTAGTGTTGTGTACAAAAAACGTAAAAAACGTATGTCGAACAGTTTGTAGCCACATGTTACTTCCAGCCATTCCTCTATCTTATCTGCTTTAATATAGGTCACGTGACCAATCCTGTCCTCGTGGGTTGTGAGTCCGGCAGCAAGTTTCAGTCATGCTTTTTTTTTTTCTATCCGTCTGCTTCCTTCCACTGTTCACTAGTGAGGCTGCTTCCATAGCAACCAATAATGACATTTGTGTCATTGGAAACAAAACGTATCATGCGGGAGAGGCCATTAGTGACAACCCCTGTAGACCATGCAGGTGCGGAGGGGGTAATGCCATCTCCTGTATGATAGTGGACTGTGCCATGCCTATGTGTGTGGATCCTACCAGAAAGGATGGCAAGTGTTGTCAGTATTGCCCCAATGGTAAGAAATATTGTCAAGGATCCGTTTCCATCTCGTGATAGGGCTGTCATCCCCATGTTCTCGGGTTTCGCCAAATGATGCATGTCATCGTATCCCAATTGCTTGGATTGATGCTCATGATGTCAATCACTGGATTGTCTGGTCCAGACTCGATTATTTACAGACCGCTCATATAGCTGGAATATTGCTGAGTGCGGCGTTAAACAACAACCAACCAACCAAATGGGCAATCGTCAACGACCTGCTAGACTTTCTCACATAGTAAGCTGTGACGCTGGAATGTAACATTATTCCTGTTTAAAGGAGTATTTTACTAAATGTAGACTCATGTGACAGAGAATGTCAAGATCAATGACGTTGATTACTTGAAGTTGTCATCGGACGTTCTTTTAAAACTATAAAATGCGTTATTTAAACTTCCTGAATTACATCACATTACATTGTTGTCTCGACAAAATATGGATCATTTAGATTTCAAACTCCGATACACTAAAAATAACAACATACCTTGTTCCTGTTCATTGTCATTTTGAATATACAGTAAACTACGGTTATAACGAACACGCTTATAACGAACTGACGGATATAACGAATTCATTGTTTTGTCCTGGCCATTTGCTGTATATATGCTGTATGGATGCTTATAACGAACTACGGTTATAACGAACTAAAATTGGCCGTCCCTTTGAGTTCGTTTTAACCGTAGTTTAATGTACCGTTAGATGACGCCAATGGAGACTTCAACGCCTGAACAGGGCTTGTCATTCGAAGTCTGAACAAGAACAAATACAATCTAAAACCCCTTCTAGCCACCCACTTCGAAGAATGGTAGGTTACGACGATTATTGCATGGGGTTCGACATGCGTGTAGGCCCTGTAGTCTATCCGATCTGTACTGTCTATGTCTGTGTTGCATGCATGTAGGGCCTGTAGTCTATCCGATCTGTACTGTCTATGTCTGTGTTGCATGCGTGTAGGGCCTGTAGTCTATCCGATCTGTACTGTCTATGTCTGTGTTGCATGCGTGTAGGCCCTGTAGTCTATCCGATCTGTACTGTCTATGTCTGTGTTGCATGCGTGTAGGGCCTGTAGTCTATCCGATCTGTACTGTCTATGTCTGTGCTGCATGCGTGTAGGGCCTGTAGTCTATCCGATCTGTACTGTCTATGTCTGTGTTGCATGCGTGTAGGGCCTGTAGTCTATCCGATCTGTACTGTCTATGTCTGTGTTGCATGCGTGTAGGCCCTGTAGTCTATCCGATCTGTACTGTCTATGTCTGTGTTGCATGCGTGTAGGGCCTGTAGTCTATCCGATCTGTACTGTCTATGTCTGTGTTGCATGCGAGTAGGGCCTGTAGTCTATCCGATCTGTACTGTCTATGTCTGTGTTGCATGCGTGTAGGGCCTGTAGTCTATCCGATCTGTACTGTCTATGTCTGTGTTGCATGCGTGTAGGCCCTGTAGTCTATCCGATCTGTACTGTCTATGTCTGTGTTGCATGCGTGTAGGCCCTGTAGTCTATCCGATCTGTACTGTCTATGTCTGTGTTGCATGCGTGTAGGGCCTGTAGTCTATCCGATCTGTACTGTCTATGTCTGTGTTGCATGCGTGTAGGGCCTGTAGTCTATCCGATCTGTACTGTCTATGTCTGTGTTGCATGCGTGTAGGGCCTGTAGTCTATCCGATCTGTACTGTCTATGTCTGTGTTGCATGCGTGTAGGGCCTGTAGTCTATCCGATCTGTACTGTCTATGTCTGTGTTGCATGCGTGTAGGGCCTGTAGTCTATCCGATCTGTACTGTCTATGTCTGTGCTGCATGCGTGTAGGGCCTGTAGTCTATCCGATCTGTACTGTCTATGTCTGTGCTGCATGCGTGTAGGGCCTGTAGTCTATCCGATCTGTACTGTCTATGTCTGTGCTGCATGCGTGTAGGGCCTGTAGTCTATCCGATCTGTACTGTCTATGTCTGTGCTGCATGCGTGTAGGGCCTGTAGTCTATCCGATCTGTACTGTCTATGTCTGTGTTGCATGCGTGTAGGGCCTGTAGTCTATCCGATCTGTACTGTCTATGTCTGTGCTGCATGCGTGTAGGGCCTGTAGTCTATCCGATCTGTACTGTCTATGTCTGTGCTGCATGCGTGTAGGGCCTGTAGTCTATCCGATCTGTACTGTCTATGTCTGTGCTGCATGCGTGTAGGGCCTGTAGTCTATCCGATCTCTACTGTCTATGTCTGTGCTGCATGCGTGTAGGGCCTGTAGTCTATCCGATCTGTACTGTCTATGTCTGTGTTTCAGGACGGAACTGCAAGTTTGGCGATCACATTATCAAGGAGGGGGAAACGTACAAGCCAGACACTAAGACCGAGTGTAAATGCAACACCCACGTATTCGGGATGGCCTCCCTGAAAGCTGTGTGTGCCACGACTGCCTCCATCGCCTAATGTGCCAAAGTTCAGAAATAAATGTATGACTAACAGGTGTGGTCATTTCGGGTCCTTTGTTATTCTTCTGATGTAACCATGTTTGTTTTGTTTGTTTATTTGTTGTTTAACGCAGCACTCAGCAATATTCCAGCTATATGACGGCAGTCTGTATGTAATCGAGTCTGGACCAGATAATCCAGTGATTAATATCATGAGCATCCATCCACGCAATTGGGATCGATGACATGCGTCAACCAAGTCAGCGAGCCTGATCACCCGATCCCGTTAGTCGCCTTTTACGACAAGCATAGTCACTTTTTACGACAAGCATGGGTTGCTGAAGACCTTTTCTACCCCGGAATCTTCACGGGTCTATTTTATGGTACATTTTACATGACAAGTATGTAAAGTGAAGCTTGAGACTATCAATCCCCGTGGTCATCTTCTTAAATGTAAATGTATGACTAACAGGTGTGGTCATTTCGGGTCCTTTGTTATTTTTCTGATGTAACCATGTTTGTTTTGATCGTTAATTTGTTGTTTAACGCAGCACTCAGCAATATTCCAGCTATATGACGCCAGTCTGTAAGTAATCGAGTCTTGACCAGTTAATTCAGTGACTGATATCATGAGCATCGATCCTGTCAAATTTGGATCGATGACATGCATCAACCTAGTCAGCGAGCCTGACCACCCGATTCCGTTAGTCACCTCTTACGACAAGCATAGTCGCCTTTTTACTACAAGCATGAGTTGCTGAAGACCTATTCTCGGATCTACACCCTGACCTTCACGGATGTAAAATGCGTGACACCTATCACAGATACCCATCGTCATATGGTCTGAGAGTCAAACAAAACTCACTCACTCACTCCTGTATTCAAGGACGCACAGAAAGAAAGAAGAAATGTCATTTTTAACAAAATCAATTCAAAACATTTCTTGTAAACAATAAACCAGGTCACTGTCACGGTACTCCTTTTCTTAGCTTATTTCGGGGGCACGGGTGGCCCAGTCGTCTAAGACGCCGCGATTCGCTGTGCAGAGTTGCGTCCATAGGGAACGCCAGAAACCTATGATTGTGGGTTCGAATCCCGGTTCGCCCCCGATTATGTTTCTAGGTTTGTCAGCACCATATTCGAAGTGGTAAACGTCTGAGACCTGCATCACTTCAGGCTTTCCTCCCACATTAAGCTGACACGCCGAGATATAACTGGAATACTGTTAAAAGCGGCGTTAAACCAAACTCACTCACTCACTCACTCACTCACTCACTTATCACTCTTATTTCGACCCACACTGGAACCCAATGAGTTCAAGACCCCACAGATACGGAGGATGGCAAACATCGACCCAACAAACAGCATGGCTTCCGTTACTTTATTGTCACCAATGCGTGCTATACATTAGGTGTGGGTGGTGTTACAGACAGCTCGGTAGGCGGGGCCGTACTGCTTGGGGACGAACTCACACCGACAGGTCACACCCCCCTCCGTGTACACCTCCCCCTACTTCAGCACCTTGTCGCCATGTTGACAGTTTAGACCTGTAAAAAGGCGAAAAAAACTTGTGTTTATAATCGTAAGAAATCTGTGCTGAGGCAAGTCAATTAGCAGCCTGAAAAAACACAGAAACACGTAGTCATAAATACAAAAAAGTTCACCGTCATTGTTCGTTTCGTACTGCAACTGAGATAGCGTTTGAAACGGGGACCATTGGGCAGATATCACGGAACAGTCCCACAGTAATAATTCACTCTCACTCACTCACTCACTCACTCACTCACTCACTCACTCACTCACTCACTCACTCACTCACTCACTCACCCACCCAACTCACTCACTCACTCACCCGACCACTCACTCACTCACTCAGCAGTGGGCACTCTTTTCTATGCAGCCTACATCATTCCCTAGCATACAGCTCAGATCACTTTTAAGACATTGGGCTATGGGGGAAGATGACTCACTTGACATTTGTGTTAAGCCACTCAATTTGCGTTGAACCACTCACTCACTCTCACTTTGGCCCGGTGAACATTATCTTATACCTTCACGAGAATTGGCAATCATTGGGTCATATGGCATTATGGCGGCCTTCCCGGGTAGAATAGGTCTTCAGCAACCCATGCTTGCTGTAAAAGGCGACAACGCTTGTCGTGCGAGGCGGCTAACGGGATCGGGTGGTCAGGCTCGCTGGCTTGGTTGATGCATGTCATCGGTCCCAACCACGTGGATGGATGCTCATGTTGTCAATCAGCTAGAATATTGCTGAGTGCAGCGTTAAACAACAATCCAAACCAAACCACTCACTCTCAGCCATACTCAATAACTCGCTTACTGTCTTAATACGGCAATTCTTACCATCCGGGCACTCCTGACAACACTGGGATGACAGGTAGACCGGGTTGACACAATGTGTCGGCGAACAGGTGATGTACACACAGTTGACCGAGCGGCCCTCGGCACAGACACAGGGCTGACATGTACTCTTCATGAAAGTCTCCCCGATGGCAAAGGCCTTGCTTCCATAATAGCAGGTAGTCGTGGTGTCGAGGGTCGTCAATGGAGAGCCAATGCAGATTGCGATTATTCCACAACAAACTACCCACGTTGCTTTCTGCATGTTTCCAATGGCGTATGTAGTTTACAACAATCTTGTGTTGCAATGGTCTACTTAGATAACAACGTATGAGCAATGTGTTGACGTTTTGAATGCCATAAATAAAATGCCATAAATGAAATTCAAAATGTGATGGGTGAATTTCTTAAACATTTGAGTCCAAACATTTAAGTCGACACATAGATAATTCTTGGCCACAGATATAAAATGCCTTATACGACTTGAGCTGAAATACCCGGAATCCTGACAAGCTGGGCCGAGTTGCTGGCAAGCAATGTTACCAGCCATGATTAGCAGCCATTTGTCCGCACTATCAACGATTGGCTTTACAAGAATCAACTGCTATGGTTAGAAGTCCTTCACAGGTAGCCATGAAAAACATCAACGCCAAGCTGAATAATAACCCGTGTCAATCCTTGAAATGTCTGGTCCAGACTCGACTATTTACAACCGCCGCTATATAGCTGGAATATTGCGGAGTGCGGCGTTAAACACAATACTAACAAACAATCTCAGGTGAAGACGTGGACCACATATACGTATGGAAGCTGGACAGCGACATCATCTCAATGTGTTTTATGCTTACTATGGCTTCGGCAGCACATCAGACTCTGCCACGACTATTTAACAACAAGGGGCCATACTAATCTTATTGCTGCGGTTGAGTCGCCCAGTGGCCTGTGTTCGATTCCCCACATGGATAAAACGTGTGACACTCATCCCAGATACCCATCATCATATGACCTCACCCATCATCATATGGCCTCACCGATCATCATATTGCCTCAACCATCATCATATGGCCTCACCCATCATCATGTGGTCTCACACATCATCATATAACCTCACCCATCATCATATTGCCCCAACCATCATCATATGGCCTCACCCATCATCATATGACCTCACCCATCATCATGTGGTCTCACACATCATCATATGACCTCACCCATCATCATGTGGCCTCACCCATCATCATATCGCCTCACCCATCATCATATGGTCTCGACCATCATCTTGTGGTCTCACACATCATCATATGGTCTCGACCATCATCATGTGGTCTTACACATCATCATATGGTCTCGACCATCATCATGTGGTCTTACACATCATCATATGGTCTCGACCATCATCATGTGGTCTTACACATCATCATATGGTCTCGACCATCATCATGTGGTCTCACACATCATCATGTGACCTCACCCATCATCATATGGTCTCGACCATCATCATGTGGTCTTACACATCATCATATGGTCTCGACCATCATCATGTGGTCTCACACATCATCATGTGACCTCACCCATCATCATATGGCCTCACCCATCATCATATGACCTCACCCATCATCATATGGTCTCGACCATCATCTTGTGGTCTTATACATCATCATATGGTCTCGACCATCATCATGTGGTCTTACACATCATGTGGCCTTACCCATCATCATATGACCTCGCCCATCATAATGTGGTCTCATACATCATGTGGCCTTACCCATCATCATATGGCCTGGCCACTCATCATATGGCCTCACCCATCATCATGTGGTCTCACCCATCATCATGTGGTCTATCCATCATAATGTGGCCTCACCCATCATCATGTGGTCTCACCCATCATCATGTGGTCTATCCATCATAATGTGGCCTCACCCATCATCATGTGGTCTCACCCATCATCATGTGGTCTCGACCATCATCGTGTGGTCTATCCATCATCATATGGCCTGACCACACATCATATGGCCTCACCCACCATCATGTGGTCTCACACATCATATGGCCTCACCCATCATTATATGACCTGACATTTGCTAAAGCAGCACCAGACAATACTCACTCACTAATATTTCGAAACATTACTTTAGTAGTTCAACATCTGATCTGACGACGATGTCGAGCAATAAATCTGTCACTGTTCTCCTTTTCCGACCCAGTTTAGAATCTAATGACGGTGTTAAAGCCCCACAAATACGGAGGATGGCAAACATCGACCCAACAAACAACATGGCTTCCGTTACTTTATTGTCACCAAAGCGTGCAATACATTAGGTGTGGGTTGTGTTACAGACAGCTCGGTAGGCGGGGCCGTACTGCTGGGGGACGAACTCACACCGACACGTCACACCCCCCTCCGTGTACACCTCCCCCTCCTTCAGCACCTTGTCGCCATGTTGACAGTTTAGACCTGTAAAAAAACCGACAAAACTTTGTTTATAATCGTAAGAAATCTGTGCTGAGGCAAGTCAATTAGCATCCTGAAAAAAACAGGTACAAGTCACACTAGGATTCTGCATCGGAGATTTTTGGTCACTTTAGTGTCAAATTTGTAAATGTCCCCCATGTGTGTCTACCATACATCGTCTTGAAAGCATTACTTAGGCCTTGAACGTTGGAAAGTTTATCAAACAACTATTGAACAAGAGTATGATGGGTTTTAAATTATTAACATACACCCACCAAATGGTCAATATAACGTTTTTAAGACGTCGACTTTAAGATTCATCTTTCATGTGTATAACAATGGCATGTTTCAACAAACGCCTGGTACACGTCTAAATAAAACCGACAAAAGCCTTTCAATGATCTTAAGAAATCTCATCTTCTCTAAACAAGGGGATTAACTGACCATAAAAGTCCAGTTTCAACCCTTGCCGATCTAGGCTGTAATTTCCAGGCTCGATTCTAGCGACACCAGTAGCTAGTACGAGTTATGTCCCTTCTATGTCCCTCCTATTGACCAATCAGAGTCCACCTCTCATAACACATGCATGTTGATCCAAACAAAATGGCGGCGGCCAATCAAGACGATTTGATCAATTTCATTAACAATTAATAATCACTGCCTCAGAGACACCCCGTGCATATGGATTGTCGCACAACACTTTGATTAAAAACATGGAAAAGATTTAGAAAATATCTGTCGACGCCAGTTGACGGTTCGCATGCTTTCGAAAACCTGCAATCGACCGAATGTTGTTACGAACACGATGACGATTTCGTTGCGTGATTTTGATTGGACTATGCAAATACTCGTTAGTCAAGCCAAGATATAACTAAGAAAGTCAAGGTTACTTCGGCAAAGGTGGAAACTATTATAGTCAGTTAACTCCCTTGCCGCGGGAAGATGAGCAAGTCTCTGAAAGCAGAATCCTCGGGTTCCACCCCGCATTTCAGTGGGGGCACGGGTGGCCCAGTCGTCTAAGGCGCCGCGATTCGCTGTGCAGAGTTGCGTCCCTTTGGCACGCCAGAAACCTGTGATTGTGGGTTCGAATCCCGGTTCGCCCCGATTATGTTTCTAGGTTTGTCAGCACCATACCCGTGCTCGTGGGTTTCACCGAAGTGGTAAATGTCTGAGACCAGCATCACTTCGGGCTTTCCTCTCACATTAAGCTGACACGCCGTGATATAACTGGAATACTGTTAAAAGCGGCGTAAAACCAAACTCACACACTCAGTCACTCAATAACAGTGGGCAGAGGTGGCCCAGTCGTCTAAGGCGCCACAATTCGCTGTTTAGAGAGTTGCGTCCCCTGGACACGCCAGAAACCTATGATTTTGGATTTGAATCCCGGTTCGCCCCAATTATGTTTCTGGGTTTGTCAGCACCATACCCGTGCTCGTGGGTTTCCCCAAAGTGGTAAACGTCTGAGACCTGCATCACTTCGGGTTTTACTCCCACATCAAGCTGACACGCCGCGATATGACTGGAATGCTATTGAAAGTAGGTTTGAACCCACTCAATCACTCACTAACACTGATCTTACCATCGGGGCACTCCTGACAGCACTGGGATGATAGGTAGGCTGGGTTGACACAATGTGTCGGCGAACAGTTGATGTACACACAGCTGATTGAGCGACCTTCAACACACACGCAAGGCTGACACGCGCTCTTCAAGAAAGTCTCCCCGATGGCGATGGCCTTGGTTGCGTAATGACAGGTAGTCGCGGGGTCTAGGGTCGTCAATGGAGAGCCGAGGCAGGTTGTGATAATACCACAACACACTACCCATGTTACTATCTGCATGTTTCCAATGTCGTATGTAGTTTACAATAACCTTGTGTTGCAATGGTCTACATAGATAACAACATATGACACATGTGTTGACGCTCTGAATGATATACATAAGAATAATGGAAGCTCTTTTGATATAAGTGTGATGGTTGGATTTCTTAGATATTTGGGGGCGGTCGGGTAGCCTAGTGGTTAAAGCGTTCGCTCGCCACGCCTAAGACCCGGGTTCGATTCCCGACATGGGTACAATGTGTGAAGCCCATTTCTTGTGTCCCCCGCCGTGATATTGCTGGAATATTGCTAAAAGCGGCGTAAAACCATACTCACTCACTCACTCACTCACTCACTCACTCAATCACTCACTCACTCACTCACTCACCCACTCACCCACTCACCCACCCTTAGATATTTGAGTAGATGTAGTTACAAGCTATACTTAGCAGCCATTTTATCCAAACTATTCCCGATCGGCGTTTACAAGAATTAACAGCAATGGTAAGAAGTACCTAAAAGGGAGCCATTAAAACATCTACAACAATCACCTTGGTGAACCCCGTGAAGATCCGGGTTACAATTGTCTTTAGATACCCATGCTTGTCGTAAGAGGTGACTAACGGGATCAGGTTGTCATACTCGTTGACTTGGTTGATGCATGTCATGGTAGTCCAATTGCGCAGATCGATGCTCATGATGTCAATCATTAAATTGTCCGGTCCAGACTCGAATATTTACAACCGACAGCGGTGAAGACCAACAGATACTTTATTGTCACCAATGCGTGCAATACATTAGGTGTGGGTGGTGTTACAGACAGCTCGGTAGGCGGGGCCGTACTGCTGGGGGACGAACTCACGTCGACAGGTCAAACCCCCCTCCTTGTACACCTCCCCCTCCTTCAGCACCTTGTCGCCATGTTGACAGTTTAGACCTGGAACAAGCATCATTTCCTCAGCACCTGGGAGGTGAACATTTCGCGAAACTTTCGTCGCATTTTGTAATTCATCGGAACAGACACACTTAGAACGGATATTTAGCAAATACAAAGGACGTATTTAGGTAATACTGTCCTAACTACGTCAATTATTAAGCTTGTTAGTGTTTCCGCGTTACCTAGATTGAATTTGCATATTAGCAATGACATTTTATAAACATTAGGTAAGGACATCGCAATGTGCCGAGTTGACGTGCCGGGATCCCCTGATAGTGGGTTGAAGCTGACCCCAATGAAATGTTTCTCGTGCATCAGCGCGCCCTTTTTAATCCTGTGTCTGCCATGTGTATTGCAAATACAACAAATTCTAATTTTCCGCGCCATATGAAGCTGACTCTGCAGAGGAAGTAACTGCAGCATCTTCCTGAGGCAAGAGAGTTGACTGACTTTAAAAGTCCAGTTTCCACCCTTACCGAACTAGGCTGGAATTTCTGGGCTCGATCGTAGCGCCATCAGTTGCTGTTAGGAGTTATGTCCCTTCTATGCCTCTCCTATGGACCAATCAGATTCCACCTCTCGTGTCACTTGCATTTGCTTCAAACAAAATGGCGGCGCCCAGTCAAGACGATCTGATCGACAATCTAGATTTATATTGTGATAAAACGGTTCTTACTTCGCGTAGCGCATCAAATCACGTGAGCACCTTAATTAAAAACATGAAAAGATTTGGAGTATATCTGTTAACAATGAGTTGGCGGTGCACATGTTTTGCAAATCCTGCAATCGACCGAACTCTGCATGACAGTTTTCGAACCGGACTTCGATTTCGTTGCGCGATTCTGATTGGACTATGCATAGACTCGTTAGTCCAGCCAAAGTCTAACTCTATAATACCAGCCTAGTTCGACAAGGGGACTTTTATAGTCAGTTAACTCTCTTGCCTCGGGAAGATGTAACTGCAGTTGTCCGCGTCGGGTCGAATCCTGCGCTGATGTGAGCAAGCCGAGAAGGCGTTGCCAACTGTGAATCGAGAGTCCCGACGACAGGTCTGCCTGCACCAGAGTTTGGAACAAGATCCAAAGTGTCAGCGGAACGAGGAGGAGGACTCGACGTGTGTCGAATAGACCCCAGATGAACTGAAGGGCTTGGGAGGGAATCAACGCCGACTTCTCTGAGGCGATTTGCCAACCGAGTTGCTGAATAACCCGGAGAGTAAATCCGATCTGGTCGTGAAGCAACCGAGACGAGGGGTCGCTCATCAGGCAGTCGTCTGGGTGCGAACTGAAGAGGATCCCCCGCTGGTGTAGGAACGTCCCTAGGGGCTTGGTGACACGAGTGAAAGGCCACGGGGCCGTAGATTATCCATGCTTGACAAGTGATTTTGTATAAAAGAGCCGAGTCCCATGGTTTCCCATGTGTGTCTTTTGGTATTCTTAGTGGGGAATTAGTAAAAGATGCTCTTCCTCGTCACATTGTTTCCAATACAAAATATAAAACTGTCCCATCTCCAACCTCACGTTTCAGAAAAATGTTCCAGGAAAACATTCATTTATGGGCAAGGGGCAAGAAACAACTCATTTTACAATGGCGTTGAACACCACTCACTCACTCACTCACTTATCCACACCCAATAACTCTTAACGCAACTCTTACCATCGGGGCACTCCCCACAGCACTGGGATGACGAGTAGGTTGGGTTGACACAATGTGTCGGCGCACAATTGATGTACACACAGTTGACAGAGGGGCCATAATTTTCTTCAGCACAAACACAGGGCTGGCACTCGTTCTTCATGAAAGTCTCCCCGATGGCGAAGGCCTTGTTGCCATACTGGCAGCTACCCCGGGGGTCAGCGGTCGTCAATGGAGAACCGAAGCAGGTTGCGATAATTATCAATAATCCAAAACTAGCGGCCCACGTTGCTATCTGCATGTCGTCCATGTCGCGTGTAGGTTACTACAGATTTGTGTTGTGATAGTCTACATAGATAATGGAGAATACAAACTGTGAAGTGGAACCAGTGCATTGTCTTGAATACCCTGTAACTGTATGTGGTAAAGTAGGAGGTACCCGTACTCCCTGTGACTGTAGATGTTGAAGTAGCGGGTACCCGTACTCCCTGTGACTGTAGATGTTGAAGTAGCGGGTACCCGTACTCCCTGTGTCTGTAGATGTTGAAGTAGCAGGTACCCGTACTCCCTGTGACTATAGATGTTGAAGTAGCAGGTACCCGTACTCCCCGTGACTGTATGTGTTGAAGTAGGAGGTACCTGTACTCCCTGTGACTGTAGATGTTGAAGTAGCAGGTACCCGTACTCCCTGTGTCTGTAGATGTTGAAGTAGCAGGTACCCGTACTCCCTGTGACTGTAGGTGTTGAAGTAGTAGGTACCCGTACTCCCTCTGACTGTAGATGTTAAAGTAGGAGGTACCTGTACTCCCTGTGACTGTAGATGTTAAAGTAGGAGGTACCCGTACTCCCTGTGAGTGTAGATGTTGAAGTAGGAGGTACCCGTACTCCCTGTGACTGTAGATGTTAAAGTAGGAGGTACCCGTACTCCCTGTGACTGTAGATGTTAAAGTAGGAGGTACCCGTACTCCCTGTGACTGTATGTGTTGAAGTAGGAGGTACCCGTACTCCCTCTGACTGTAGATGTTAAAGTAGGAGGTACCCGTACTCCCTGTGACTGTAGATGTTAAAGTAGGAGGTACCCGTACTCCCTGTGACTGTATGTGTTGAAGTAGGAGGTACCCGTACTCCCTCTGACTGTAGATGTTAAAGTAGGAGGTACCCGTACTCCCTGTGACTGTAGATGTTAAAGTAGGAGGTACCCGTACTCCCTGTGACTGTAGATGTTAAAGTAGGAGGTACCCGTACTCCCTGTGACTGCAGATATTGAAGTAGGAGGTACCCGTACTCCCTGTGACTGTAGATGTTGAAGTAGCAGGTACCCGTACTCCCTGTGACTGTAGATGTTAAAGTAGGAGGTACCCGTACTCCCTGTGACTGTAGATGTTGAAGTAGGAGGTACCCGTACTCCCTGTGACTGTAGATGTTGAAGTAGCAGGTACCCGTACTCCCTGTGACTGTATGTGTTGAAGTAGCAGGTAACCGTACTCCTTGTGACTGTATGTGTTGAAGTAGGAGGTACCCGCACTCCCTGTGACTGTAGGTGTTGAAGCAACAGGTGCCCGTACTCCCTGTGACTGTAGATGTTGAAGTAGCAGGTACCCGTACACCCTGTGACTGTATGTGTTGAAGTAGCAGGTACCCGTACTCCCTGTAACTGTTTGTGTTGAAGTAGCAGGTATCCGTACTCGTTGTGACGACAGGTGTTCAATTAGCAGGTACCTTCGAATTCGATCCCTAGATTGCGATCGGGAAAAAATCTTAAACCATCTAGTCTAGTTCGGGTCACGGTCGAAGGAACATATTTTCTCATCTAGTTGGTTGGTTCGTGTTCACAGCCAAAAGAAGATCATTTTGAAGTATGTCAGGCGGCAAGGCTAATTTTATACGAATGTCACTCTAAACTGAGACCCGTGAAGATCCGGGGTAGAATAGGTCTTCAGCAACCCAAGCTTGCCGTAAAAGGTGACTATGCTTGTCGTAAAAGGCGACTAACGGGATCGGGTGGTCAGGCTCGCTGACTTGGTTTATACATGTCATCATATCCCAATTTCGTGGATCATGCTCGATGCTCATGATGTCAATCACTGGATTGTCTGGTCCAGACTCGATTATTTACAGAGCGCCGTCATAATGTTGGAATATTGCTGTGTGCGGCGTTAAATAACAAACAAAACGAACAAAACCATATTCTTTTCAAAATTATATGTCACCAACATGTCGATAAAGAAGGTTGTATTGCAATTATTTGTTGACTCCTTCCAGGTAAACTACGTAAGAAAAAAAGTAATAACACCACATATTCTGATTTTTTTAATCAGCAGGAATGTGGACTTTTTTTGCTGCTACACGCAAATGGCATCCACGGTTTCTGGTGGGTACGATTTTACATCCGGGCAGTTGCAGGTGAGCCCACCAATCATAGTCTCTTGTCCGGCAGGAATCACCTGGTTACCATGGCGACAGTTAGGACCTGTTGTAAAACGCACATGATAATGTTACAATATTAGCATAATATCACAAAAGCACAATATATAAAGTTAGTAGCGAATATTGTTTCGGAGACAATGATGGCAAACCCAATTATAGTAAAGGATTAGAAATGATCCTTTGTTTAGTCAACGTGTATTTTGGACCAGAACAGCTTCTGAAGATAGGAGATAATCTACCGATCATCATCTTTGTTATCAGTTGCTACACATATAGGATATGACTTTATAAGTATACTGAATAATTCGACCCCTGAAGATCCGGGGTAGAATAGGTATTCATCATCCCATGCTTGTCGTAAAAGGAGACTATGCTTGTTTTAAGAGGGGACTAACGGGAGCGGGGGGTCAGACTCGCTGACTTGGTTCATGCATGTCATCGGATCCCATCTCCGTGGATCGATGCTCATATCAATCACTGGATTGTCTGGCCCCAGCACGATTATTTACAGTCCGCCACCATATAGCTTGAATATTGCTAAGTGCGACGTTGAACAACAAACAAACAAAACTACATGCAAAAACTCACCATTTGGACAAACAGTACAACACTCCCCCGCTGTCCGGAAGGGGTCCACGCATGCGCTGTCCTGACACATGAGCGCGACGCACGAGATACCCTGATTGACATCGCACACACAGGGCTCACATTCGTTCTTCATGAACTTCTGACCAGGGTGGAAGAACTGAACACCGTACTGACAACCTTGGACGGGTGACCCTTCAGTCGGAGCGGCGTTCAGAAGGAGGCCAAGCAAGACGGCACCAAGCCACATGTCTACACGGCAATCAGGCTGGGTTGTTTGTCGAGATGTTAGTGTACAGGATTGGACTGATAAGAGTCAACAATGCACCTCGTAAAACTGGTTTCTTTACGTTGTTATATCAGTGTAATGGGCTTATTTGAATACTACTCAACCTTTGATAGGGACATTTCTATCATTCCATGAGACATAAGAAGTACATGAAAGTATATTATACACGCACTTGACTATTCAAGTTCCGTTAATCCGACATTGTTGGTTGCATATGATTATGTCGGATTAACGAGTATGTCGGATAAACGAAATTAGGTAGTATCAACGTTCGTGATCGAAAATCGGACTACTACATGATAGCTAACGATTCAAACACGTTGTAATAAAACAAAAGAAAAAAGGGGAATATGTATATGTATAGTCTTGCACTTAAATTTATATAGCGACGTGCATGCAAGTGTGTGTGTGGCTGCTTGAACTATCTAGTCCGAGTATCTAGACTAATGCCGAGTTATAGTGCTAGCCCACTGAGATACCATGCCGCAGTTTAACATGAATATCCCACTCAAACAATGTATACTGAATCCGAGCCGACAAGTCCTTGCATTAGCCCCTTATGCCGAGCGCCAGACAAGGTAACAACAAGTACCATCTTTTAACGAACCGAACCCCTGACCTTCCGCTCTCCGGGCGGACGCTCTACCACTGGACAACGGAGGCGGTCACAGTGGGAGACATATGTGATTATCCTTATCAAAAGATGAGTAGTATATAAGATAAGGCTGTCATTACGTATAGTTGAAAACGTTATTCATACATAAATCCACAGGAACCACAATGGGTAAAAAGTACAGCAAAACTTTGATAACATATCGTCCAGTAAATATGCAAAGAAAACTATATTCCAGCAATATTCTCGATAAATTTCGAAGCTGGTAAAAAATATATATGTATGATATATGCAGCTCGTTTAATATTCTTCATGCACCTCTTGTGACGTCATCCTATTGTTCTCCAGTCGCGTTAATTCTCATATACTGTGATGTTACAATATCCCTGGGATTATAGCAAATGTAACGTCTCCGTGGTACCGGAATGATGTAAAACAAACGACAAAATTAATGTCTTGTCTATTTTTCAAAGGAGCGAACTTGAAACTAGCGCTAATAAATCACGAAGCTTCTAAGGATCTCTTCTTTTCAAGTACACGCACGACAGCAAGACCTAGTGTACGTCCGTTTCCTAAGATCCATAAAAAGTGTGTTGGGAACACAATATTGTTGATAATGCAGTTTCAGATTTGTTTTCGGCTATATGTCAGATAAAAAAACTTCTCGAGTGTTTATCAGATTCAAAACATTCGGTGGTTTGATTATTGTGGGGAAACATGTTCATCCATTTTGTTCATCCATATTCTGATTCCCCTCCCTGTCACAATACTCTAAAGAATTGGCACCTGGGTGATGGGAAAAGATTAAGCTGGTGACGTAATGGGAACGTGCAGGTTGCATAATGTTTTTTCAGTAAGCCAGAACCTCATCGCCATGAGGTTGATAGGGTTATACGAGCCATAATGACAAAGGAATCAGTATATGCGAAAATAATGTAACGGGAACCATTTCACTTGTTTGAAACAAAAGATCATCTTGTTTTGGTACACAAAACTGTTCAAATACATATCCTTGATATCTGGGATGATACATATTTATCGAAAGGCACGCAAACATTTCAAAATTTACCAATCATGTTTCTTCGCAAATTTGCATATTCAAACCCTTGTGGACGTTGAAAGAAATCGGAAGTTTTAGCACCTATTATAATTAAAAGATGTGTTTGAAAATATGTTATGATCAGGTATTTAGGGTATCATCTGAAAATGTCTGAAAATCAGGTCACAGCATTCATGATTTACAATGGTGCTTGTGCATGCGACAAAGGATCAGTGTCAGATGAAATAAACGCCCAAAGTTAACTCATGTCAGGCAACCCAGGCAAATCCGGCAGATGCATGCCTTTCCTACTGCATTTTCTTTTGATTTAATGGTGCAAAATCCTTTTTGTGATGCCTCAGCTATGTTGCCATGGTTTAGAACTACTGGGTTAAGTCCTGAAATACATTATACCTCAATACCAAATACCGAAGTCTCAAAATATAGATCAATCAGATCTGTGGAGGCCGCTATTCCCTTACCGTGGAAGAAAGGTAGTAACGTAAATAACGTCATATTGTATTGTGTCCACAGATACACCTATGTTCCAAGATTGAAAGAATCTACTAAATAACATGTAAGTAATGACCACTAAATGAAAACCTGTAAATAACGACCAGGTGGTCGTTGTTGAGAGGTAGTTAGAATGTGAAAGGTGCAGCGCTCTACTAGTTGCAGTGTCTGAGAAAATGTACAAAGTTGAAAGATAAAATAAATCAAATAACGAATAACTTTAAGAAAAGAAAAAAGTAAAAATAGCAAAAAGCACCCTATATATCCAGTCTAACTTCGTTTTCAAGATTTTTATACAATAAGTGGCGATATGTAGGATATTGACCCTTTATGTCCAAAATCATTTTTTTACATTAAGGATTGTTTGCCCTACTCTTATGTAACATTGTTTTCATTAAGAGTTTACACTAACCCTCAATGAAAATATGTTTTTCGTTTTGAGTATTTCTTACATACGGCTTGTACCAGAGCCTCCATTCCAAGAGATAAGTTGATCTTAAAGACGCTGAATCACATATCATCCATAGCTATTAAATAATTGTGTATAACATGTTTTTAACCACAGTCAGCCCCAGTGACAAATATAAAATGAGCCTCGCGATTCATGAAGGCCATTTAGGCCCTAAACTATTGAGTGAAGCACCTCATAAATATCCTAGACCTCCTCCTCAGGTGGAAACATCTTGAAGCGCCTCTACAATGCCTTCATCACGTGAGTCTGTCGCTACACGCATCCTGTGTCGCAAAATCTACTGATAGCTGATCATGTTGTTTCCTTGCTTAATACTCCATACGTGATATATGGTGGCTCATGTCCATGATTTAATAACCAGAGTGTGTAGAAAACCTTCATTTTCTTACTGTTTCATTTCCTGCATCAATTCCTACATTTTCATATCACGTCCGTACTTTTTCTCCCGTTCGTATTTTGTCAGAAACCCGGAAGACGTGTCGGGCAGGCGCAGTGACTACTTCTTGATTTTAGCAGACATCTCTGTCCGAATAATCACGAACTAGGCCAATAACTGCCATATTTATGTCTTTACTCGCGTAGAAGCGAGATGTTTAAAAATTTGAAGAGTAAGATTGAGCAAAAGGTAGCTCAGTTGCCTCTACGGAATACCGTGACGGGAGTGTTGAAGGTAAATGACTGTAAACAGGCAGGAACTAGACTTGGTCTAACCGGCCTGGCAATGTGAAGGCGGAAGTGTCAGCTGTTGCTGTGGCTGTTTGTGTCGGATCTAATATGTTTGACTGATACCCTGATAGTGTTACATCACGAAGTGCAGTGGTGTGTGCCCCGGAGAAACCCGCAGCAGATTCCATGTTTCAGTAGTATCATAACACTAGTATGCTGCATCCGGCATCGTCCGGCCATGTTCCTCATCTGCCCTCGTCATGATAATCTCTTCTGTGTTGAAATACCAGCATCCTCGCATGTTTTCGTTATTTTGAATTATGTAGGAAAAATATATTTCGTCTTCTCTATGGCACTGTACAAAGTGTCAATGAGTTAATTAAAGTAAACCTCCGAGATCAGATATATATGCACATATTTCCCAGAAAAATTAACTCCAAAACATGACATTTGTTACCTGTGTACAGATATCACATGCCTCAATGAAAGGCCCAACACAGTTTTTGTCCAAAAATAGATTCATTGGATTAGCGTCCTGATTACTTTACTCGGTTTGTCAGCACTGTGCCAATCTGGGTCAAAATCTTTCAAATTTACTAGCCCAAACCTCATGTAAGGTCTGTTTTGGTGTTATCGTTTTTGTTTTTTATCATATCTCTTTATTAGACTCAACAGAATTTTACTGAGCCGGGCTTCGGACTAGTGGCTAAAATTACAGACTGCCATACCCGTCCTCGTGGGTGTCCCCAAAATGAATCACGTCTGAGACATGCATCATGTCATGCTTTCCTTTCACATGAAGCTGACACGCCATGATATAGGTTAACTGGAATACTGTTCTAAGTGGCACTAAACCCAACTCACTCACTCATGGGATAGGGGGGCACGGGTGGCCCAGTCGTCTAAGGCGCTGCGATTCACTGTGCAGAGTTGCGTCCCTTAGGCACGCCAGAAACCTATGATTGTTGGTTCGAATCCCGGTTCGCCCCGATTGTGTTTCTAGGTTTGTCAGCACCATATCCGTGCTCGTGGGTTTCACCGAAGTGGTAACCGTCTGAGACCTGCATCACTTCGGGCTTTCCTCCCACATTAAGCTGACACGCCGTGATATAACTTTAATACTATTAAAAGCAGCGTTAAACCAAACTCACTCACTCACTCACTCACTCACTCGTGGGATAAGACTGAGTAAGGATGGAATCAAATCTCAATACACGTTGCTATCATAGGACAACTAAGTTAGGAACCAGTCCTTGATGAAACAATCTCAATTGCAATTCCAGACGCATCAGTGATTTATTAAACCTAAGAGCAAAATTTCACTGTGTGTGAATTGTCGACATAAAACTGCAAGTGCCAAGAGTTGCCAGGTTCATTAGTTCATATTACAGGCACAAGTCTGATCTGCATTGAGCATGCTGAGCAAGATGATGTCAGGTTTAAAAACATGAAGTGACATGGTACTCTGTGCACAAATATAGCAGTATATACCATGATATACAGTACAGGATATAATCTTTTTTCATTCCAAGTGCAAATATAATTATGCATATTCAGGAAGTTGATCAGGTGTAAGTAAATAAAACCATGACAAACTGAAATTGATGGTGCCTGATATTTGATTAGCCGATAATGGTCAAAAGCAATCACCATCAGCATGATCAGGTGTGGCAATGGAACATCTACAGAAACGTCCATTATTTACCCTCTGTAGTGTTCACAGTTGGCAGCATTAGAAATTGGCAGTAGTTCTGTATTCCTTGCCAAACTGCCCAATAGTTAAGGTATCATAAGGACTAGTAGAAATCTGCCATTATTAAGGGTTTGGCTGTATGTTTGTTCATCTTTATAAGGACTAGTGGGCTAAAACTGCTAGTTTTCCTTACTGGTTGGGGGAGGGGGACGTCCTCTCGGTTTTCTCCCATCTAATGATCTTGCCTATAATATTCAAATTGAGAGAATCCCAAAATCATCCTATATCTGAAATAAAAAAAGTAATATTAGAGTTATGACAAGGGTTCCGTAACCATGTTAACTGTCATACTTAATTTCAAAGACTGCCCCGTGTGTCTTTTCTGGAATGAAGATTGTTGGCCATGCTAACCATTGCTAACAGTGACATTCAGTTTCGGTAGGTTGAAGAGTATGAACCACCACCAAATACATTCTAGTTTGTGTTTTAATGTCCTTTCAAGTATTTGCGTTATCTGGTGCAATTAAGTTTTAGCAGTAACCACGGTAACAAAAATAATGGACATTGTCCTAAATTGTTTTCAGAGTCACACCCCCTAAATTTTGACTGATATGTTGAACATATTCATTTTGTTATCAACTTGTCAAACTATATTCTTATAAGAAGTCAAAAGGCTATTTTAAAATCCTATTGCAGGGATGGAAAATAACCAAGAACATATACACCCGAATAGTGATAACATATAGCAATACCCCAAAATGTTTCAAATTCTACTTACGTTTATCATGTTAATAGGATACCGTTAACATTAACAAGTCTGGTCCGGACTTGCTGTCTATTCCATTGCTGATATTACCTTTATCTGTTCATTGTACATGTGATATGGTATTATCAGTTTTGTTATTGATTTTCTGTTTCATCACTGCCACCAGACAATTTCAAAATACAAACAATATGCATCACCAAGGCTTTGACAAACTGAATTTGCAGTACCGTATTAAACATGTTTCTCTCCACACGATTGCAATGTATGGTGTGTGAGAGGTCATTCACAATTAGTTAGGGGAGGCCAGACAATGAATAAGGCCAGGCCAAATTAAATCTTGTTTCAGAGAACTTTAGATTAATTAAAATTAATCATATTTTAAATGTTGTCATGAAATAGATGTTTTATCATTTGTAAGCAAAAGTCATGAAAATACAATAAAAAAATGTTTGTGTTTAGGGAAAAAGATTTTTCTTACATACTTGTAAAACAAAATCCAGCAGTAGAAATTGGCACTAGTCCTATAGTCCTTGCCAAACTGCCGAATAGTATCCTAAGGACTAGCAGAAATTTGCCATTTTTAAGGGTTTTGCTATATATGTTATCATTATAAGGACTAGTGGACTAAAACTGTTAGTTTCTACCGCTGACATCTGATCTGATTTTGATGAAAGTGAGGTAATGTAAACATGTCATAACCTTGTTTTGTTTACTTAAAGGATTAATTGTTAACAAACACACATCAATATTTTACATGTGCTACATTTAGGGTAACACAATGTAAGACAAGTCGTCACATCTTGTACAGTCCATTCTGCAAAATGTTTGCAAAATCCACACAATTAGATAAACATATGTCTTAAAATAGTTATCTTTCATTGAGAAAATATTCCATTTATATATTTATCCTTTGTTTGCCATGGTTGTACAGCACCAGATGTCAACAAAGCCTAATTAGGAGCTAGAGATACGGTCAGTTCGATGTGTAAAGATGTATTATCATACTCCTTGCTGTAAGATATGTATATAATTTTGCAGAAAAATTTGAAAGTACATTGAAAGGCTTCCATCAGGCTAGTCTGTCTGATTTCAGAATAAGCACATTTGTACACAAACAAGGAAAGCCTGGTCATGTGATATGCAAATTAGTTTATGGCAGTGGTGTAATGCTAAGCTTTCTCTGTACCGGAGTGAGGCCACATTCCACACGGCAACGACAATCGCAGCACTGCGACTACTAGTTACAGCTGTCAGGGTCCCTACCATTAATATCAATCATCTCCAGTGGGAGAGCATCTGCCCAGAGAGCAGAAGGTCCGGGGTTCGATTCCCAGACGCGTCATACCAAAAAACATTGAAAGACAGTACTTGTTGTTACCCTTCCTGGTGCTCAGCATTAAGGGGATAAAACAGGGACTGGTTGGCTTGGAGTCTGTATAGTATGTCTGAGCTTGCACATGCTAAGTGAAATAATATTAGATGTTAAATTCTTCTTTTTTAGCATTGTTTAAGCCTGCTGTAAACCTTATTTCACTAGCCCTCAGAATTTGTAGCTAGTCTTACATTTTCTTTCACAATGTTCAGTTTATTCAGTTCCGATTTTTAGCAAAATTTAACATTGAGAATTGGATCAGAATGATAGCCCTCAAATGCTACTTGTCTCTGAGGACTGCCGGTGCGATCGGGTAGCCTAGTGGTTAAAGCGTTCTCTCATCACGCCAAAGACCCATGTTCGATTCCTGACATGGGTACAATATGTGAAGCCCAATCCTAGAATATTGCTAGAAGCGACATGAAACCAGCATGAAACCATACTCACTCACTATGAGGACTGCTATCATTGGATATTTACTTGCCCTCAGCTCAATTTAGTTGTCTCGGGAAAGCAGACTAGCATGAATTTCGAAAGACTGTCTATGGAAATATTGCCTGTGCATTAAGCTGACACACTATGGTACGACTGTAACCCTATCTCTATGATGTCAGTCTACAGCACAGATGGTGATCACATTGATTAGGATGCTGTATATGCACAGGGTGGTGTCCACATGCTGGGACGACCATGTTTTCCTACATGAGGAACATTCATACCTCCAACTATAATAAGAGCAGGCAGAAAATAAAGGTATTATATAATGATTTTACTATGATGCTTATTGTGATTAGTGAATGGGGATAGGGATTTCATGTGATTTGATGTGGGAGTCCAGATCTTACCATGCTTACTGCTTGTGTTGATGGAGAAGTGGATATAATTCATGTGTCTGACGGTCAGGTGTTCATTGTGTACCACTTGAGATTTTCTGTTAAATATTGATTAGTTTTGACTAATCATTTGCTGATGATGAATTTTCATATTCTCAACACCATTGAGGATCATTAGGTCAGATTTGATGACTCCGTTGTTTTTGTGTCGTCCTGCCTCGAGTGATTGACTCAGCATGCTCAGGGCGCTTGCTTTCAGTCACTAGTTTGTCGGTATTTCCAGCATGCCAGGATATGGCTGGATTATTGCTGACTGCAGCATTAAGAGTGAGGGAGTCAGTGAGTATGATTTTATGCCACTTTTATCAATATTCCAGCAATATCATGGCAGGGGACACACATTGTACCCATGTCGGGAAACGAACCCAGGTCTTCAGCGTGACAAGTGAACGCTTTGACCTCTAGGCTACCCGACCGCCCCTGCAGCATTAAGAACATCCACTTACTTGACCTGATTTTGTTGATATGACTGCTTACGTTGTATGGTGTTTTTATTTCAGAATGATAACGAAGACACTCCAGGGAAACCACTGGCAGAGAGCACACCTCAGAAAGGCAGTGGTCAGGATAGAGGTGGGGGAGGGGATGGCCCCGCCCTGCTGGATCTGAGTGGGCAAGATGGGGCTGTAGCATCCCCACCCCAGGAGGGGGTCCCCACAGGGCAGTTGGTGGAGATCCCCCTGGAGTCTACTAACAATGACAGTCATTACGAGGTAGGAGACGAAGTTTGATTAAATTTTGTTTTAGCTGTTTCTTTCATTTTTTTTTCATTTTTTTTTTTGAGGGGCCACGGGTCGCCCAGTCATGTAAGGTTCCGTGATTCACTATGCAGAGTTGCATCCCTTGGATATGCCAGAAACCTATGATTGTGGGTATGAATCCCGGTTCACCCCAATTTTGTTTCTAGGTTTGTCAGCACCATACTGTACTTCGGGCTTTTCTCCCCACATTAAGCCAATCAGTACATATTGTAATGCTGGAGTCATGATGTGTACTGTGATCCTGAACCTGCATCAATTGCATGGCCCAACTCCACAGGGCGCACCTCCATATGACCCACCTCCACATGACACAGCTCCACACATGACCCAGCTCCACATGACCCAGCTCCACATGACCCAGCTCCACATGACCCAGCTCCACACATGACCCAGTTCCACATGACCCAGTTCCACATGACCCAGCTCCACATGACCCAGTTCCACATGACCCAGTTCCACATGACCCAGTTCCACAAAACCCAGTTCCACAAGACCCAGTTCCACCTGATCCAGTTCCACATGACCCAGTTCCACATGGCACAGTTCCACATGACCCAGTTCCACATGACCCAGTTCCACATGACCCAGTTCCACAAAACCCAGTTCCACATGACCCAGTTCCACATGACCCAGTTCCACATGGCACAGTTCCACCTGACCCAGTTCCACATGGCACAGTTCCACATGGCACAGTTCCACCTGACCCAGTTCCACATGACACAGTTCCACATGGCACAGTTCCACCTGACCCAGTTCCACATGGCACAGTTCCACATGACCCAGTTCCACATGACACAGTTCCACCTGACCCAGTTCCACATGGCACAGTTCCACATGGCACAGTTCCACATGACACAGTTCCACCTGACCCAGTTCCACATGGCACAGTTCCACATGACCCAGTTCCACATGACACAGTTCCACCTGACCCAGTTCCACATGGCACAGTTCCACATGACCCAGTTCCACATGACACAGTTCCACAGGACCCACCTCCACATGACCCAGTTCCACATGACCCAGTGCCACATGACCTAGCTCCACATGACTCAGCTCCATATGACCCAGTTCCATATGGCATAGCTCCACATGGCCCAACTCAACGATACAACAAAGTCATGATAGGATAGGATACGTATCATGATACATAGGTCACGATATCACGATACACATATTTTCGTCAAATCGTGTAAGAGACTTCTTACTATAAATATTTCAGAACAGGTTCAAAAGGAAAAGATAGCTGTAGTAGAGGTGCGCGGTATTACCAGCATACCGGTATACCATGTTTTTTGTTAGCTGTGGTACTTACTGGTAAACTTCCTTACTATACCGGTACTTCGGCAAATTCCAAAGGCCGTGTAGGTTACGGAAATTTCCGATGATGAATATTACGTTTCTTCATAGTTTAAGTAATATTTTTATGTACGTGTGTTACAAACAACTAATCATGCTAATATATAGTAAAGGACGTCAGATTTAATAAATTTCGATAGAAAGTTATGTTTTATTTGAATTTCCCGTGCAAATCCCGTCTCGAGAGTGAACTGCATCTCCGCTTGGTAACAAAATGGCAGACTTCAAAGGCTTTTCTCTCTTTGTTCAAATACCATGGTATGTACCGTGGTAATTGAGCAGATACAGCTGTAGCCACACGTTCGTAGCGGCTATTATTAGTAGTGAAAATGAAACGCTAATTGCAACACATTTTGTGATATGTTGTGACAAAACTCTGAGCTTATTAAACGAGTAGTAAGTAATTTATGTTTACAAGTGCAACGTCTTGTATCGATACAGAAAAAAACATATCATATATTGTATCGTCGCTTGAAATCTTACAATGTGCCAGTGCAGCGATGTATCATTTCCGCATTACAAGGGTTTGTTGCCGTCAACAAGTTTGCGTTAAAGTCGTATGACTAGTTAAGTACACTCTAATTTTGTGATGGTAAGGTAACCAGATAGGTATTAGAAGAAGAAGAAGAAGAAGAAGATAGGTATAAGGCCAGGTATGGTAAAAAAAGATGGATATGGAATTAAAACATGAATCAATACATGGTAAGCATATCTTGTATCATATTGTCAGATGGAAATTCCGGATGTATCGATAAATCGGTCTTATTGTCCACCTCGTTATGACTAAGTTGAAAGTAACGTTGATGTTTTCATGATTTGCATCCAGACTGCCTCCGACTTCGGTTCCGTCCAGGGCGATGATACTCCGAGAGGCCCAAGGTCAAGGACATCGTCAATCAGCTCTGTCGCCAGTGACAGCTCCTTCTTCACTAATGTCAGCTTCTCACATCCACAATATGTTCCGTCGGACATCGAGAGCGAGATCGAGGAGACCTCTGTGAACCTTGATGCCATTAGCAAGGAGGAACTGTATACTTACGTCAAGAAGTACGAGAGACGAGTGATCAAATACAAGACCAAGTACATGGAGGTTGGTCGTGACGCTAGCGATAAAGCTGTAGAGCCACAGTTTGATGAGTTGATCAGTTGTTATTGTCTGATATTGACTGTCAGAAATGAAAATTGCAAGTGATTCCATGGCATAAATCGAAAAACAGATGTGTAAATGTCCGCCTTGATCAGCAGTTGATTTATAAATGTCCGTCAATGTTTCAGCTGGCAACTGTGTACAAGGAATCCATGCAGGACAGAGAGAAAGTGAAGGTACCACATCCCATTATAAAGCTGTTGTGTAGTAGTAGCAGCAGTAGTAGCAGCAGTAGTAGTAGTAGTAGTAGTAGCAGTAGTAGTAGTAGCAGCAGCAGCAGCAGCAGCAGCAGCAGCAGTAGTAGTTTGGCCTGATCACTGGTTCTAATACCAGATTCACTGACTGATCCTTGCTTTGTCAGCACAATAAATATGTATGTTTGTTTCTCCAACAATACTTACTCAATACTTGCGATACTTTCCTTCCTCATTTGGCCTGCAAGTTGTGATTTGTCTGAAATATGGTAGGGGCCTTCATCTGTCTCACAGGAGAATGGGGTCCTGTCTAAGTAGTTGTAAGAGAGTGGTCAGGTGACTTGGTTGATTCCGGATCAATGTTTGCACAGAAAACCCTGGCCACGTCTCAGGACCGAGCGTTCCGACGGATCTCGGAGCTGAAGGAGCAGATACAGCTGGACCAGCTGGCCAAGCGGGACCTAGAGCAGAACTACCGACTCCTCCTGGAGGAGAAGGAGGAGTTTGTCAAGGTGCTCCAGATGCAGGTACGCTCAAACACACAATACTTGCAGGTACGCTCGAACACACAATACTTGAAGGTACGCTCAAACACACAATACTTGAAGGTACGCTCAAACACACAATACTTGCAGGAATGCTCAAACACACAATACTTGCAGGTATGCTCAAACACACAATACTTGCAGGTACACTCAAACACACAATACTTGCACATACGCTCAAACACACAATACATGCAGGTAAGCTCAAACACAATACTTGCAGGTACGCTCAAACATACAATACTTGCAGGTACATTCAAACACAAATCTTGCAGGTATGCTTAAACACACAAAACATGCAGTTACGCTCAAACACAATACTTGCAGGTACGCTCAAACACACAATACTTGAAGGTACGCTCAAACACACAATACTTGCAGGTACGCTCGAACACACAATACTTGAAGGTACGCTCAAACACACAATACTTGCAGGTATGCTCAAACACACAATATTTGCAGGTACGCTCAAACACACAATACTTGCAGGTACACTCAAACACACAATACTTGCAGGTACGCTCAAACACACAATACTTGCACATACGCTCAAACACACAATACATGCAGGTAAGCTCAAACACAATACTTGCAGGTACGCTCAAACATACAATACTTGCAGGTACATTCAAACACAAATCTTGCAGGTATGCTTAAACACACAAAACATGCAGTTACGCTCAAACACAATACTTGCAGGTACGCTCAAACACACAATACTTGCAGGTACGCTCAAACATACAATACTTGCAGGAACACTCAAACACAAGACATGCAGGTACGTTCAAACACACAAAACATGCAGGTACGCTCAAACACAATACTTGCAGGTACGCTCAAACACAATACTTGCAAGTACGCTCAAACACAATACATGCAGGTACTCTCAAACACAATACATGCAGGTACACTCAAACACAATACTTGCAAGTACGCTCAAACACAATACATGCAGGTACACACAAACACAATACATGCAGGTACACTCAAACACAATACTTGCAGGTACACTCAAACAGCACAGGCAGGTTTGCTGTGTCACCTGCATCTCACTCACTCACTCACTCACATGGTTAAATTGTCATTTGTCTATTCAATGCATAGCAAAGCTCTTTGGCAAACCTCAAACGATTCCATATATAATTGACCCATGTTGAAATATATAACAATTTTCGTATGTATTTTATTTTATTTTGTATTTTACTGATATTTATATAAATTCATGTCAAATTTATGCTGGCTTTGCTACTGCTAAAATGTTAATAATCACTTGTTTCAAATAATTCCTTGCTGCATTCAAACAAACAGAAGCATTTTTCAACATGTTGCAGGTGAAACTGTTGAAGGAAGGCAAGGAGATTCCACCCGAGCTGCAGGAGAAACTCTCCCCAAAGACAAGCGCAGCAGTTGTACCCCCTGGTTCCCCAGACACACCCGGGGGAACAGATGAAGTGAGCATACTGAAGAAGAAGGTCAGTGGATTTCCCCAGTAGTGATGCTGACTAGGTACAGATCCTGAAGATCCGGGGTAGCATTGGTATTCAGCAAAACATGTTTGTCGTAAGAGGCGACTAACGGAATCGGGTGGTCAGGCTCGCTAACTTGGTTGATACATGTCCCAATATCCCGTTTGCTAAGCGATGCTCATGATGTCAGTCACTGGTTTGTCTAGTCCAGAGTCAAACCATGCTTGTCATCAGTGTCCGAAAGAGCTGCATGGCACCTGCCCATGGCTGGTAACTTTTCTGTCGGGCTGCAGGAAATTTTCCTCTCCCTGCCCGACTGTCTGGCAGATAATTTTAAGATTACTTATGTATTCAGTTTTATTATAACTCCTTGAGCTTTTTTTCAACTGAATCAAGACATGATTTGTCTCTAAGGTTTTGCTATATTTTAATATTGATAATGCCTGAATGCTGGGAGGTAACTTTCAAGATGGGCAGGCAACACTTATGGGTCACCTGAGTTTTAAAATTATTTCAGACACTGCTTGCCATAAGAGGTGACTAATGGGATCGGGTGGTCAGACTTGCTGGCTTGTTTCATGCATGTCATTGGTTCCAATTGCGTAGGTCGATGCTCATGATGTCAATTCCTGCATTGTCTAGTCCAGAGTTGATTATTTACAGACCACCGTCATATGGAAGGAATATTGCTGAGTGTGGTGTTAAACGACAAACAAACAAAACTGACTTGGTTTTAGTAAATGTATTGTTCAGGATTACAGTTTACCAGGCAGACAATTGATTGATGTAGCATATGTCAAAATTATTTACTTCACCAGTGAAAATACCCCCCTCTGTGGGAATCATTCATTCTTTTACAATAAGTCCTAATGGCCCTTGTAGATGCATCGCCTGGAGGGTTTGCTGACTCGGTGCAAGGAAACCATTAAATCCGGTAAGGAGAAGAACCTGGTCCTGGCCACGGAGAAGGAGGAGCTGGAGAGGAAGATGGATGACTTGCAGAGGGAGAATGAGAGAATCAAGGTCAGTCGACAGTCACTCGTTTCAGAACTCAGTGTAGTCTTTTCTATGGCCAACCAGACACTTTGTTGCGATACAATTCAGATTTCTGTAGTTGGGTGGCGATACAATTGATAAACTGACTCTTGAAGCTCTTGAGGTTTACTCCTGTCGATGATTTATCTAGTGCTGCTCAGAGGGTGATATTTGGTCTTAAGTCTGCAGCAGTAATAGTGAAAATCCAGTGTCAATTCAAAATTTTCCAATTCCTCACTATTTAAGAAAATAAAAACAGTAAAAGAATTAATTTTTGAGCATTATCTCTATTGTTTTCCAATTTGCCTGCCAAGGGCACTTTGGGGAATCCTGGATATCCCGCTTAACAACTGTTGGCTCAACTTAACATATTTAGTAGATTTATGTCAATTAATAAAACAGTTGCTTAAGACAAGCAAGATGTTCTATTTTACAATTTATGTTTAAACCATTTTACATGTCACTTATATACTTGTATTGGTTTGTGTTGGTGTATGAGCTAGTGACAGGATGCTGATATTGTAACAGTGTAAAACTGGAACAAAAGAATCCTTTTTCACGTTACTGTCGTAGCGCTAAGATTGTTGCATATCCCAGTCTTTTTTCACTCACTATAGTCTCAGTGTTAAGGTTTGTGGGACACTGGAAGTTCTGCCTGCCGTTAGTTATGATTCGGACAATAATGGGTTGGAATAGGTCTTCAGCAACCCATGCTTGCCGTAAAAGGCGACTAACAGGATCGGGTGGTCAGGCTCGCTGACTTGCTTGATGCATGTCATTATTACCCAATTGCGTAGACCCGTGAAGATTCCGGGGTAAAATAGGTCTTCAGCAACCCATGCTTGCCGTAAAAGGCGACTATGCTTGTTGTAAAAGGCGACTAACGGGATCGGGTGGTCAGGCTCGCTGACTTGGTTGATGCATGTCATCGATCCCATCGTGGATCGATGCTCATGATATTAATCACTGGATTGTCTGGTCCAGACTCAATTATTTACAGATCGCCGTCATATAGCTGGAATATTGCTGAGTGCGGTGTTAAACAACAAACCAACCAACCAACCCAATTGCGTAGATCGATGCTGATGCACTGGATTGTCTTGTCCAGACTCTGCTTTTTACTGACTGCCCTCATATTGCTGGAATAATGCTGATTGCGGCATTAACCAACAAACAAACAAACAAAAACATATCCCAGTCTTTTTTTTACTTTTTAGTGTTAGTGTTAAGGGTTGTGGGACTGCCATTAGCTATAATTCAGACGTAGGTAGCTGTACAAATATGAGGTTCTTCTTCGCTACTTTGACTGTCAGATTTTGTTGAAGTTTTATGACATAATCAGAAAGATTATTTCACTTATTTTTCACAAATTCTATGACCTCCTAGACATACTCCCCCTTAGCAAGGCTGGTGTTGGATCCACCTTGTATATGACGAAACAAGGGTCAAGGTCAGTCTCGGGGTCAAGGTTAGGGATTGGTTTTGGGTCAAGGTCAGGTTAGGTTTAGGGTTTTACAGGTTTCGAACTTGTGTCTCGTTGATAAATAGCTGTTGCCCTTCCCTAGACTGGTGGAGGAGGCACGCCAGATGTGACGAAGCTGCAGGGTCAGATCAAGCAGGCGCGGAAGCTGATCCAGCAGCTGGAGACCGATCGCGAGCTGGCCATTGCAGAAGTCAAGAAGCAGGTGCATGAGGAGCTAGAGAGGAAGGACGAGGAACTCCGGGAGGTCAAGAGTCAGGCCCAGGTGTGGCAGGGCGAGAACACCGACCTGAAGGAGAAGTCTGAGAGGCTGGAGAAACAAGGTACGTCATTCAGGGATGCTGGAATGACAGTAGTAATTCATACTTTTATGCAAAACAGTTACCATGGTAATTGCATGCCTGAAATGTATCTATGGTAACGCATAAATATGGCGCAGTAGTTAATAAGTACCAGTCAACAGATATTTAAAATCATTTCGATTTTAAAAATTACTGTCTCAAAACTGTTAATCAGGAAACTAGTGCATCACCATGGCATGTTGGGAGCTGTGTTATGTGATGCTTGTCATTGTATCCTGCATATGCACTGACCCTGATGTTACAGTAATCCCCAGTACAGTAGAACACGGATATAACAAACCCGGATATAGCGAACAAACGGATACAACGAACTGTTAAAAAATCCTCGAATTATCTCCTATATAATATCATATCAAATTTACAGATATAACGAACCCTCTACAACGAACTAACGGATACAGCGAACTGATATCTGATCACCGACGAGCCAATCTATCACTAATTACTAACGTGTATAGGGAACTGAGAAATCTCACTCTGTGTCAAGTGTCACTGACAATTGGCTGTACGCAATCAGTGGCAAATCAACACAATGGCGGCAAATCAATTCAATCAGCGGTGACTGATCAACCTTGTTAAATTTGCATTGTGTTAATCTTACCTGTACATGTAATCTTGTCTGTAAAACAAACATTAAACATATACATTTTACGAGATTGTGTCCAAGTGTCAGTTCACTTGCATATACTATCATGGCGTGTAACGTGTATTGTGTTTTGTCTTATCCAAGATGGCGGACTTTTCCGAGCGAAAACGTGTATAACGAACAACGGATATCACTAACTGATTTCTCTGGTCCCTTGTGGTACGTTATATCCTTGTTCTACTCTTGCAAGGGAGGGCCATCCATGCATTAATTCCTACTTTACAGTATGTTAATCCTGAAATCTACTGCAGTGCAAGAACAGCTGGACAAATCAAGGGAGATAATCCGGCGGATGAAGGAGGAGAAGGCGCACCTGAAGACGGAGATGCAAGAGAGACTGGAGGCCTCGGAGCAGAGTCTGGAGGAGGAGAAGGAGACGTTGGTCCAGGAGCTGTCCCGGGGAAAGTCCGCCGCCATCTCGCTCATGCAGGTACATCTCACACTGAATGTCTCATAGGTTGGTCTTGCTCCCCAGTGACAGCAAAACCACATTATCGGTGGTTCATACCAAGCTTGGGGGCACGGGTGGCCCAGTCGTCTAAGGCGCCGCGATTCGCTGTGCAGAGTTGCGTCCCTTGGGCATGTCAGAAACCTATGATTGTGGGTTTGAATCCCGGTTTGCCCTGATTATGTTTCTAGGTTTGTCAGCACCAAACCCGTGCTTGTGGGTTTCACCGAAGGGGTAAATGTCTTAGACCTGCATCACTTAGGGCTTTCCTCCCACATTAAGCTGACACGTCGTGATATAACTGTAATACTGTTAAAAGCGGCGTTAAACCCAACTCACTCACTCATACCAAGCTCCTCACAGTGAAAGCAGAGCCCTCTATACTATCGCTGCAACAGTATTTTGTGTATTTATGATTAAATAAAGACATATTTATTCGTAAGAATTGATTCAATATGTTTTGATGTTTAAACTGCCAAAGACACAAAAAATATTGAACAGTAACATGTCCCATGTTATATGCCATAGGTCATGTTCTCTTCATAAGGTGCTGTCAATGGCCAGAGACTTTATGCAATACTCTGATTGATTATTATGTAATCTGTTAACTCTTACTTTTCGTTTGATAATGATAATTATCATACCTCCATGTCAGAATAATGAGATCTGATTGGTCCACGAAATCTTGATAAAATACAATGTATCCCACCTTGGAGGGAACTAAATTTCCTACTCAGGGTACATGGGGAGTCATGTATCCCACCTTGGAGGGAACTAAATTTCCTACTCAGGGTACATGGGGAGTCATGTATCCCACCTTGGAGGGGAATAAATTTCCTACTCTGGGTAAATGGGGAGTCATGTATCCCACCTTGGAGGGGAATAAATTTCCTACTCAGGGTAACATTGGGAGTCATGTATCCTGCCTTGGATGAGAATAAATTTCCTACTCAGGGTACATGGGGAGTCATGTATCCCGCCTTGGAGGGGAATAAATTTCCTACTTAGGGTACATGGGGAGTCATGTATCCCGCCTTGGAGGAGAATAAATTTCCTACTTAGGGTACATGGGGAGTCATGTATCCCGCCTTGGAGGGGAATAAATTTCCTACTCAGGGTACATGGGGATTCATGTATCCCGCCTTGGAAGGGAATAAATTTCCTACTTAGGGTACATGGGGATTCATGTATCCCGCCTTGGAGGGGAATAAATTTCCTACACAAGGTACATGGGGAGTCATGTATCCCGCCTTGGAAGGGAATAAATTTCCTACTCAGGGTACATGGAGATTCATGTATCCCGCCTTGGAAGGGAATAAATTTCCTACACAAGGTACATGGGGAGTCATGTATCCCGCCTTGGAAGGGAATAAATTTCCTACTCAGGGTACATGGGGAGTCATGTATCCCACCTTGGAGGGGAATATTTTTCCTACTCAGGGTACATGGGGAGTCATGTATCCCACCTTAGAGGGGAATATATTTCCTACTCAGGGTACATGGGGAGTCATGTATCCCACCTTAGAGGGGAATATATTTCCTACTCAGGGTACATGGGGAGTCATGTATCCCACCTTAGAGGGGAATATATTTCCTACTCAGGGTACATGGGGAGTCATGTATCCCACCTTGGAGGGGAATAAATTTCCTACTCAGGGTACATGGGGAGTCATGTATCCCACCTTGGAGGGGAATAAATTTCCTACTCAAGGTACATGGAGAGTCATGTACCCCTCATTAGGTGGTACCAAAACCTAACGCGAGATGCATAAAACCCCAACACCCCATGTGATCCTGCTACAACTTATATTGTACCATTTAATTTCCCTAATCCATCAAAGTAAGAGCAACTGGTCTAAAAAGTAGATGGATACAGTTTTTGTTTAATATTCTTATCAGAAACCAAAAAATAAGAAATAGTCGTGTAAGCCATAAATGTTATCTGTTGTAGCAAGAGACGGAGAAGGTGATGCACGAGAAGATTGAGGCCAGTGTGGGAGAGAGAGACGGCATCTGGCAACTCAAGATGGCTGACCAAGAGAAGGCCCACCAGGAGGTGCTGGAGGTCAAGGTCAGTGTGGGCTGATCGTGTTGCCATATATTCAACTGGACTACTTGCACAAAGGGGGCATGGTCCATGGTGCTGCAACTAAGCCGAATTATTTTTTTTGCCTTTTAGTGGTTCCTTTAATCTGAGGATTGTTATTTGAAGTCTTTCAATGACCAATCAGAACATGGTAGGATTTAGGAGATATATTTACTATGCTATTGGGGGAGGGGTCGGCTAGCTAGTGGTTAAATTGTTCGCTCGTCATGCCAAAGACCTGGGTTCAAATCCCCAAATGTGTGAAACCAAAAGTAATTTCTTGAGCCTATTCTTAAGATCCTTCCTGCAGTTGGGTGAGGTGAAATGGGGTTTAATTTTTCCAAGATTATTGCACTTATATAGCGAAGTGCATGCAAGTATGTGTCTGTGGCTGCTTGTACTAGTCCGGACTGATGCCAATTGATAGTGCTAGCTCACTGAGAAACCATGCTGCAGTTTAACATGAATACCCCACTCAGACACAGTATACTGACTCTGAGCCGACCAGTCCTTGTTTTAGCCCCTTAATTCCGAGCACCAGACAAGGTAACAACAAGTACCATCTTTTAACGTCTTTTGGTATGACGCGGCCAGGGTTCGAACATTATTATTATAATTCTACTCACCTCTGTCTGTGGTTCCCAATTCCCCATGCTGGATGTTTGATGTGACTAAACTGATGGCTGCAGGAAGAAGTGTTGTTGGTTTTGCAGGAGAGGGAGAAGGAGCTGGCGGTGACACAGCTGCAGGAGGAGTTACGGCGGAGGCTTCATGAGAAGGAGGAGGAGATGGGGCTGGCAGTGGAGGAGCGAGAGCTGCAGAAGATGGCCACCGTCTCCGAGATCGACACTCAGAAAGACCAGCTGCACCTCCAGATCGACAGACTTAACTCAGTGAGTGTAATACTCAATGTGGTCAGTGTCTGACTGAACTCAGTGAGTGTATGACTCAACATGACCAGTGTTTGACTTAACTCAGTGAGTGTATGACTCAACTTGATAAGTGTTTGACTTAGCTCAGTGAGTGTATGACTCAACTTGGTCAGTGTTAGACTTTACTCGTTGAGTGTATGACTCAACTTGGTCAGTGTTAGACTTTACTCGTTGAGTGTATGACTCAACTTGGTCAGTGTTAGACTTTACTCGTTGAGTGTATGACTCAACTTGATAAGTGTTTGACTTAGCTCAGTGAGTGTATGACTCAACTTGGTCAGTGTTAGACTTTACTCAGTGAGTGTATGACTCAACTTGATAAGTGTTTGACTTAACTCAGTGAGCATATGACTCAACTTGGTCAGTGTTAGACTTTACTCGTTGAGTGTATGACTCAACTTGATAAGTGTTTGACTTAGCTCAGTGAGTGTATGACTCAACTTGGTCAGTGTTAGACTTTACTCGTTGAGTGTATGACTCAACTTGATAAGTGTTTGACTTAACTCGGTGAGCGTATAACTCAACTTGGTCAGTGTTTGACTTAACTTAGTGAGTGTTTGACTTAACTTGATACGTGTTTGACTTAACTCGGTGAGCGTGTGGCTCAACTTGGTCAGTGTTAGACTTTACTCGTTGAGTGTATGACTCAACTTGGTCAGTGTTAGACTTTACTCGTTGAGTGTATGACTCAACTTGATAAGTGTTTGACTTAGCTCAGTGAGTGTATGACTCAACTTGGTCAGTGTTAGACTTTACTCAGTGAGTGTATGACTCAACTTGATAAGTGTTTGACTTAACTCGGTGAGCGTATAACTCAACTTGGTCAGTGTTTGACTTAACTTAGTGAGTGTTTGACTTAACTTGATACGTGTTTGACTTAACTCGGTGAGCATGTGGCTCAACTTGGTGAGTGTTTGACTTGAGTCAATGTTTGAGTTGATTCAGTAAATGTTTGACTCAACTTGTGTTTTAGTGTTTTACTTTGCTGTGCGAGTTCCAAACTCAACTTGGTCAGCGTTTAACTTAACTCAGTCTTTGACTTTATTCAGTGATTGTTTGACTTGACTTGGTCAGTGTTTTACTCAACTGTGAGTGTTTTCTAATTGGTATGAATGTATGAATCGACTTGGTGACTGTGACTTATTACCGTTAATTTTTTTCACAACATGGCAAGTCTGTAACTTGACTTAGTCATTGTTTGACACGACTTGGTGAGTGCCACTTAAACTCAGGAGTGTTTGATTGTCCTCTGTGAGTGTTTGACTTGACTCATTGAGTGTCTGATTTGTTTGACTCTGTGGGTAAGTCGGTGAGTGTGACCCAACTTGGCCAGATTTTGAATTGACTCAAAGGATGTTTGCTAGGGCTGGGACGATATCGATACAACAACTGTGCGATCCGATACGTATCACGATAACTTGTTCACAAACCGATACGTATCACGATACTTGTAAGTGCTCTTATCTGTGTAAGCCATCTTTTTCATAGACAGGATAGTCAAATAACTGGCACACTGATGATTTACAGCTGGCAGTGTCAAGTATGACACATCAGATTTACTTTTTCACTACTAATTAGTGTTAAGTGTAACAACCATTAAAGTAAAACATTTAAGGTATGAATCGATATTTTGTACTTAGTGTGTGACTAAGATCGATACATGTATCGGGAAGTAAAATATCACGATTCACCGATGCATCGGTGCACCACTAATGGTGGCGATAGATTGGTGTAACTTTATTAGTTCTATAGTTTCTGAAACATACTGACTGTAAATGACCTTACCTTCTTGCCACTCGTCCAAGAGTTTCCTCATGCAGTGGCAGTAATCCCATGTCTCTGTGTAGGAGAAGATCGAGCTGGAGAACCAGGTGAGCAAGCTCCAGGATGACATGGCAACCGCTGCAGCCAGCTTCACCCAGCAGATGGAGGAGATGACGAGCAAACATAATCAGGTACTGCAGTCACACACCTGTCAGGTAAAGTCACACAATTCTAATGGGTAAAGTCATACACCTCTGTCAAGAAACTCACACCGCTGTTAGGTAAATTCACACACCTGTTAGGTAAAGTTACACAATTCTAATGGGTAAAGTCACACATCTATCTGGTAATGGCACACAATCCTATCCGATAAAGTCATACAATTCTATTGAGTAAAGTCACACAGTTCTATCGGATAAGGTCACACAATTATATCAGGTGAATTGACACGCCTCTGTCAATAATCAGTAACCATGATGTCAGATTCCATATGACCTCACCTCAATCTTCGTGTCCTTGCAGGCCCTGGCAGGCTCGAACACGGAGCTGGAGTCTTACTACCAGGCCCAGCTGCAGGCCGTGAAGGGGCAGCAGCAGCAACTGCTCCAAGACAAGAAGACCGAGCTGGAGTCGCTGGAGCAAGACCTGAAGGAGGTCAAGGCCGCCATGGAGGAGAAGGAGTGTGAGCTGGAGGGTCGGACCGGCGACTACGAGAAAGAGATCGCCAAGCTGCAGACTGACCTTGCCGAGAAGGAGGAGGAGAATGTGAAAGTTAAGAAAGAACTGGAGAATGTCCGACTTGAGTTTGAGGACGTAAGGACATCATTGACACAACAGATATCCAATTTGCAATCCACGGTTGATGGCTTGGAGTTGTGTAAGAAGGAGCTTGAAGAGAGCAGTGTGAAGTTAAAGGATGAGTTTGATTCTTTTAGGACGGAGAGTGAGAATCATGTGCAGGAGCTGACATCACAGAGAGAGAAGCTTGAAGTTCAGCAAGCTCAGTTGGTTGAAAAGTGTCAGCAGATGAGTTCAGACCAAGTTGACTTTTCGAAATCTTTAGATGAGAAGGCATCTTTGGCTGAAACAGAGAAAGCAGACTTGTTGAATCAGATCGAGAGTAAAAATCAGGAACTTGCAAGTTTGCTACATCAAATAGAGGCACTGCAGAATGAGAAAGGACAGGTGGTTGAAGATTTCAAGCAGAAACTGGATGCATCCGAGTCAGAAAAGCAGCAGACGACTGACGCTGTTACAGCTTCTCTGTCGCAGCTGCAAACAGTGGAGAATCGGGTTCGGGAGTTGGAGGAGGAGGTGGCGACGAAGGGGGAACAGTTGAAACAGCTAGAAGCTGACAAGGAGTTGATCCTTCTGGAACGAAGTGACATCGAGGCTCGAGGTTCCGAGAAGGATGTGTACATCGGGCAGCTGAAGGAGACGGTGAAGTCCCTGGAGGAATGCCAAGCTGATATCGAGAGGGAGAAATCAAACATGGAAGAAAAACTGACGTCACTAGAGTCTGTTTTGGATGAACTGGGTAAAGCGAAAACTGAGCTGACAGAAAAGTTGGAGGAAAGTAAACAGACGTTTAGCCAACAGGCTTCCCAGGAGAAGGAAACCTTAGAGGAAAGGATTGCTGCACTAGAGAAGGATCTCAGTGAATATGTCCAGAAGTCAGTAGACTATGAGAAAACATTATGTTCAAAGGATGATGAGATTCTAGCACTGAGAACAGTCATTGATGACAACACAGGATTTATCAAATCTTTAGAAGGTAAACAAGAACAAACAGAACAGATTCTTCTCAAGAAGGATGAAGAAATAAAGGCTGTAGAAGGAAAGCTTGCTCAGACTGCGGAGAAGTTCAATCAGCTGAGATCTGAGGCGAAGGGGAAGATCAAGGAGTTGAAGGAGACGGCGGAACAGACGAAACAGAAACATCAGGAGGAGAACGCCCAGAAGCAGAAGGACTGGGAGGAGAAGGTGAACATGATGAACATCGACAAGACAAACATGGAGAAGCAGTATACCAACCAGATCCAGTCCTTGGAACAGAGGCTGGCTGCGGAGAAGGAGAACATGCAGAAGCTGGAGGACGGCTTCCGGAAACAGTTCGAGGAGAAACAGGCCAAGTTCAAGGAGACCATGGGGAAGATCAAGGAGAGGTTTGAGGAGAAGCTGAAGGAGAAGGATGGGGAAGTTGAGGCCAAGATCCAGGAGCTCACCCAGCAGAAGGAACTCGGGATGGAAGACGTCACCAAGAGTCTTGAGGTCATGCGCGAACAGCAGCTCCGGGACCAAGCAGAGCGACACCAAGCTGCCATTCAGGAAGTAGTGGAGGAGTGGAAGTGTAAACTTGAAAATGTTCAGGATGAATTTGATACAAAATTTCAAAGGAATTCGGAGGAGAATGAGCAGAAGAAAAGTGAAATTGAATCCATACATTCCTCCAAACTGACAGCAATGTCACAGTCATTTGAAGCACAGGTGAAGTCCCTTCAAGAAGATATTGAGAGGTATAGGACAGAACTTGCTGATCTCAAATCAGACAGAGATGAAAAGATGCAAGAGTTGGTGGAGTTAAGGCAACAATTGAGTGAGCAGGATACCAAGATTAGTGATCTCGTGTCAGCTCTGGAGACAGAGAAACAGTCAAGCCAAAGTGTGTGTGAATCAACTGTGAGTGAATATTCAGGGAAGGTTGGTCAGATGGAATCTGTGATTAGTGAACTCAATGAGAAACTATCTGAGGTTCAGGAAAAACATACACAAGAAATTCAAGAGAAGGATGTGCAGCTACAAGACCACCAAGGGCGGTTAACACAGCTCCAGACAGAGAACTCTTCAATGGAGGAGATGCTTAAAGCACTGAATGAAACTGCTCAGAGTAAAGATGACCAAATACAGTCTTTGAGCGAAGAATGTGAATCTCTGAAGTCTGGGCAGACTCAAGTTCAGGAAGTTAAAGTACAGTTATCAGAATTAGAGAATAATTTTAAGAACTTGCAACAGGACAAGGCATCACAGGAATCAGCAGGCGAACTTCTGAAGGAGGAACATACAAGGATCGTGCAAGATTATGAAAGTCGGATTTCTGAAATGGTTGCAAATGATGGTGAACTACAAACAAGATTAAAAGAACTCAATGGCAAAGTGTCCAGTACAGAGGAGAGGCTGCAAGAATGTATTCAGAGTTATGAGAGTCAGCTTGAGGAGTATCGCGGAAAGTTACAGCGACAGGAAGTTGCTGTTAAAGAGGAGGTAACTCTTCTGAAGCAACAGTTGCACGATGCACAGAACAATGCACAGTTGACTTCAGCAGAGTTGCAGACATCTCTGCAGCAAAAAGTGCAGGAAAATGAAGAGAGGTTTGTTAATCAGGCAGCTAAACATCGAGAGGAGATGGAAAAGGTGGAGACGTCATGGCAGGATAAGATGAAGGAGATTAAGCAGAAATATGTGACAAAACTCAAGGAGATTCAGGGAGGAAACAAGGAAAAGATTGCTGGGCTAGAGGACAAGTTGAAGAAGGAGGTCCATAGTAAAGAAGAAGTATCCTCCGAGTTGTCTCATGCAAACACACGTCTGCTGCAACTTCAGGAAGCTGGAGGGACTTCTAGGGATACCATTGTTGATCTGGAACAAAAACTGGATGAAATGACAAGGACTTTGAATGATAAGGAAAGTGACCTTGAAACAGTGAGGCAGAGTCTATTGTCGACAGAGAACCGGCTTCAGGAACTGGAGTCTGAGAAGGATCAACTGAGCCAAGAAATCTCCCAGGTTACTTCATCTCTGCAGGTAAAAGATGAAGAGATGATGAAACTAAGGAGAGACTTGGAGGAGAAAGAGAACCTTGTGAAAGAAATAGAACAAAGTCAACAGTCTTCCAGTGAGGAACTAAGTCAAACAGTTCTTGTAAAGCAGAAATCTATTTCAGAGAAGGAATTAGTGATACAAACTCTTGAAGATTCTCTGAAGCAGGGTGAGGCCAGGGTGGCCGACCTTGAGGCAGAGAATCAGCAGCTGAAGCAAAGTGTGTCAGACATGGAACAGAAATGTTCTGAGTTGACTTCCACATTAGAGATTTTACGACAGAGTGAACAAGCCACAGGGGAGGCTGAGACTAAGTTGAATGAAAGTTTGTTGGAGCGAGAACGATTAAAAGAAGAGAGTGACAAGCAAATGAAGGAATTGACAGACAAACACAGTGAAGAAATCAAACAGTTCAGCTCAAGACAAGATACAGAAAATAATACCAAGGTTTCAGAATACAAGAAAAAAGCTGAAGCTTACTTGGCTCAGATGAAAAAGCAGATGATTGATGAGAGGGAAGAATTAGCGGCCAGAGCTAAAGAAAAAATATCGTCTTTACAAACTGTGATTGAAAATTTGAAAATAAGTCTTGATGAAGAGAAGTCTGAGAAACAAAAGGCTTCAAAAGAGTTTACACAGCAGACGGAACAATTAGAATCCTCCCATCTCAAAGTAGTGCAAGAAAAAGATAAGGAAATTGAAGAAACTATTCAAAAACTTGAAATGTCAGATAAAATGAAAAGTGATTTGATGACAAATATTGAACAGTTAAACACTGAAAATAACACACTGAGTGACAAAATGTCTGCAACTTTGAAAGAAAAGGGTGAAATGAAAACTGAACTTGAAGGTCAAATCAAAAAGTTGGAATCACAAATCAAGAAACTGGAAAAGAAGTTACAGCTGTTAAGAAAAGAAAAAGAGGAAGAGATTGATTCAATGACAAAGTTACATGCACATGAGATGGAGAAGATGGAAAAGGATAAAGTCGAAGATCGAAGGTCGACTGAGGAAGATCATGCTGTGAAGATCAAACAGCTGGTTAGAGAGTTCAACTCCAAGTTAGCTGAAAAAGAGAATCTATTTGAAGAAACGTTGAATGAAGCTGTCAGTAAGTTTGTACATGTTGGTAGATCTCAAGGTTCATACTTTTGGAGTTTTTTCACCAGTCTTTTTCACAAGATTCAAAAAAGCTTCTTTGGCAACATGAAATGCATGATATGTAAAACACTGTTCCAAGCTGCATTAGGCCATCTTCCTGAGTCAAGGGAGTTAACTGACTATAAAAGTCCAGTTTCCACCCTTGCCGAACTAGGCTGGTGTTATGGAGTTACATTTTGGCTGGGCTAACGAGTCTATGCATAGTCCAATCGTAAACTGTCATGCAGATTTCGGCCAATTGCACGATTTGCAAAGCAAGTGCACGGCCAACTCATTATCAACAGATATTTCCCTATTATTTTCATGTTTTTAATCAAGGTGCTCGCGTGATTTGATGCACTTCGCGATGTAAGACCCGTTTTATAACAATATAGATCTTGATTATCGATCAGATCGTCTTGATTCGGCACCGCCATTTTGTTTGAAGCAAATCGAGTGATACGAGAGATGGAATCTGATTGGTCCATAGGAGAGGCATAGAAGGGACATAACTCGTAATAGCCACTGGGGGCGCTATGATTGAGGCCAGGAATTCAAGCCTAGTTCGGCAAGGGTGTGAACTGGACTTTTGTAGTCAGTTAGCTCACTTGCCTCGGGAAGATGCATTAGACTCCAGTTGTAGGTAACAGACACTAAATGGGAAGAAATTCACTCCTTCTTTGGTATCTAAAGGAATCTTTGAAAATTCTGCTTTTGTGTTTATTATTTATGGCTGCATAACTTGAGTCCTATCTTAGATCTGAGTCCTACTTGTCTTCATTATTATAATGTTTGTGGCCATAGCAAGACCAACACCAAGGATCTGAATCCTACCTTGGATGTGAGTCCTACCCAGGATCTAAGTCCTATCTTGGATGTGAGTCACACCTTGGATCTAAGTCCTATCTTGGATGTGAGTCACACCTTGGATCTGAGTCTTACCATGGTCCTATCATATTCACTTGACCAACTAGTAATAACATATTTGAACACACCCTACACAAAGCCTACAAATCTACATCCCTCGGGTTTCCTTTAGCATGAGACCAACTGACGCGAGCTACCTATCTTGGATGTGAGTCACACCTTGGATCTAAGTCCTATCTTGGATGTGAGTCACACCTTGCATCTAAGTCCTATCTTGGATGTGAGTCACACCTTGGATCTAAGTCCTATCTTGGATGTGAGTCACACCTTGGATCTAAGTCCTATCTTGGATGTGAGTCACACCTTGGATCTAAGTCCTATCTTGGATGTGAGTCACACCTTGGATCTAAGTCCTATCTTGGATGTGAGTCACACCTTGGATCTGAGTCCTACCATGGACAAGAGTCCTATCATATTAACTTGTCAAACTAGTAATAACATATTTGAACACACCCTACACATAGCCTACAAATCTACCCCTCGGGTTTCCTTTAGCATGAGACCAACTGACGCGAGCTAACAAAGAAGTGCAAATGTGTATCATTCCTACCTATCAGGCTAAATGCCAGTGAATTGCGTCACTAGCAGTGAGAGGGTGAGATGTGTTTCAGACAAGAGTCACAGGGGGGAGCAGCAGATCGTCCACGAGCATCACGAGCAGGTGGAGGAGCTGTACAAGGATCTCCACGAAGCTCAGGAGAGATCGGAGCAGATGCAGCAGGATCATGAGGAGGCTCTGCAGGTACTGTTCTCAGTTGGGTCACCGTTGGTCAGTGTCGCATCTTAACCATCACATTGTGGCAATTTTGCTGGACCTTGTTAGTATGTAAATCTTAGAGGACAAGGATCAGTACGAGAGCTTTTTAAATATTTACCTCAATGTCTAATGTGCAGCGATGGGGCGGTCGGGTAGCCTAGTGGTTAAAGCGTTCGCTCATCACGCCGAAGACGTGTGAAGCCCATTTGTGGTGTCCCCCGCCGTGATATTGCTGGAATATTGCTAAAAGCGGCGTAAAACCTCACTCACTCACTAATGTGCAGCGTCATTCCATTGATGAAGTCATACAGTGCTTTGACATTACTCAACAAGGTTACAATGTAGTGATATCATTGTTTAAAGATTGTTGTGGTGCTACTCTCTTTAACTTTTGCCGTCTGTGATGCTGTGTTGTGAAACTACTTGCCGTGAAGATCTGGAGTAGAATAGATCTTCAGCAACCCATGCTTGCCATAAAAGGTGATTGTGCTTGTCGTAAGAGGCGACTAACGGGATCAGGTGGTCAGGCTCGCTGACATGGTTGATGCATGTTATCGTATCCCAAAGGGTTCGATGCTCATGATATCAGTCACTTGATTGTCTGGTCCAGATTCAATTATTTACAGACCGCTGTCATAGCTGGAATACTGCTAACTGTGACGTTAAACAACAAACAAATAAATGTTAAATTACTTCTGATATATGACAGTTCGAGTTGCTGAGAAACAACAAAGTCATACCAGCAGACATCCTTAAATCTTTTATAATTATACTTCAAATATAACCTATCTATCTTCAACCATCTTTTGCAAAACTCACAATGCTGCCCTTGGCCTCTGACTTTCTTCAATAAACCATTTTTAAAGCACAGCACCATGCTAGATAAGATAAAGATCATTTTCGGTTTCTGAGACACCTCTAAAGGCATGAAAGTTTGTGAAGTATTGGTGCGTCGTCAGACTGTGAACCTGCAATTTGTCTCTGTAGGAACGTGAAGGAGAGATGACTGAGCAGTTGACTGCCCTTAAGTCAGAGTTATCTGCCCTTAAGCAACAACACCAGGTAGAGCTGTCTGAAATGGAAGAGAGGCTAAGGAAGTCACATGATAAGACTCTTCAAGACCGTGAAACATTCCATAAAGAGGAAGTTTCAGCTTTGACCCGAGAATGGAACCACGAGAGAAAGGTAGGGGAGGTGACTCTTGTAAGAGTTACAATACACCCACTAATATGTTCTTTGTCCCTTTCCTTGCTGCTAGGACCTCCAAAACATTTCCTTGTGATGTGAGAGTGGAATTTTGTCTTTTGGCAAGCTAGATCCCAAGCTAGATGGCGAGCTAGATCCCAAGCTAGATGGCGAGCTAGATCCCTGCGACATCATGGCTCCCACTTGATGTAACACGCATTGCCTGAATGTAGGTTGTCGTAGGTTGTGTTCTAGGAAACAATTTTATGTTGTACGTAAGTTGTTTTGTTGATGGATGATTCATTACGTAGATATTTCTGAAACATCAACCTGTGACGATTTGTTGCCATTTGTATGAAAATAGCAGTAAATTTTGATTTTACAATCAAAATATGATATCTCATATCAAAACCTTCAGCTCATAATAATCTGAATTATTGTGAAAACTTCAGATTTTTCCAATCAGGAATCAGATTTTACACTCTGTTTCAGAGTTTAAGGGTTGTCAATTCTAGATGTTGGATATGTTTGATTATATCAGTGAAAGGAGGTTGTGTTAAACCTTTGGCATCTTATATGCTTAGAGTTAGTGGTAGGACAATACACCAATGCATCGGTGGATCGTGATTTTTAGCTTCTCGATACAAGTATAGATCAGGGTTACACACTGTTAAAAATATCGATTCTGACCTTAAATGTTTGCTTCAATAACTGTTCCACTAAACACTAATCAGTAGTGCAAGTTAATAGTGAAAACATAAATATTTTCATTTGTTGTGCCATACTTGATACTGCCAACTGTAAATCGTCAGTGTGCCAGGTATTTGGCCATCCTGTCTATGAAAAATATAAGTTACACGCCACAGATAAGAGCACATGCAAGTATCGTGATACGTATCGGATCGTGAGTAAGGTATCGTGATACGTATCGGATCTCACAGTTGGTGTATCGTCCCAGCCCTGCTCTGAGTATCTAGAAGCTTGTAACGCTATACTGTTTTCCCACAGTGAGTATGAAAGTGTTTGTGTTCGAGTAGAAGCACTGTGTGTAGGTGCTGTTGTTGACACACACTATGTTGTAGTGCACAGATTGGAATATTATTACAACCAGAAGTTGGTTTCCATTTGGAGAAGTGAAAAAAATAAAATGTTATGATCCATCAGTATACTGTGTCTGAGCGTGGTATGGTTTCTCAGTGGGCTAGCACTATAAAATCGGCATTAGTCCGGACTAGTACAAGCATCCACTCACATTCGTGCTTACACATCGCTATATGAGTGCAGTAACCTTGGACAACGTTAAACCCCATTTCACATCACCTCACCTCACCTTAAGGGGATTCCAGGTAAGAATATAAGTCCCCCAAATCAATGCTTGTCATAAGAGCCACCAAAATGGACCGATTGTCACACACAGTGACTTGGTTGATTGCATTTCATTGATGCTCATAATATCAATCACTGGATTGTCAGGTTGATGGTCTGGTCCTGACTCGATTATAACAGCTGTCATATAGCTGGAATATTGCTGAGTGCGGGGTTATTCAACAAACAAACTTTATTCAACACGGTGGGGTGATCAACATGTCATGATCCCCACAATTTCATGAAGAAGATCATCCATCATCCTGTTCCTTGGAGTTAGTCCAACAATCAAGCAGAGCACAATGTATTCATTTGCTGTAGAAGTTAGAACAAGCTGCATTGTATCACACTCTCATCGAAATCAGCATCATATAGCTCTCGTTTCATTTCTGTATATGCATGACAGCAGTTGCAAGCAAATTTGGCCCAATCCTGGCATCACTATCAACCTTTATCCAATTATTTATGCCTATGGACATCTCATTGACTAAATCATAAATCTAATGAAGTTTATTACAGCTCAAAACCTTCCATCAATCAAAGAACAAACTTTCATGAAATTGTAAATGCAGTTTATTGCAGTCTCACCTATAATTTTTTAATCTGCTACCTTGAACTTCTATTTTGGAATCAGTTAAAAGTGTTGAAACAGATCGGAAGTTTTTGGTCTCAGTTAAGTGGATGTCGGTATTATCGGATGCTTAAAACATCTCGGTGAGCAGGGCCCAGTATCTTCAGCCTGGAGTCGTCCAGTGCAAGTCTCGGTTACATGAAGGGCGGTGGAGTAGCCTCATGGTTAAAGCGTTCGCTCAGCGATTCCCAACATGGGGACAATGTGTGAAGCCCATTTCTGGTGTCCCCTGCCGTGATATTGCTGGAATAATGCTATAAGCGGCGTAAAACCACACACGAACAATCGAACGAACGAGGAATAAAACAATGAGTTAATGCATGACTCAACTCTGGATTCTCACCAACCCGAATGTAACAGAATGTTTTATATTAACTGTGATTGTTTGTCAGGATGATTTCTGTGGCAGTGTAGTAAGTCTCATGCCCTGGAGAATGTTTTGTGCTCCGATATTTGTTTTGTGCTCCGAGAGCTGTGTTTTGTTGTTGTCCTATTACTAGCGTTGTGTTTGTTGCTTTCTAGTCTGACCGTCAACTCGCACCGTTCGATCCCATGGCACAACCACAGGTACTTTATTTTACAATTTATACATCAATTTATTTACCATCTCATTGTTTTGTTTTCATCACTGTATTCAGCAAATGTTCGTTCACCATTCATTTCTGCCTGTTGAACTTGTTGACAATATTGCTTAGCCAGATGAACATGTTTACGAGGTGAGACTTTTTTTTTTCAATTGGTTTACAAATTACTGACCAAAAATTAATGAGAAGTTGGGTTAATATATACTCAAAAGCACTTTCTTTGTTTTATACTGTCTAATTTTTATGTACACATTCAACACACAAAAAATGTGTATACGTGTAGCAGGGTGTGGAGTCATCCCACAGATGACATCAGGTTAACCTCTTCGGTCATGTGGACAAGGCGTCCGACCTCTGATCATAAGGTCTGTGGTTCCAATCCCATCACAGGACTCGGAAATTTTATTGCTGCTACATTGGCACCCAACGTGGGGCTGAGCACGTTCATATTAAATTTGAGCAAAATAAACCTCAGTACCCTACTATGAGGCCCGGGATATGCCTTCTGTTGACGGGGGAGTATGTAGCAGGGCGTGGAGTCATCCCACAGATGACATCCTTACAAGCTGACAAGGTTAACCTCTTCGGTCATGTGGACAAGGCGTCCAACCTCTTATCAGAAGGTCCGTGGTTTGAATCCCATCACGGGACTCGGAAATTTTATGGCCGCTACATACGGTATCGATGGCATCATGGTATAGGTTAAAGGAAGAGACAAGTCTAACAATGCACACATTGCAACAGGGCCCACTTGCACAAAGCAATCTTAGCGCTAAGATCATCTTAACTCCTATACACTAATATAGTCTTAAGATAGTCTTAGCGCTAAGATTGTTTTTTGCAAGTGGGCCCTGATATCAGATAACTATTTAAGACCAAAACATTTAATCTGAAATTTTATATGTACAGTGGAATCTGTTCAATTTGGACCGGTAAAAAGGTCTGGTTTAAACCGTGTCTGTTTACACAGTGTACAAAGAGTTGGACTGAAGACAAAACAAAATGCAACGATCATTCATCTTTATTCACACGCACATTGTACATGAAATATTGACATGGGCTGGCATTAAATACACATTAAAACATTCCATACTTGCAAAAGTCATTGAAAACGGACTGCTGATGTTCCTGAAGATTGTTTTTTAAAGTCATGTCCTCAGTCACAGTTTCGAGGTGAGGTACCGGTACGTGGTTAACTTACGAGCTGTGTTTACCGTTACTTATTGACATGCTCAAGACACTGAGTTAATCAAATTAAAATGAGTTTCTCATTAACAGGAGAGTAAATTTTAATTATCTTAGTGGACAACAAAGTATTAAGATCCATGGGATTACATGCAGGAGTAGCATTGTTGTTTTAGCTCACAATGACTGAGCTTACATCATACTGAGAGGGGGGCACGGGTGGCCCAATCGTCTAAGGCGCCGCGATTCGCTGTGCAGAGTTGCGTCCCTTGGGCACGTCAGAAACCTATGATTGTGGGTTCGAATCCCAATTCACCCCGATTATGTTTCTAGGTACATAGAAATTGATTATGTTTCTAGGTTTGTCAGCACCATACCCGTGCTCGTGGGTTTCACCGAAGTGGTAAATGTCTGAGACCTGCATCACTTCGGGCTTTCCTCCCACATTAAGCTGACACGCCGCGATATAACTGGAATACTGTTAAAAGCTGCGTTAAACTCAACTCACTCACTCACTCACTCACTCACTCACTCACTCACTCACTCACTCATGCTGAGAGAACATCCAATCTGGTCCTGTCAGATTTAGACAACTTCTTTTCAATAGTAAATTGTTGGTAGGAACGTAATTTCAGTCCAAAGTCTGCAGTGTAAAGAGTCTGAATGAGAGAGTTGTAGGTCAGTTTGAGTAATGATAATTTATTAAGGAACTTGAGAGGACCAGAGAAAAAGACCGATTTGGACCGGAGAAAAGTCTGATATGGACCAGAGAAAGAGTCCGATTTTGACAAATTCCACTGTACTTTTTTTCCCAACTGACGAAGATTTTCACTAAAAATATAATCTGTAAACCAGGAAATGAAAAATGTCTTTTGTACATGGATTTGTTTGACATGACTAAACTTGCTTGAGAGTGACTTTCTAAATATTCTGGTTGTTTTTACCTGTGATTAATTTAGTATGACCGTGAGACCACTAACCACTTTGCATGAGTCATCCAAATACTTACTGAATATGACATTCCTCAAAACTGTAATCAATATTTCATGTGTTTTGACGAGTTGCATGTGTTCATGTCGTCATGTCTGCTCCTGGATGGTTTCTCCACACCCTGTCCTCCATGCATCAGTATCATGTACAATAGAAGCTCATCCAGCAGGAGATCCAAGACTGTCCCCCGTCATATAGAGGCCAGGCGGTGGTGATACCGTGGATCATGGACATTGCCACCTGGTGGCACATGGATGTTACGGGCATCAGTGGCCAGGGATCCGTCCCAACTGATGGATGTGTGGCTTGCCCATTGGGGACCGACCATTTCAGATTCGGGGGAGTTGGGGCTGTGATTTTGTATTGAAATCAGATATTTCTTTCAGTTACAGCTAGAAAACCCGATTTTTGATATTAAGTTATGAGCCTGAGTTATTAAGAAAAACACTGCAACAATGTAATTTTTGTGGGAGGCAATGTCTTCATGTTTCAAATGTCTTAAGAGTTTTCAAGAATTTTCGGGGGCGTTTTTTCAACTGTCTGAAGAATAAAAAAAATTCAAGAATTTTCGGGGGCAATGTGGGAGGGGAGGGATACATCCCAGGACACCTTACCACCCCTCCATCCGCAGCATGCCATGACACATTTTGACTGATTGAAAGGGGATAGTTGTGAAATGACCTGTAGAATATCTCTATCTTGGTTTCAAATAGTGCCTAACGCTTATTCATTTGGGGGGCCATTCATTCAAAAAAATACATCACTTGAAATAGTAAGCAATAATAGTCAAATGTTACAAATAAAGTATTAAATGTTACCAATAGAGGTAAAAATAGGAAACAAATAGATGGCATATAAAAGAAAAAAACAATGTGTACTAATGAACGTCCATGCACACCAAACACTATTATTAGACCATGTGCCTTCACTGGCCATGGAGGGGGCACGGTAGGCCCAGTTGTTTAAGGCATCGCAATTCGCTGTGGAGAGTTGCGTTCCTTGGGCATGCCTATCCCGATTCAACTCTTTTTTATGTCTGGGTTTGTCAGCACCATCCCCGTGCTCATGGGTTTCGCCAAAGTGGTAAACGTCTGAGACCTGCATCACTTCTGGCTTTCCTCCCACATTAAGCTGACACACTGTGATAAGCAGCATTAAACCCAAACTCATTTACTCACTCACTCCTGACCATAGACAACTATTAGAGGATTTATGGAGGTAATGAGTTCCACATTTTAGGCTGTTTTCTGTCAGTATGAATTTCATTGAAAAGCACTTAAGCACTCATCAAGTCAACATGCTAATTGGGGGGCACGGGTGGGCCAGTCGTCTAAGGCGCCGCGATTCGCTGTGCAGAGTTGCGTCCCTTGTGCGCGCCAGAAACCTATGATTGTGGGTTCGAATCCCGGTTCGCCCCGATTATGTTTCTAGGTTTGTCAGCACCATACCCGTGCTCGTGGGTTTCACCAAAGTGGTAAACGTCAGAGACCTGCATCACTTCGGGCTTTCCTCCCACATTAAGCTGACACGCCGTGATATAACTGGAATACTGTTAAAAGCGGCGTTAAACCCAACTCACTCACCCAACATGCTAATTAGGAGATAAACATACTGTGTTTCAATGTAGAGCTAGGTTACCTGTAGGTTATCCATGGTAAATTGAATTTGGAACAGAACACACAGCTGTTTCAATCAGAGGGGGTTTATTGTGAATTGACATTTCTGATTGACCAATCAAAATCAAATATTTTCCAAACTCATAGTAGAATAAGTCTTATGCTTGCCTCCTTTACCTCCAAGGCTCTCTTTACAGCTTGCTTCTCTACTTCTGCTTTAACTATAATTGCATGTTATATTTTCATTAAAAAATTCCATATACTAATTTCTTCAGAATTCACAGTCATGATTAGACATGTTTGAAGCTGTGATGATTACATTATGATCTTGTCTGCATGGTAAGACTGCAGTTTAAGTTGGAGTGAAATAGTTGTGAAATCCACAAATATAGACTAACTGTACTGGCTGCATATCTCATTTAAATTTTACATGGTCGGTGGGGTAGCCAAGTGGTTAAAACATTCACTTGTCAAACTGAAGACCCGGGTTCCATTCCCACATGGGTACATGTGAAGCCTATCCTGGTGTCCCCACCCCCTTGATATTGCTGAAACATTGCTGAAATATTGCTGAAAGCAGCGTAAAACCATACTCACCCGATACATTTTACATGTTTACAGTTTATGCTTTTGTTTTCCCTGTATATCACATTGTCTGTTATTAAAAAGTGCAAATAATTTTTCTTTACTAATCAAATAAGTGAAATTAACGTTATGTTATACATTATAACAACAACAATTGGGGCCGAGTTGTTTCCATGTTCTTTAGATCCACCTCAGTGCAGGATAGTTGTTTACATGTTCTATAGATCAACTGTGTTCATTTTGTTTTATTAGTCTGGCTAAAACATATCTAAAAGCTTTGTTAAGATCAACTCACTCATTCATAGTGCTAAGTGTTGCTTACTGGGCTATGGGAAGAACCGTAAAGACAGAACAAAATCTTGTTTTCGGCAATACAGTGGTCCCTCGCTACAACGCTACCAATGGGGTCCAAATAATTGGTGGGCGTTATAGACGATGAGCCGTTTAACCGAGGCCGAGGCGGGGGAACGCGCTCGGCCAATCTCACGATCTTCGCCTTGTCTCGCACATTGCAATGATACAAGTTGTTTACCGTTCATAGTGTGAAAATATATATCCATTATGTTTTCGCCGTTTGTTATTATTTACAAGCCTTAACTGTGGTAGTAACAGACGCTATGAGTGAAGAGCCAATCACAATTCATTACACAAGTACAGAGTGTTTCACTGGCATTGATTGGTCATCTTGCTTAAAATATGGAAAACGAGAGTTTTGACCAGCACTATGCGCATTCATACACATTCATACAAATATAGACACACATTCAAGCCAGATTAATTGGTTTGATGCGGTTACTTGATCCGAATCAATAGGAATGACCGCCGTGTTGTGACAGCAACTACATGTGAGTTGACATGGCGCCTCAAATTGGATTGCCCACTAATTAAGAAAATAAACTTTGCTTGTGGTTCTCTTTTATTGCATGCATGCGCTTCTAAAATCAAAGGATGTATAGTGTGAAAAGTTAACTAGTAGAACAATTGTATTTCCGGGACTTGCCGCGGATGTTTTCAAACAGATTATTAGAACTCCATTCAGCGAAAAATGGTTGATTATGCAATGAGAAGCATTATGTGCAAATGAACAACGAACAACAATACAATCATGTCTGTGTAAAACTCTCAGTATTAAAAGTGTACATAAATTTTGGGAGCCATGCGTTACCGCGCGTAGTAACCGAGGTAGCGCTTTATCGAAGAGCACAATAGCGCGGGATCACTGTATAACATGTGGTCTAAGTATTTAGACATACACAAGGAAAATTCTGTCTTGTATGATATCAAACCAGATACACTCGAGAGCTCTACATATATATTTGAAATATCTCAGAATCAATTCACTGGCCTGGACAGAAAAATGATAGAGATATCGTCTGATATTATGACAATCCTGTCATTTGTTCATCAGTTGTGTGGATTTGCTTCAAAATGTTATGACTTAGAGATGCAAGATTCATGTTATCAATGACCTTGACCTCCAGGAACTGGTGCAGCAGAACCAGCTGGCCCTGACGGCGATCCAGAGCGGCTCCTCCAGTGGTGACCTTCTACGTCAACAGATCATCCTGCTAAACAAGCAAGTGGAGGATCTGAGAGAGAAACACAAGTAAGGAGGGTGATCTTTGTAGAAACTGTCATCTCACGAAACTTCTCGAATGACATTGTCTGTCCCGATGTTTGTTTACAAACAACAAAGGGAGGTAACTCTAGTTTACTAAATCACTTCCAGTAGGACACTAGACATGTGGGCATATCTCACATGCTGCCACTGACCTTCACTACCTACAATGATATCTGCTGTCACATAACACTGTGTGTATGTTGCAGACTGGAACTGGCGGAGCTGGCAGCCCAAGCGGAGATGAGTCAGCTCCACAAGCCACTGGTGGCACCGCCCAAGATCAAGTCTCTGGACATCACCGATCCCAACCTCCCAGCCGAGGTGGAGAACCTGGAGCTCTATAATGAAGACCTGCAGGTAGGTCTCACTGGGGATGGGGACAAAGGTTCCTGTAGGTAGGCACGGGTACCTGTATGTAGGTCTCACAGGGGATGGGAACTGGGGTAGGTGTCACAGGGGATGGGGGGGACAGGGGTAGCTGCAAGTAGGTCTCACAGGGGATGGGGGGGACAGGGGTAGCTGCAGGTAGGTCTCACTGGGGATGGGGACAAAGGTTCCTGTAGGTAGGCACGGGTACCTGTATGTAGGTCTCACAGGGGATGGGGACAGGGGTAGCTGCAGGTAGGTGTCACAGGGGATGGGGGGAACAGGGGTAGCTGCAGGTAGGTCTCACTGGGGAGGGGGACAAGGGCACCTGCAGGTAGGTCGGTCTTACTGGGAATGGGAACAGGGGCACCTGCAGGTAGGTCTCACCGGGGAGGGGGACAAGTGCACCTGCAGGTAGGTCGGTCTTACTGGGAATGGGAACAGGGGCACCTGCAGGTAGGTCTCACCGGGGAGGGGGACAATGGCACCTGCAAGTCTTGTAGGGAGTGGGGAGGAAGAGCACAGACACAAGCAGAGGTAAAGGCTATTGACTGGTTCTGATCTGTATGTATTGTATGATGTTGCAGGCCCAGGTCTCCCATCTAAACAATGAGCTGTCCCACACTCGGCTGAGGGAGAAGGAGCTCCACCAGAGAGTAAGTCATGTGACCACCTGGGCCCACTTGCACAAAGCGATCTTAGCGCTACGACTATTGTAAGCCTATGTTAAAGTATGGGAGTTACGATCATCTTTGCGCTAAGATCGCTTTGTGCAAGTGGGCCCTGGTCTACACAGAAATACTGATCACCTCGGTACCTCAATACTCCCCTGCCTTGCATCCACAAGACTCCAAGACGTCTCAGCCATTCATTAACAAGATAGTATATGTGATAACATCATGACACATACAATCAGATAGCAATACATAAACAGTTATAGATTTCAATAACCTTCACTCATACAAGTTTAGTTTACTGGTGGTAAGGAATTTCCGTCATGTGTCTGTGCGTTATGTGCCTTCCGTCATGGGCTTGACTTTATTGAATGACCTGTAATTCCAGATTGACATCCTGGAACATCGGCTCCAGAACCCCCACGGTGACGACACCCCTCCCCTCAGCCCTGCAGGGTCCTACTCCTCCGACGGACCCCTGCTGCGGGAACCTACTGAGTTTGAGGTAGCTATGGTAACAAATGTGTTCAGCCAATAGAATTGAGATAATACACCTGATACCCAGGCTGTACAGCAAACATTGTAGTGAGTGAGTGAGTTGGGTTTAACGCCGCTTTTAACATTATTCCAGTTATATCACGACGTGGCAAACATTGTAAATCAGGACAGTAACAGTCCTTGTGAAATGTCAGGATTAATAACAATAATGATGGAGTAATACCGATTTCTATAAGCATGTAAGCATTCCTGGCTGTCATCATCCAGAGGGCTGTGTTTCAGGCTCATGGCATCCGGGCCATTCTTTTGGAATCAGATCTTTTACTCCAATGTGATACCTGTCTGAATGAAAATCTGACTACACATTCATAGAAGGTTGAGTCAGGTGGAAACTGCAAACGTGGGTTTTTGAGCCAATCACATGTCAGCTTTCGAAGACAATTTGGCCTCATTTTTCTACAGCTTTAAATCAGAAAATTTGATCTTAGCAAACAAAGGGCACCACAAAACACAAATATACCCTTCATGGTATACTCTTTGATAGGTGTAGATGACATAGTACTCACGAACAACATGGATCCATGACAATATAATTGCATGGCTTTATTGTCTTTGCATTTGGAACTTCTTGAGCAGCTTCATTTTTAAGTGACAGAAATAATATATGCTTGCCTGAAAGTTTTGCTCACCCCTACCGAGCATTTAGAAGCCTTGACTCTGATTAGTTCATGAGAAAGTTCAAATAGCATGGCCTCCTGTAGAGGTGTCAGATAATTGGGAAGGTATCGTATTGGAGTCAAAGATCTAATCTTCGGAGATTGGGTATCTGGACTGAGGTTTTTCTCTGTATTTCTAACATTTCAAATTGTTCTCCTTCTAGAATGTTATACATGTTAAACCGTTCTGCTTTTCTTCCAGTATTTGAGAAACATCCTCTATGAATACATGATGGGGAAGGAAACAAAGGTAGGTCTACAGTGAGATGTTCTCATACTCCATCATAGAAGCAACTATATTGAGAACACATGTGACTTCTGGGTTGGAATTGATCGTCAGCAACCTATGCTGGTCATAACAGGCGACATGATGGATCAGGTGGTCAATCTTCTTGACCTTGTTGATGGTGTGTCAACGTACCCCGACAACATGGATCGGGGGGTCAAGCTTCTTGATGGCGTGTCAACGTACCCCGACAACATGGATCGTGGGGTCAAGCTTCTTGACCTTGTTGATGGCGTGTCAACGTACCCTGACCACAAGGATCGTGGGGTCAAGCTTCTTGACCTTGTTGATGGCGTGTCAACGTACCCCAACAACAAGGATCGGGGGGTCAAGCTTCTTGACCTTGTTGATGGCATGTCAACGTACCCCTACAACAAGGATCAGGTGGTCAAGCTTCTTGACGTTGTTGATGGCGTGTCAACGTACCCCGACAACAAGGATCGGGGGGTCAAGCTTCTTGACCTTGTTGATGGCATGTCAACGTACCCCGACAACAAGGATCAGGTGGTCAAGCTTCTTGACCTTGTTCATGGCATGTCAACGTACCCCAACAACAAGGATCGGGGGGTCAAGCTTCTTGACCTTGTTGATGGCATGTCAACGTACCCCGACAACAAGGATCGGGTGGTCAAGCTTCTTGACCTTGTTGATGGCATGTCAACGTACCCCAACAACAAGGATCGGGGGGTCAAGCTTCTTGACCTTGTTGATGGCGTGTCAACGTACCCCAACAACAAGGATCAGGTGGTCACTGTCATATACATGTAGCTGGAATATTGCTAAGTGCGGCGTTAAACAACAAGCACACCTCATAGCAACAATGATTATATGTGTCAATAAATGATGTTTGCAATTGTGAAGAAAAGTGCAGTTTTTAATTGAATATTTTCTGTAAATATTTGCATATACACACAATAATTACCAAAATGAAACAATCAAGTAGTTTCATTTTTGGAATAAGTTTCTTAAAATTGTTCTCAAAATCTTAAACATCCAAATCATAGAAATACAGACGGAAAGGACAACCAATTACAATTTATGACTGTGAAGCCAATGAGCAAAGATAGATGATACCATCCCAATCGATTCCCAACATATCAAATCCCATGGAAAAAGGAAATCTTCGAAAGCTGCAAACTGACAGACTTGATCTCCAGTCCCTGGACACGAGACTCGAATTATTATTTGAAGTGTAAGTGAGTGAATGAGTTTGATTTTACGCCGCTTTTAGCAATATTCCAGCAATTTTACGGTGGGGGACACCAGAAATGGGCTTCACACGTTGTACCCATGTCGGGAATCGAACCCGGCATGACGAGCGAACGCTTTAACAACTAGGCTACCCGACCGCCCCTATTATTTAAAGATGTATATCTAGACATAGCTAGACTAGTTATGCATGCAGACAGACACTGATTTCCTGCTGGGAGAAGTATCACAGCTATCAGTATCCATTGTGTTTTGTGTTCCAGACCCTTGCCAAAGTTATTGCTACGGTTGTGAAATTTTCTGATGAACAAACTCATAATATTATTGCAAGAAATGAAGGCAAACTGACTGTAAGTATTACTCCCGATCCCTGCATATAGTATACTAACACTAGTACCGTGAAGATTCCGGGGTAGAATAGGTCTTCAGCAGCCCATGCTTGCCGTAAAAGGCGACTATGCTTGACTCAATTATTTACAGATTACTGTTATATAGCTGCAATATTGCTGAGTGCAGGATTCAACAGCAAACAATCACAAGTTAACACTAAATAAACTATCCACGGTTAAACAAGATTCATGAAAATGTTTTCAAATTTCTGTAGAAATAGAGTAGAATAGGTCTTCAGCAACCCAGGCTTGCTGTAAAAGGTGACAATCGGGATCATAAGAGGCGACTAACGGGATTGGTTGGTCAGGCTTGCTGACTTGGTTGATGCACATCATCGTATCACAATTGCGTGGATCGATGCTCATGATGTCCATCACTGGATTGTCTTGTCCAGACTCGATTATATACAGACCGTCTTCATATAGTTCGAATATTGCTAAGTGCAGCGTTAAACAACAAACCAACAAACCAGGCAGCCATGACAGCTGGAACAGTGCTGACTGCCACAGAAAACAACGAACAATATTAGGAGACGGCAAAGAAGAATTTGTATTTGACTTAACAAATGAAAATATGACGCTTATGTTCTGAGCAAAGAATTTATTTTATTTGAGCCTGTGTGTATTAATGGCTGTATATCGGCTATGAGCTTGGCTGGTTGTGTTTGCCTGTATCTGTTTGCCTGTATCTGCTCCTGCTAACACTAACTACCCCCACTTTGACTCCACAGACTTAACACAGACAAGCTGGTGGTGATGTTGGTTGGTTTCTGTTTTCGATGTTTGAATTTTTCTCATTTCTTCATATAACTGAAATGCTTCACAAAATCATATAATTCTAGCTAATGACAGTCACGCTGTTATTAACTGTACCAAAGTTTTGGAAATCATCAAATCAGTGGCTCCTTCCTCAAACACATACACTTGCTTGTACTCAATGTTTTGAAGAGGTTTTTATTGAAGTCCAGACATATGAATGCTTTTACTCTGAAGGATTATATTGAAGAAAGTATGACCAACCTGTAATGCAGCGATAGAAACTGACAGTTTTAGTCCTCTCGTCCTTATAATGATAACATAGCAAAACTCTTAAAAAGGGCAAATTACCAATAGTCCTTATGATACCTTAACTTTTGGACAGTTTGGCAGGGACTACAGGACTAGTGCCAATTTCTAACACTGTAATAACATTTCGTTTGTATAAAAGACAAAAATTAAATTTGTTTCCATTCATCAGCACAAATGTTGTCAAAAAATCATTGTTTGGATTTCGTTATCCCAATAACTTGTAAGTAAGACAAATCAGGCTGAAACATGCAGTGTAAAACCTCTCTTCCTCCATGTGCTTGAAGTGCCATGTAGGATACAGTGCGTCACCAGGAAGGTTGGATGTCTGTATATCGTGATTCTAGTCTGACTTATATGTGTTTGTGAAGCATTCAAGTTCTGGGGTTCATTCTCCTTTGTTGGGCGGAGGTTGTTGTGAGTGTCGTGGCCTGGTTCACAAACTGCTGACTCATGGGTTGCGCAAGTACCACAAGGATGTCTATATGCTGAACAAAACAACTTAGGGATCATGAATATTTGGGGGGATATTTTTTATGAAGTTGTATGCACAGTCTTCACTGCAAAAAATATCCCCAAAAATGTTCAAGACCCTAACTTTTTTTTGTTCAGTAAAGGATTCTGCCCTTGGCAGGCATCGTGGAAAACTTGTATTTGACCTTGTATTCTATCACTGCGTTCAGCGCAGTGTTGTAAACTAGGTACTGAGGTCTGTGTTTGTTCATTTCTCCTGTTGTCTGTTAAAATACAAGTCAGCAATGCAAAGCCATAACATTGATAATAACATTATTAAGGCTAAAAGAAATTATAGTCTTGGTTCTCAGGCACTGCCTGCATCATCATTAAGTCTGCTGCACGTTTCGTTTTTATTTCCATTTTCCCCCAAAATACAAAAATCCTAATACTTAAAACAATGAGATCCAATATAGAACAGAGTTACTTCCCTTTACATGCGCACTGCTTTATGCACATCTTGTGTTCTGGTCATGGCGGCAATAGGAGTTTGTGTACTTGTTTATATAGGGGGCCCTTTCCCAGGTTGACTGTACACAAATGTTTATTTGGTTACCGGAACATACTCGAGTTTTAACAAGCAAAAAACAAAAATGGCTTGCATGCACTATAATTTCTAGAGTCATTGCCTGAGAACCAATTCGTTTATTTATTTTTAAGCCTAAAATGAATTGGGAAATTTTGATTCGAATTTTGGGAAATTGTACTGCCATTTGCTGAAGACTTCGGAGCAGGTCTAGACAAACCCCTGTACCATCAAACATAAATTAGGGCTGAGCCTGCTAGCCAGTGTCTAATGTTAAGGGCTAGTAGAATAACAGGTTGTACTCAGTACCAACAGGCTCTAGGGATAGAATGTCCTTTCCTTTTTTTCAAGTGAACCAGGGCTACACAGAAAGACTTTTTTTGGATTATATGTGCCAAGAAGTACATTTGATCCTCCATGTATCTAATTTAGAACATTTGCCCTTTCCTTTTCTTTGAGATTGATTACATCCTTTTCTACTTCTGAATCCCCAGTTTTTTTCGAAAGAAGGAAACATAGTTTCTCCTGATGCATGTTTTCCGTTTGCTTTTTTGCATTGCTGTATTTTTTACGTATGACATTAAAATATGATACTAAAGTGGTATTGTCTATACTGTCGTACCCTGTTGGGACAGGTCGACAGCCCCCCCATAGGCCTGAGGTCTAACTAAACTTGGGATAGGGCGGTCAGGCTCTGTAACCTGGGTGACTGCATGGCATCACACCCCAGTGGCTACTGTCATTGCTGTACTATCGACGACTGATTTTATTTCTGTTATATGGCTGCTTCATTGCTGACACAGACTCACTCACTCTACTGTCAGGTGGCCAGATGCCATATCTAGTGCCCTAGTGTCAGGTTGCCAGATGCAATATCTAGTGCCCTAGTGTCAGGTGGCCAGATGCCATATCTAGTGCCCTAGTGTCAGGTGGCCAGATGCCATATCTAGTGCCCTGGTGTCAGGTGGCCAGATGCCATATCTAGTGCCCTGGTGTCAGGTGGCCAGATGCCATATCTAGTGCCCTAGTGTCAGGTGGCCAGATGCCATATCTAGATCCTAGGGGAAATATTGTCATGCAATGGTGAACATGTTAATCCTAGGGGAATATTGTCATGCAATGGTGAACATGTTGATCCTAGGGGAAATATCGTCATGCAACAGTGAACATATAGATCCTAGGGGAAATATTATTATGCAATGGTGAACATCTAGATCCTTAGGAAAATATTGTCATGCAATGGTGAACATGTTGGTGAGCCAGTGTGGTGGTGGTGTTGAACTGACATGGCGACTGATCTTATTTGTTTTGACATAGTTGAACTGTCTGTATAATCTCAATCACAAGAGAGATGTATTGAACTTCAGTTGTTCTCAGTGCCAGCTAGGCAGTACTGACTTCAGTTATAGCATAAAAATCATTGATGTTTCTTCAATCAAAGTTGATTCAACTAGTGTCTGTTTATGCCATCCTGAAACAATATTTGTCACATGCACAAAGACTGATTGATTTGACCCACATTATGAAAGGTAGAATACTATTCTCTCCACAACATGTTCTGTAGTGTATGTTGTATGAAAGGGGAAAACTGAGTACTATTGTCTTCACAACATGTTCTGTAATGTATATTGTAGCACTATTTTCTATAATTGTTTTTGTTATTTATTCAATTATGAAAGAATAAAAAAATAAGAGCTGTGGCAATTTTGCCATCTAGTTATCACATGTCAAATTTTCTCTGTAAAGATCCTGTTAATTGTGTAACTAGAGGGCAGGACTAATGCAGTAGTTAAGCACTTGTTTCTAAAACCTCTTTTTTTTGACAGATTAATAATTAAATTTAAAGTGGTCGCTGTTAACATAGTTTGTATAGATTTCTTTGAAGTCTAAAGTTATATTTTATATCTGATTTTGAAGTAATCAGAATCATTTTTGTGGAATCAACCTTTAGAAAAATATTTTGTGTCCAGAGTGGTTAATATGTTGAAAATGGTTTATGCCTTACAAAATATAAAATTCAGTTTATAGTTTTTCAGTAACTTCACTCCTATACTACATATTACTGTAGGCAATCCCACATGCATCACTTTCATGCTCTTTGTTGTGTTGGTTTCAGAAGTTAGATATACACCAATTACATGTTGTGGTGTTATCAACCTGTGAAATTGGCGACGGGCTTAGAGCTTGACAGATAAACTATAATCATATGAAAGAATCAGGTGATCCTAACCTTTTTTGGAGTGACATGAACAATGTTTGATGTTTGCCTTCTGTGTTTCAGTCGTGGCTGTCTCCGTGAGGTCATCTGAGTTCCTTGTATCGTGACAGGCAGCGCTCCTCATCCCAATATCTGTGATATACGCATCGTATGCATGGAGAACCACCTCAGTACCTGCAGTACAGATACTGTAACCAGCCAGATCAGTGATGTCTGTGAGTGACTGTGATCTGTGTTGTCGTCTGCTGTTGACTGACCGGATTGATGGCATCTGTGATTGTCTTTGTTGGGCGTCTGTGAGTGTGTGTTGTCGTCTGCTGTCTACTGGCCAGATTGATGGCATCTGTGATTGTCTGTGTTGGGCGTCTGTGAGTGTGTGTTGTCGTCTGCTGTCAACTGGCCAGATTGATGGTATCTGTGATTGTCTTTGTTGGGCGTCTGTGATGCTGTGTTATCGTCTGCTTTTGACTGACCAAATTGATGGCATCTATGATTGTCTGTGTTGGGCGTCTGTGATGGCGTGTTGTCGTCTGCTGTCGCCTGGCCAGATTGATGGCATCTGTGATTGTCTGTGTTGGGCGTCTGTGATGATGTGTTGTCGTCTGCTGTCGACTGGCCAGATTGATGGCATCTATGATTGTCTGTGTTGGGCGTCTGTGATGCTGTGTTATCGTCTGCTTTTGACTGACCGAATTGATGGCATCTGTGATTGTCTGTGTTGGGCGTCTATGATGGTGTGTTGTGTTGTCATCTGCTGTCGCCTGGCCAGATTGGTGGCATCTGTGATTGTCTGTGTTGGGCGTCTGTGAGTGTGTGTTGTCGTCTGCTGTCGACTGGCCAAATTGATGGCATCTGTGATTGTCTGTGTTGGGCGTCTGTGATGGCGTGTTGTCGTCTGCTGTCTACTGGCCAGATTGATGGCATCTGTGATTGTCTGTGTTGGGCGTCTGTGATGCTGTGTTATCGTCTGCTTTTGACTGACCGAATTGATGGCATCTGTGATTGTCTGTGTTGGGCGTCTGTGATGGTGTGTTGTGTTGTCGTCTGCTGTCACCTGGCCAGATTGATGGCATCTGTGATTGTCTGTGTTTGGCGTCTATGACTGTGTGTTGTCGTCTGCTGTCTACTGGCCAGATTGATGGCATCTGTGATTGTCTGTGTTGGGCGTCTGTGAGTGTGTGTTGTCGTCTGCTGTCTACTGGCCAGATTGATGGCATCTGTGATTGTCTGTGTTGGGCATCTGTGATGGTGTGTTGTCGTCTGCTGTCACCTCGCCAGACTGATGGCATCTGTGATTGTCTGTGTTGGGCGTCTGTGATGGCGTGTTGTCGTCTGCTGTCGACTGGCCAGATTGATGGCATCTATGATTGTCTGTGTTGAGCGTCTGTGATGGTGTGTTGTCGTCTGCTGTCTACTGGCCAGATTGATGGCATCTGTGATTGTCTGTGTTGGGCGTCTGTGATGGTGTGTTGTCGTCTGCTGTCGACTCGCCTGATTGATGGCATCTGTGATTGTCTGTGTTGGGCGTCTGTGATGGTGTGTTGTCGTCTGCTGTCGCCTGGCCTGATTGATGGCATCTGTGATTGTCTGTGTTGGGCGTCTGTGAGTGTGTGTTGTCGTCTGCTGTCTACTGGCCAGATTGATGGCATCTGTGATTGTCTGTGTTGGGCGTCTGTGATGGTGTGTTGTCGTCTGCTGTCGACTCGCCTGATTGATGGCATCTGTGATTGTCTGTGTTGGGCGTCTGTGATGGTGTGTTGTCGTCTGCTGTCGACTCGCCATACTGATGGCATCTGTGATTGTCTGTGCTGGTTGTATGTGACGGTTATCTGCTGTAAAATAGATGACATCTGTGATTGTCTGTGTTAATCATCAGCCAGTGTGATGACGTGTGTTGATCATCTGTGATTGACTGTTGATCAAGGGCTGTGTAGAATTGACAATTAATGACTTGTTTATCACCAGACATTTAGGTGTTCACAGTCATGTTACTGTGACCGTTCGGACATACAAATATATAAGCATTACAACTGGACTTCTGGCTGGACTCTTCGGGCTTGGTCAGCTCAACTGGACTGACCACCCAGGTCAACTCTCTGCTTAAACACCTCCAAAACAACAGCCATGATCAAAGTGAAACAAGGGGAGGTAATCCCAACACCACAAAGAAGTTCAGAGCTGCATCTTGAGTAATTTACTGTTGATCTGGTGTGTTTGTATAAAATTATTTAGAAAACTTTTTTATAGGAAAAGGGGTTAATTCAATCTTTAGTTAGCACCATATAAGAATTCCATGTTGCAAACATTTCTTTACAGTTGAATCCAAGCAAGGTAGATTGTGTGGATTTTCATGACAAACAGTTTTTGTGCACTTATTTGTTTTGGCTTAAGATTCTTTTTGAAACTTTATTTCTGGTATAACTGTTCACTATTATCTCTGTAACCATAGTGATAGTGCTTTCAAGAATTCCTTGCCAAAAATTAGCAATCAAATTTCTCCAACCAGTTGTAGCTACAATTTACCATTGCTGACATATACCGTATTCACCGTATTAAGAACCCTGCTGCAATCATCGCCCCCTGAGCAACTTTAGACCATTCTGTAAGTAATTTTTATAAGTGCCCCGACTAAGATCGATTACATTGCAGTCTATATTTTCTTGTGTGTCATACAGATTTAGTTACGGAAAAGATCAGTGCAAAAGTGGTATATAATTACCAAGCAATTATTATCAAAACTGTTTTAGCTTCTCCGATGTTTGAACCAAGTTTGTTCACTCCGATCACTGACAACAACTTTAATTCTGTATGGTTTTAATAAGTGCCCCTGTTTTCCCAATTTTCTTTGCACAAGGGTGTTTATTACGGTAATATGGTAACTTGATTTGTTTTATATGTAATTAGATGTCATGTACAGGGTACTGGAGTCATATATATATGTAGTATATTCAGAGATGTACATACATGGTTGATATCTGTTGTTGATATCAGTAAACAATGACACCCTCATACATGACGGATTACCACTAGGAATTGGGATGAGTAAAGATTAGCTTTAAGTGTTGTTTGTTTTAAACATTTTATTTGTTTTTGTATGGTGTCTAGACATAAATGCTTTTTTTTAAGGGAAATAGATTCAAATGTAATTTGAACGTAGACCCATATTTATAAAAATATTTATGTTTTAGCTAACCTGTATCCAAACATAGCATTGTAGAGATGATTTTGGACTTAAACCTGTTTTGTGCTGTGTTTGGAGATGCTAAGCTGATTGTCTTGATCAAATAAAAAAATGGTTGTGAAGTTTTAGAAACCTATGACGGTAGCACGGTTAGTGCTACAAATGGCAGTATCATATATGATTCAGAGAAATTCCTACAAGCCATCTATCAGTTGTCATAGTTACCATGGAGGCACCGTCCCCTGAGAATACTGCTTCCCTCTGACACAAACTTGCCAAAGTAGGTTTTTTCTTGTCATGAAATCACTTCACACCTCACCAATATTTTAAGAAGTAAAATCACTCTCCCTTTTTATTCTATTCAATGTGCTAAATAAGGTATTTTTTTCACAATTCTCCCTAAAACAGTCATCATGACTGATGGCCTCATACCAGGTAGCTGCTGATCACTGGATCACCAGGCATCGGTACCACGCTGCCAGTACCAGGCTGCCAGTACCAGCCATCGGTACCACGCTGCCAGTACCAGCCATCGGTACCACGCTGCCAGTACCAGCCATCGGTACCACGCTGCCAGTACCAGGCTTCAGTTTTTTATTTCTCGTCATTTTGACATCATCTGGTGGTGTTCTATATATTGACATCATCTGGTGGTGTTCTATATTTTGACATCATCTGGTGGTGTTCTATATATTGACATCATCTGGTGGTGTTCTATATATTGACATCATCTGGTGGTGTTCTATATATTGACATCATCTGGTGGTGTTCTATATTTTGACATCATCTGGTGGTGTTCTACATATAGACATCATCTGGTGGTGTTCTATATATTGACATCATCTGGTGGTGTTCTACATATTGACATCATCTGGTGGTGTTCTATATATTGACATCATCTGGTGGTGTTCTATATATTGACATCATCTGGTGGTGTTCTACATATTGACATCATCTGGTGGTGTTCTATATATTGACATCATCTGGTGGTGTTCTATATATTGACATCATCTGGTGGTGTTCTATATATTGACATCATCTGGTGGTGTTCTATATATTGACATCATCTGGTGGTCTTCTACATATTGACATCATCTGGTGGTCTTCTATATATTGACATCATCTGGTGGTCTTCTATATATTGACATCATCTGGTGGTGTTCTATATATTGACATCATCTGGTGGTGTTCTATATATTGACATCATCTGGTGGTGTTCTATATATTGACATCATCTGGTGGTGTTCTATATATTGACATCATCTGGTGGTGTTCTACATATTGACAGACTGGGGATGAAGTATATCTTTGTATCTGTTTTTTCGCAGTATGGCTGCAGTGCTTGTTACCAAATGTTCTGCTCAGTGCAATATGTTGGTTTTTTTCTGTTCAATATTATCTTTCTGTCTTATGAATCATGATTATTATTAATAGTTATGCATGTTAATGATTATGTTTATATTGCTGACCAAATGTGTGTGAATGATAGCTGAAGGGAATGACTATTTGAATATCTTGCCAATTGATTTGTTTTAACTAATAGATTAGTTTATTTGGTAGTCATGTAGTTTTGTGTGTTAAGAGGAATGACATATGCTTTACATGTGTGTTGCATTGTGCTTATTGCATTGTATTTATTCAAAATATCAAACATAGCAATAAGAACACACAAATGGCCAATAAAACTGAATGATGTTTCTTGAATGAAAGCTCTACACCCTGAATTTATTACTTTGCTTTTCACCTAACAGTGTTTTATTTTATAGGAAAAGCATTTCAAAAAATGATCCTGATAGTTTACTGTTTATAAATGTATCATGTTACAGTTGCCATGACAACATAATTATGAGATCTTCATCTTTTCTTGTTTCACTTATATCTGCCTTACTGCACATAATTTACTATAATGGTGGTTCATCAGTTAATTCCATGTAACCTGCAAGATAGCTCCACTGTGACATCATCTGACTATAATGCAATGCTTCATTCCACTGAAATACAGTGAAACCTCTTTATTCCGGACACTACCAGTTCGGAAACCTCGACTTTCAGACGATCGTCATGGGAACATCAATCTGTATATATATCAACATTACTTAGATTCCTTAATCTGGATAATTTCGCGAAGAAAGGTACTGGATTAACGAGGTTTGACTGTACAATGAATGTGAAACTGGACACATTGGATATATCCACTGTATTTTTTCAGTATGTCTACTCACACTGATATTCCTATCGCACATCAAATATTATTCACAATTCAAACAATTTGCATATGGTCAAGACGTTAAATTCTAAAACCTTCAAAAAACTCATCCAAGTCATGTGATGCCTAGATCTTAACGTCACATGTACTTGGTGACAGTTGATATTAACAGAGCATTTAGAAGATTCATACCATAGTCCAATACTCATTTCCACTGCTTGGGTCAAAATGGAGACACCATTGTATATCTGTGTATCAAAGATTAATTGGTTGCAAAACTATCAAAGACACCCGTATCTTTTGCTTGTAATACAAAACTCAAAAGAAGTTAAAGATCACCTGACTAACTATAGTCATATAAAAAAATGGGTGTGCTTTAACTTCTTTTGTGTAATATTAATATTAATATATAATTTATATATAATGAAACATCCACCGTTGTGTCTAGGGACAAAGTATGATTGTCATATGAGGTGGCTTTGATGATCGGGTTAGGTTCATTGCGTGCCATCGTACCCCAACTGCATGGATCAGTGGATTGTCTGGTCCTGACATGATAACTTACAAGCCGCCATCAAATGGCTGGAATTTTGAAGTGTGCTTGATTCACCTAACCTTATAGAATTATCCCATATTCTTAGCCTCAACTTGAACAACTTCTTCATACTTTTATATGACTCATTCATTCTTCAGGACTTGGCTTCATAAATATGGACAAAATCTTGTGGCTTTTTCCTCTCTGCTGGGGTCTTGGAAAGTGAGAGATTTGTGCAGGTGTGTGGGTTATCTCCCCTTGTTGGTGCTATGGAGACAACATGGTGGTGGCCTGCCTATCAGATATGGTTATTTGTATATATTGTTCCTGCACAGCAGTTATTGAATTATTTTCTGGGTGTTTGCTATGTGATACGAACCCTTCAAGAGGTGCATGATTCAGAGTATTGTATATATGGGAACATGATGATAAAACTTACCAATAAACCATAATCAATATTTCCATGTGTTTTGTTCTTGAGCAGAATCGGCAATCAATGCTTACAATATAGAAATGAGACATAAAAGAAAAAATGGTCGAACAGATTTATTACGTTCCACTTTCTGTGGTACAAACAAGCATATTGTGGACAGGAATTCACGTTCTTTTAGAGACCAGATGCTTTTGGAGTTAGGCTGGAATGATGCTAAAACCTCACTGTCACCACTGGGGATACCAATTTCAGGACAACATTATGACCACAAGGCTACATCACTGCATCATGCTTTTGGACCTTATAGTAGTTGATCATATACACTAGGAAAGATAAATTAATTTTCTGTTTTTAATTTTTTTTCACATAAATGATATACAGGCTTTCAAAATCAAGTATACTACCCAAAAGAAGTTACAGAACACCCGAGTTTTGCATCTGGCTATAGTTAATCTGCCATGGCTGTGGGTACTGCAACACAAACTCTTCCAGTAGTGGGTGTTCTTTAACTTGTTTTGAGTAGTATAAATCTATTAAGAACGCAAGTCTAGTCGACAAAGATATAATTGTCACACCAACATACATATATGACCAGAAGACCTGTTGTATCCTGATGTCCGTACCGACATAACTACTGACTTGTCTGGCCAGTCAGATCATGTGTCAGCAAGACCTGTTGTATCCTGATGTCCATACCGGCATAACTACTGACTTGTCTGGCCAGTCAGATCATGTGTCAGCAAGACCTGTTGTATCCTGATGTCCGTACCGGCATAACTACTGACTTGTCTGGCCAGTCAGATCATGTGTCAGCAAGACCTGTTGTGTCCTGATGTCCGTACCGGCATAACTACTGACTTGTCTGGCCAGTCAGATCATGTGTCAGCAAGACCTGTTCTGTCCTGATGTCCATACCGGCATAACTACTGACTTGTCTGGCCAGTCAGATCATGTGTCAGCAAGACCTGTTGTATCCTGATGTCCGTACCGGCATAACTACTGACTTGTCTGGCCAGTCAGATCATGTGTCAGCAAGACCTGTTCTGTCCTGATGTCCGTACTGGCATAACTACCGACTTGTCTGGCCAGTCAGATCATGTGTCAGCAAGACCTGTTCTGTCCTGATGTCCGTACTGGCATAACTACTGACTTGTCTGGCCAGTCAGATCATGTGTCAGCAAGACGTTATGATTATTTCTTAATGTCACAATTGCATGCTTTCAGGAGCTCCCATCTACTGAACTCTCCATGTCTGGTTCATCTCTCTTGTCTTCTTGTAGAATCTGCAACAACCAATCCATCAGTGCAATGCCTTACATGACCACTGGCAGGTATATGTAGGTATTGTTACCACTGTCATGGCAAAACGTAGGGTAGTCATTCTGAATAATTTGGCAACAGCATCCGCACGGATCCAATCATCTTCGGTGGCTGACTGGAGAGGTTCGGGTCGTGCTATTTATTAACAGCAGACATTTTGACCACTGGAACCTGTTTTTGGTCTGTGTCTTCAGATCCTATGCCAGAGTCTCAGGCAATATCCTCACCTTGATTGACGTGTCTTGCTGAAACAGGGACAATGAATCAATCTAAAATCCGATCTTAGTTCTAGCTACCACGAAACAAAGTTCTGAGGACATCCCATTCAGGTCACATAAGAACGACCATTCATCCGACTAATCAGAGCGTCGCTTACCAGATCAGGACATGACTGTTAGGATGAGCTTTGTCATCATGCAACCTCGAAAAGATCAAAACAGGGTGACAGTCTGTATGACTGATGATGTCAATCTTGTGTCTATCTCTCGTTTCAATGGGACAAATATTTGAAACAGAAGAGACTTTCCATCTCCAGCGGGAAGCACTGCCATACAATCTCAGCCATTTATAAGACATTACAGAATTTCCTCTTCAGTTTTCAAATTTTGAACCAATGTGCTGTCAGAACTAGTGCTGTAGAGCTAGAGAAAGCTGCTATCTGATTGGCTATTATTTACTTCTTGTTACAGTCATTTCATTGATCGGTCAAAGTTCGGGTAATGTCGTCCTGACAGGACCTGTAAAGGGATGCGTTCAGATCTTTGTGTAGCAGTAGGGAGAACTAAGATCTGATTAAAATGACATTGATGATGTTATGTAACATTGTTAAATTTTGTTAAGGAATGACCATTTAATATTTGCGTGGGGCATGGGGCTGTGATATTATTTCAAATGCTGTTTCCAGATTACAATTTTATTCTCTGAATGGACGAACAAGACAATTTGTGTCAAACCAACAACATTTTTTTTTAAGAAATCCAGTGTTAAGTTTACCAAGGCAAAATGATACTTTCTCAGGGAAATCTTTCTCTCTTTCTTGCTCAGCCCCCTGACAGGAACTTGTTGAGGCTGCTCTGGGAATTACCTGATTTACATAGAGATTACTACACGAGAGTCTGTCACATACCATATATCGTACCAGTTGTGGGTATGAGTTAATGAACACCCTAGCTCAAGATCACAGACCACAGTCTCTACCAAAGAAAATCCTAATGAGTGAGTATGGTTTTACGCCGCTTTTAGCAATATTCCAGCAATATAACGGCAGGGGACACCAGAAATGGGCTTCACACATTGTACCCATGTCGCGAATCGAACCCGGGTTTTCAGCGTGACAAGCGAACACTTTAACCACTACGCTACCCGACCGCCCCTAAAATCCTAATGACAAATTTTGATTGAAATAAATACCTTCATGCTGATGAATGACATCGAATGCTCACTTGCTTCACTTGATGCTGGGAGAGTTAGTACACAACTGAAAGGAAAGAAATATATTCTCATAATGCAGTTGTATAAATTAATCTCTTTACATGTTTAAGCGAGTTACTTGCCCAATATTTCAACCTCCCCTACCTACATTGTATGCAACATAACATCTACAAGTAACACTGACATCTGTCGAGTTTGCAAAGAATGAAGTCATGCATTGAGAATTAACATCTTTCAGGCCTTGTCCAAGAAAGCGATCTTGTCCTACAGAAGATGTCTACATTGATAAACTGTTCAGTTCTTGTAATTTAGTTAAATCATATCTTTACTTAACAAAAAAAAGTTAGCGATCATGAATATTTTTGGGGACATTTTTTTGTAGTGAGGTCTACATATATTTCATAAAAATATCCCTAAAAATATCCATGATCCCTAACTTCTTTTGTTCAGTATGTATATATATATATATATATATTGCAGTCTCTTCACTATACCACCATACTCACACCTAAACAATAACAAATGAGCACTAAACGTCTGTAACATACAACAAGAGATCAAAGCAGTCACTTACTCCGACTTCTGCATCACAACAAAGTAAGCATGTTTCATGATTAGTTAGTGAGTTCCAAATTAACGTCACATCGGCAATATTTCAGCCATATCGCTCATGATTAAAACATAACATTCAGTATCATACAAATAACTCTCCTTAATTCTTATCGCGCATCATAACTCAATTTTGCTAAGGATATTTGCCGCTCATCACTAAATATACTATTCAAAAAAGTCAAGTGTCACCCATTTCTTTCATTTTACCATAATTAATCTGTCATGGCATGACAGATTAACTACAGTATTATGAAAGGATTGGGGGGATCCTTAATTTCTTTAAAGTAGTATATGTCCTCTATAAATCCTGATCTGACAAACATGAGGTCATTCCGTATGTCACAATCAATGTCAAGCGTGTCCTCAATGAGGTTGTCGCGTTCTACGACTATCGTAAGCTGTTGTCAAGACGTAGGAATAATAAGGACACTTAATTTTTTTAAGGAATAGGGGGCACGGGTGGCCCAGTCGTCTAAGGCACCGCGATTCGCTGTGCAGAGCTGCGTCCCTTGGGCACGGCAGAAACCTATGATTGTGGGTTCGAATCCCGGTTCACCCCGATTATATTTCTAGGTTTGTCAGCACCATACCCGTGCTCGTGGGTTTCACCGAACTGGTAAACATCTGAGACCTGCATCAGTTCGGGCTTTCCTCCCATATTAAACTGACAAGCCACGATATAACTGGAATACTGTTAAAAGCGGCATTAAACCCAACTCACTCGCTCACTCTTTAAGGAATGCTCGGTTTACAACCCCAGAAAAGTAGGCACAAAAATTGCCATGATTGCCAGACATATCTGATGTTAGAATCACTGAAGATCATAAAAATATAGCATTATATTTCCAGCATGAAGTTCCGAGTATGTTTCATTCAATGCTTCAGCTAATTCTGACTGATCTCACATTAATTGATTGGTTATCCTTAGCAAAGATTGAGTAACATGACTGATCTCCTTGTCATCACACAGTATCAATACATCAAGTATTCCTTTATTTCACGTCACATTTATCTTGCGAAGAGAGAAATCATCCGACAATACAATGCTGACGTCACAGAACATATTGTTTCTAAAATATAGTTAAGTTATTTGAAGTACGCTACTTGTACGTTTTGCCTACTAAATATCACATTGCTAATCAGCTGATATAAAATATAATCCACAAAAAAAACTTCTGAGTGTGTCGCATTGGGACTTTTTGCACAACTGAATTCTGCAAGTTAATTTACTTAATATCAACAGGGAATAATATTTTGCGAGAATGAATGCATATCTTTAGTCCTATTGCAGAGGAATTTCAGTTACTGATCATGAAAATAAGGTACAAAGAATCAGAAGGCTACCAAAAGATATAAACACATAGTTAAAGGGATGTCTTCCAAAACTATGTTTGTCAGTGTCAGCAGAAAGACAAGGTGTCTTGCTACAGCAAGAAACAATCCACTGTCACTTGCTCACAATTTCTCTCCCCCACAAGAAAATGCCCTGAGTGAAACAACACATGGACTACCCGTGAAGCAGTCAGTTACTCGGTCGTCCTCCGTGTTGTCCTGCTGCTGATGTCAGTTGCTCCTTGTCCTCGCTGTCAGTAACACCGTCGTCAACATCTTCTCGCGTTACACGTACTTCTATATCTATACGTTTGAAACAGGTACTCTCTGCTGATGGTAGCACAAAGTCAATACGTGTTTTCAACATGCTGACTTTAAGAGGAACTAAACTTTCTTCACTGGAACACTAATGACTATGACGACATTTGACTTGTCTTCAAACCTATGTCTACATTCCTAGATTTATCAAGGCAAACTGATAAACTAACAGCTAATGTCTTACACTTGGAGTGCCATTTAAAGGACATTTATCCCAAGAGGAGATTGGACTGTGATTTGTGAACCAGTACTATTGTACAGCGACTGGTCCAGTGATCTTTCCTGTGGGACAGTTCTATTGTACAGCTACTGGTCCAGTGATCTGTGGGACAGTTCTATTGTACAACTACTGGTCCAGTGATCTGTGGGACAGTTCTATTGTACAGCTACTGGTCCAGTGATCTTTCCTGTGGGACAGTTCTATTGTGCAACTAATGATCCAGTAATCTGTGGGACAGTACTATTGTACAGCTACTGGTCCAGTGATTTGTAGGACAGTTCTATTGTACAACTACTGGTCCAGTGATCTTTCCTGTGGGACAGTTCTATAACACAGCTACTGGTCCAGTAATTTGTGAACCAGTACTATTGTACAGCGACTGGTCCAGTGATCTTTCCTGTGGGACAGTTCTATTGTACAGCTACTGGTCCAGTGATCTGTGGGACAGTTCTATTGTACAACTACTGGTCCAGTGATCTGTGGGACAGTTCTATTGTACAGCTACTGGTCCAGTGATCTTTCCTATGGGACAGTTCTATTGTGCAACTAATGATCCAGTAATCTGTGGGACAGTACTATTGTACAGCTACTGGTCCAGTGATTTGTAGGACAGTTCTATTGTACAGCTACTGGTCCAGTGATCTGTGGGACAGTTCAATTGTACAGCTACTGGTCCAGTGATCTGTGGGACAGTTCTATAACACAGCTACTGGTCCAGTGATTTGTGGGACAGTTCTATTGTTCAGCTACTGGTCCAGTGATCTGTGGGACAGTTCTATAACACAGCTACTGGTCCAGTAATTTGTGGGACAGTTCTATTGTACAGCTACTGGTCCAGTGATTTGTGGGACAGTTCAATTGTACAGCTACTGGTCCAGTGATCTGTGGGACAGTTCAATTGTACAGCTACTGGTCCAGTGATCTGTGGGACAGTTCTATAACACAGCTACTGGTCCAGTGATTTGTGGGACAGTTCTATTGTTCAGCTACTGGTCCAGTGATCTGTGGGACAGTCCTATAACACAGCTACTGGTCCAGTAATTTGTGGGACAGTTCTATTGTACAGCTACTGGTCCAGTGATTTGTGGGACAGTTCAATTGTACAGCTACTGGTCCAGTGATCTGTGGGATAGTTCTATTGTACAGCTACTGGTCCAGTGATTTGTGGGACAGTTCAATTGTACAGCTACTGGTCCAGTGATCTTTACTGTGGGACAGTTCTGTTGTACAACTACTGGTCCAGTGATCTGTGGGACAGTTCAATTGTACAGCTACTGGTCCAGTGATCTGTGGGACAGTTCTATAACACAGCTACTGGTCCAGTGATTTGTGGGACAGTTCTATTGTTCAGCTACTGGTCCAGTGATCTGTGGGACAGTTCTATAACACAGCTACTGGTCCAGTGATTTGTGGGACAGTTCTATTGTACAGCTACTGGTCCAGTGATCTTTACTGTGGGACAGTTCTATTGTACAACTACTGGTCCAGTGATCTGTGGGACAGTTCTATTGTACAGCTACTGGTCCAGTGATCTTTACTGTGGGACAAGGCCCCGTTTCACAAAGGCACCATTGTGCTACGACCGTCAAATGTCTGTTAAAGATAATAACACACAGTCACAGTGGTACAGCGGTACACAAGTTGTCTGTGCTGGTGATCTATTCTGCTCTGTAATATCCAAGAGATTTTGTATTGTGATATGGACAAAGGGAGACAAGCATGTGGTACCAGGGACCTATTCTGCCTCGGGCTCTCCAACTGTTGTAAATCTGTTAAAGTCTATATGACAGTCGTAGTGGTACAATCCGTTGTAAAACGGAGCCCTGCACTACCATACAGCTGTTGACCCACTGATCTTTACTGAGGGACAGTTTTACTCTACAGCTTATGTCTTTTACCCGAAGATCTTACACTGTCCTGGCAACACACGTCAAAAAAGGTTGGTTTGTTGTTTAACGCCGCACTAAGCCATATTCCAGCTATATGACGGCGGTCTGTAAATAATCGAGTCTGAGCCAGACAATCCAGTGATTGATATCATGCGCATCAATCCACGCAATTGGGATACGATGACATGCATCAACCACATGCCGTTAGTCCCCTTTTACGACAAGCATTGTCCCGTCAAGAAAGGAGTCAAGTTAAGATGTCGCTGAAGCAGTCAGATTCTTTATCACATTTATTATCTCTTTAGAAAGGATTTTACATGACAATAGTTTAACATGTGACAACACTATGCCAAGTATGCATGATAAGATGACTTCTACATTAAGACAAACTGGACACAGGGCGGGGGTGTGCGGCTCTAAAACTCATGTATTGATAAACAATAAAAGCAATGAGGCATTAAGTGAGACAGAAGACTGCTGTTAGTACCTCCAGCCCCAAAACAACATTCCTACACAGGACAATTAACACCATAATGAAAAACAATGATTTATGAATAAAAGTATATGTCAACACTGTTCTTGTTGTAAATCCCTTTGCTTCAAGAACGCAACCAGAGCAATCCTCGTGGGACAATGAGAACTTAGACTTCCAAATACTCATTATTTGTTGTGATCATGTCCAACTGACGTAATAGATTTAGCTGTCAAATGTGTAGAAAATTACAAATATGTTCAACATGTTCAATGTCTGAGCTGTTATTAAACCTACAACTCAGGGTGAAAACAACCAAAATAACGTTTGAACAAGAACGGGTTCACAGATGTTAAACAGTCAACCAAACACGTGAATGTCACAACTATTGACAAAGGTGATCTCGGGCTATTTGTCGAAAATGTTCACAGTTATCAGGTCAGTACTGTGATTGGTCAATTGTTTTCCGTTTTCACTGTCAAGTGTTCTGTGATTGGTCGACTTCTCAAAGTCACAGGCGCATGTCTGTTCGTTGGTGACGTCCGTTTCAAGGTCAGTCAACTGTTAAGAAATTGACATGGTATTAACATTGACATACTTGTTCACAGATCATGAAAATGGCCACTGCAAGGCTGAAGAAAAACATTAGTATTCAGGTACCAGGTTATCAGAGAAAGCAGCCAGCATTAAAGCAGTTTTACTTATTTCTAAAATTTGACATCCATGTAGGATATTAGGCACGAAATAGCGCCACAAAGAATTCAGAAGTCACTACATGTGAACCAATTGTTGTAATTTCCTTAGCCTTATCATTAGATTTTCATCCCATCTCACATGGTCAGAACCGTCTGAACCTGGCTACCAGTGCAATTGCTTTCTTGTGGACATTCAGCACCAGACCTGCACTCATGGGCATTAAAATAAGAGGTGATTGTCTACGGTCTGCGTCAGTGTAGGTTTTAAGTTTTAACCTGTGAAGCTGACCCGTCGTGTCAAGATGTAAATGAATTAAAAAGACCACATACAAGCTGGGGATCTATTCTGCCTCGAGATCTCCATGGGATTCACTTTGCATTACTCTTCCTCGACAGAGGGACATTTTCAGTACTGGGGACTTATTCTACCTCGGGATCTCCATGGGATTCACTTTGCATTACTCTTCCTCGACAGAGGGACATTTTCAGTACTGGGGACTTATTCTACCTCGGGATCTCCATGGGATTCACTTTGCATTACACTTCCTCGACAGAGGGACATTTTCAGTACTGGGGACTTATTCTACCTCAGGATCTCCATGGGATTCACTTTGCATTACACTTCCTCGACAGAGGGACATTTTCAGTACTGGGGACTTATTCTACCTCGGGATCTCCATGGGATTCACTTTGCATTACACTTCCTCAATAGAGGGACATTTTCAGTACTGGGGACTTATTCTACCTCGGGATCTCCATGGGATTCACTTTGCATTACACTTCCTCGACAGAGGGACATTTTCAGTACTGGGGACTTATTCTACCTCGGGATCTCCATGGGATTCACTTTGCATTACACTTCCTCAATAGAGGGACATTTTCAGTACTGGGGACCTATTCTACCTCGGGATCTCCATGGGATTCACTTTGCATTACACTTCCTCAATAGAGGGACATTTTCAGTACTGGGTACCTATTCTACCTCGGGATCTCCATGGGATTCACTTTGCATTACACTTCCTCGACAGAGGGACATTTTCAGTACTGGGTACCTTTTCAGTCTTGGGATCTCCATGGGATTCACTTTGCCTTACACTTCCTCAATAGAGGGACATTTTCAGTACTGGGTACCTATTCTACCTCGGGATCTCCATGGGATTCACTTTGCATTACACTTCCTCGACAGAGGGACATTTTCAGTACTGGGTACCTTTTCCCTCTTGGGATCTCCATGGGATTCCAGGGTTAGAAACTAACAGTTTTTGTCCACTAGTCCTTATAATGATAACATATAGCAAAACCCTTAAAATAGGCCAATTTCTACTAGTCCTTAGGATACCTTTACTATTGGGCAGTTTGGTAAGGACTACAGGACTAGTGCCAATTTCTGCCGCTGGATTCACTTTGCATTACACTTCCTCGACAGCTGGACACAAATTTTCAGTACTGGGGACCTATTCTGCCCTGTAATTGGTAGTCTGGACCAAGGGAGACAAGCATGTGATATGGGACCTATTCTACCCTGTGACCTTATGGGATTCAACATGACCTGACTGGCGGAAATAGTCCCCCTAACAATCTCACAACACTGAAAACAATAGAGGGGGAAACCAGATCTCACAATTCCATTTCTAATAATTTTATCCCCATCCAATCAATAAGCAGTGTAGTTTTCAAATATCTAACTACGTCAAGAGGAGTGAGTGAGTGAGTGATTACAGCTAAATCAATTGCTCATGAGAAATGTCCCAGCTATTTACAGAGAGACCTATGAAGATGGATGAAAATCTAATGACCTCCTCCCACTGGCCGACAGATCAACAAGGCAAACACTGCTAGAGAAGCTCCGGACTGGGAGACAGGGAGTGAGGGAACCTGCCACCAATGTCCTCACACTAGTTACCAGTCATCATCACCAATAAAACATGTTAGGAAAGTTCAATAGAAAATCCTTTCAGACACACAAAAGAAGATTTTAGTTATTGTTTTGTTGAAGACATGAAATTCAAAGACAAAGATCAAAGTGTCTGTGGTAATTGTTAAGTCACACGTCAAGGATAGACATTGCTCCCAGGGATTCAAAAATGCTTGTAAATATCATTGTTGACCGTCATCAAAGTTTTGCCAGTACAAACATGCCAACAGCTGTAATAACCTACATCCATAATTCTACATCCATATTTCTCAAATGCACATTTTGTATTTACCCTGAAAACCAGCAATTTCAACGAAAGTTTCTGTCAATTTTACCCTCGAACTGTTTGATTGGCATTCTAGACGTTGGCGAGTTTGTATCTTAATGTTAGCCCCCATTCAGCATTAACTATCAGTGAGTGTGTGAGTTTGACTTTACGCCGCTTTCAGCAATATTCCAGCAATATTCCAGCAATATCCGGCAGGGACATCGGAAATGGGCTTCACACATTGTACCCATGTCGGGATTCAAACCCGGGTCTTCAGGATGACAAGCAAACACTTTAACCACTAGGCTAACTATCAGTAGAGGAAGCATGTACAGTATGCAACTTTAGTATGTGTGGCCCATTAGTTCAAAGCCAGGTCTAGTGAACTGTCTTTTAGTCTTGTATACTAAGCTAATGAAAGTCAATACATCAATGGGATAATCTACCGGCAAAACAATTGTCAAGTGACAAATTCCGGGTTTAAGACTCAAAGATTGATGGCACAGAGAGCATCTAACATCATCAAGGACTTTTGAACCCCTGCTGCAATAACCCAGAATGATAGTATCCCTCCAGACTCGCAATAACCCATCCCTCTCACCTTGCAAAACGCCCACATCAGTATCTGGCTTTCTTCGCTGGACCCTCCCCTGCTCCCTCGTTCTTGGGAGGCTCGGCCTCTAGCACCTTGAGCCTCTGTCCAGTGAGGTGCTGACCATGCAGCACCTGGATAGCCTTCATAGCGGCCTCCTTGCTGCCAAACTTGGCGTAACCATAGTTACGTCCTAATAGAGATACACAGTTTACATTGGTATGGTATAGACAACAACTGTAGCATGGAGCAACATTCAGATGCACAAATATTACAGCTGAGTGAAATTTATAAAACCTTTTTGTAGCAATAGTTTTGCAAGGTCTCAACCGTCTGTGACAATCTAATGTGTGATTGAGTATGTTTTATTGGGGTTTTTAGCAATATTCCAACAATATCTTGACGGGGGATACCAGAAATGGGCTTCACAAATTGTACCCATGTCAGGCTTCACAAATTGTACCCATGTTGGGAATCGAACCCGGGTCTTCGGCGGGATGAGCGGACAGTGTGCGTGGCTCATCAGACAACTGAGCACAACATTCAGTCCAGTGTTTGAATTAAGCACCTGCCTGTAGGTAGATCCATAGATCGTAGTCCCATAGTATGAGAGAGATATATGGTTCCTTATGTACAAACAGCCTCTTAACATACTTCACAACTTACACATTAATTTCTATAGCTAGCACAATCACTCCCTGTCGATATTTTATATAGCCACTCTACAACTCAAGCTACTTTCTGTGTAGTTTGAAGGATTGTACTAGCATACATTCTAAGAACATGCAGGGCCGTGGTCATCATAAAGCAACTTGTGGAAGACGTCACATCTCAACAACAACAAAAATAATCAACTGAAGATATTTTGCAGAAAGGCTGCAGCTTCTAAAGTCTGTTGGTCCTGATGGCGTCCTGGCAATTTGAATTGTTGAGTAAGTGATTACCACTTGAATTAGTCATGAGTGAGTGAGTATGGTTTACGCCGCTTTTAGCAATACTCCAGCATTATCACAGCAGAGGACACCAGGAATGGGCTTCACATATTGTACCCACATCGGGAATCGAACCCGGGTATTTAGCGTGACGAGCAAACGCTTTAACCACTAGGCTACCCGACCGCCCCGAATTAGTCATGAAGAAACAGTCTAAGTAATGGAAAGATAAGTGCAAGCTAAGGACTGGTACCAAGCATAATCATAACAAAATCATTTTTTGAAAACTGAAAGAGACCACCCACCTGCCAGCAAGTAAACATCAATCAGATTGCCAAATCTGCAGAAGGCATCTCGCAGAATCTTCTCAGATACAGACGAGGGCTGACATACGATGAACAGCCTCTGTGCTACGGGCGTGTCTTCTGGTTGGAGGGGTTTGGGAGGGGGGAGGGCGATGTTGCAGTACCCCACCCTCTCCATGGAGCTCTCTGCATTGAGGACCTGGTGTGGGTTGATCCCGGCCTTCTCCAGCAACATGGCCGCCTACAATAGTCAGTGTTACCATAGTAACATTATGCTCACAGGATATAGTACCAATACACAGATGTTATACAGTACTGTGTGCTGTTGTACAAAACAACCTTAGCGCTACGACTCTGGTAAGTCTATGTGAAGGTATGAGAGTTACGATCACCTTAGCGCTAAGATCGCTTTGTACAACAGCACCCTTGCATATTTAAAGGCAATGATCCCAGTTTTCAAGGGTAAGATCCTCGGACCCAAATGTTCTTTCAAACCTATATTTATTACCACATTCTTACTTTTTTTCATTGTCAGAAAAGTTGACGTTTGTCATGTTAGGCACCATGAAGAATGGAAAAAGTTAAAAAAAATATCTATTGTGTCCAGTAATACTCTGATGTAATAATCTTGCTATCTGAAAGTGCTGGCAAAAAATCCAGAAGATTTAGATGGATAAGAAAAAAAGAACACTTTTTGGGAATATATCATGATGGCGAAAGAGTGAGTGAGTTGGGTTCATCGCCACTTTTAACAGCATTCCAGTCATGTAATGGAGTGTCAGGTTGTTGGAGGAAAGCTTGAAGTCATGCAGGTCTCAGACGTTTACCACTTTGGTGGAACCCACGAGAACGGGTATGGTGCTGACAGACATAGCACCCATCATGCAACTCTACACAGGAAAATGCAGTGCCTAACGACTGGGTCTCTCGTGCCCCAAGAGCAAATACTGGTAGATCTTTACTATTGCCATATGTGTTGTGTGTCGAGTCATATCTCTCATGTCGTGGCTAGTCTAATACTGACCTGATGTCGGACATCGGGGCCATCTCTTGACCTTGACCTAAAGGAACAGAAACGAATATGAGGAGAATGTTATGGAAGACAAATCATGTTTCACTGATACAACACCAACAGGGAGGGATTATTATTAGCCGGTATGTTTGGTAACTTGGTAACTTGGTATCTTTGTCATACTTGAATCAACGTCAACTGACTCACCCTGAAAAACTGTTTCCTGGGGATCCCCCTCCATCAGCAAAGGACACTCGGAGCTGACTGCCAATAGGGTACTCGAAGCCGTCCAGCTTGTCCCGGGCATAGGATGCACACTGGGGGTTGGAGTAGCGTGCATACCCAATACCTGCAACACAGGGATATATAGTACCGTACAGTACCTGTGACACTGGGATATATAGCAGTGTACAGTATCTGCAACAGAGATGTATAGTACTGTACAGTACTTGCAATACAGGGATATATAGTAGTGTACAGTATCTGCAACACTGGGATATATAGAACTGTACACTATCTGCAACACAGGGATATATGGTATGGTACTGTACCATGTACCTGCAACACTGGGACATATAGTACCGTACAGTACCTGCGACACAGGGATAATTAATAATACTGTACAATGCCTCCAACACAGGGATATATAGTACTGTGCAGATCCTGCAACAGGGATATATAGTACTGTACAACACCTGCAACACAGGATATATGGATGTATTCAATACCTGTACATTTGAAATGTTTCACCTGTTGCGAAAAGTCATAGTAATCAAAACCAGGGAGGCTCCCAAAATATTGCAATTTGTAGAGCAACGATTGTCCTACCTGTTGACTCATTGAAGTCACAATACTCCAGTCCGGGGACGAGGCTGAAGAGCACGGACAGGTAGCGCTGGGGCAGACCTATCGCAGCAACGATCTGCAGCTTGACGCACGGTGAAGAGATGGGGTAGTTGTCCAGGATGTCAAGCGGACCCATCTGATTTGGCGTCATCGTGACTGCGGAGGAAAGATTCTGTCTAAGCTAGTCCATTTTGGCATGTTTGGTGGGAGTACCGATATCAAAGCACCGGGTAATTGGCATCCCACATTTAACCCTAGGCAGAGTCTAAATTGGGCACTATTAAATATGGTTCGAGATGGGTGGCACTTGAACATAATACAAACAGTTATTTCAAATAATTCTTCACATCCTAACAACTGCGCAATACAGTGAAATTTTCATATTCAAGTCTGCGGATTAAGAATATCCAATTGTAATTTCATGCTGAAAATGTTTCAATCAATTAGTCAATAAAAGATGTTATATCCTAAAAACTGGGCAATGAGAGAACTAAATTACACTAATATTATACCAAATTTAGACTAGTAACAAAGTTCCTGAGGTCATTTACTGACATAACATGCAACTCCACCCAAAGGGAAAAGCCCATCTACTCACAGTCTCGTCCTCCAAGAGGTCCACCAAGACCACCACCGAGACCACCGCCATGACCACCTCCAAGACCACCGCCAACACCACCTCCAAGACCACCGCCTAGACCTCCGCCTAGACCTCCACCTAGACCGCCCAGACCACCCATACCGCCGCCGCCATGCCCGCCGCCATGCCCACCGCCATGACCGCCGCCATGACCTCCGCCGTGCCCACCATGATCTCGATGGTCACGATGGCCTCCACCACCGCCATGTCGGTTGTAGCTGCCACCACCATAGTCATCATCGTACGACCTCTTCGACCCTGCGATAAGAAAAAATACATTTGAAAACTACTTTTATTGTTCCACCATGGTGGTCATTGTAAGGCTCTATTGACCCAGAAATACAACAAACAGATCTAAGAAGTCTAACTTCATGTATAATGCCACATTGTGGCTATCAGAGAGTGGGTGAATAGCGCCACAGCAAGCAATGTTTCAGCTATATCACAGCAGTCTGTATATAATCATATCTGCACCAGACAAAGCATATCATGGAACAAGCATCAACATCCAAATCATCAGGGTACATGGACTTGCATCAAGATCCACAGCATCAGGGTACATGGGCAAGCATCAAGATCCACAGCATCAGGGTACATGACCAAGCACCGAGATCCACAGCATCAGGGTACATGACCAAGTACCGAGATCCACATCATCAGGGTACATGACCAAGCACCGAGATCCACATCATCAGTGTAAATGGACATGAATCAAGATCCACATCATTAGGGTACATGACCAAGCACCGAGATCCACATCATTAGGGCTCATGACCATGCATCAAGATCCACATCATCAGGGTACATGAACAAACATCAAGATCCATGTAATAACGGTACATGAACAAGCATCAAGATCCACATCATCAGGGTACATGAACAAGCATCAAGATCCACATCATCAGGGTACATGGACATGAATCAAGATCCACATCATCAGGGTACATGAACAAGCATCAAGATCCACATCATCAGGGTACATGGGCAAGCACCGAGATCCACATCATCAGGGTACATGACCAAGCACCGAGATCCACATCATCAGTGTACATGGACATGAATCAAGATCCACAGCATCAGGGTACATGACCAAGCACCGAGATCCACATCATCAGTGTACTTGGACATGAATCAAGATCCACATCATTAGGGTACATGACCAAGCACCGAGATCCACATCATCAGGGTACATGACCAAGCACCGAGATCCACATCATCAGTGTACATGGACATGAATCAAGATCCACAGCATCAGGGTACATGACCAAGCACCGAGATCCACAGCATCAGGGTACATGACCAAGTACCGAGATCCACATCATCAGGGTACATGACCAAGCACTGAGATCCACATCATCAGTGTACTTGGACATGAATCAAGATCCACATCATTAGGGTACATGACCAAGCACCGAGATCCACATCATCAGGGTACATGACCAAGCACCGAGATCCACATCATCAGTGTACATGGACATGAATCAAGATCCACAGCATCAGGGTACATGACCAAGCACCGAGATCCACAGCATCAGGGTACATGACCAAGTACCGAGATCCACATCATCAGGGTACATGACCAAGCACTGAGATCCACATCATCAGTGTACTTGGACATGAATCAAGATCCACATCATTAGGGTACATGACCAAGCACCGAGATCAACATCATTGGGGCTCATGACCATGCATCATGATCCACATCATCAGGGTACATGAACAAGCATCAAGATCCACATCATCAGGGTATATGGACAAGCATCATGATCCACATCATCAGGGTACATGACCATGCATCGAGATCCATGTAATAACGGTACATGAACAAGCTTCAAGATCCACATCATCAGGCTACATGGACAAGCATCAAGATCCACATCATCTGGGTACATGAACAAACATCAAGATCCACATCATCAGGGTATATGGACAAGCATCAATATCCACATCATCAGGGTACATGGACAAGCATCAAGATCCACATCATCTGGGTACATGGAAAAGCATCAAGATCCACATCATCAGTGTACATAGACAAGCATCAAGATCAGACTTTAATGTGATTGGCCTGCAGATATATGACATATGAAAGGCAGGTGGCTACATTCTCCATACATGAGTTTGTTCATTGTTTTAACACCCCACTCAGCAATATTCCTGACTGTGACCTGTATATCATCCAGTCTGGACCAGAAAATCCAGTCACTGATTTAATTAGCACCGGGGTATGTTTAAGTCAATGAGCCGGATTACTGGATCCACACTGTCGCCTATAATTCCAGGCACAGATTGTAGGAGACCAACTCTAACATGGGATCCCCACAGGGCTACTTCAAGCATGCTGATACCGTATTTCTTGAGTATAGTTTTTAAAAAAAAACCAGCTGGGTAGAAGGGGGTGTTCATAATACACGCCATAATGAGTTTTGACATTTCTTTCCCCAAACGCAAAGACACTACCATGAGCATGTAACACCGGAAATACCATGTCAACAAATCCATACTGAAGTACGCAAATTAATCCTGTAATTACACTGTCTGGTTATAAAAAGTGTTCATTGTATATCTGGACTTACGTTTGTAACTTATTTCATTAATTGTATTCAAAATTCCTTTTAATATTGTTTAAATTAATTTAGGCGAAATCCTATGTGAAGCAATCGGAAAATCGCACAACTCACTGTTATTAACCGCAACCACGGTCGGATTACCGCTATTGACGCCTTGAAACAAACTTCAGTTGACAGTGATCGACTACATATATCATAAATGCCATACTTTGACTTGTTAAAAGTCATACTTGTTGTAGTTTGACAATTCTATGTCAACATGTTGTCCTCGCGATAACGTGCGCGGGAGCCTCGATGGTGACTGGTAAAACTGGTAAAAAATAACTGGCAAAAGCGATCAGCTGCACCGAAGTGCTATGCTGAGGGTTATCATTATTTGAAATATATTTAGTAAAAGCCGCAACTAAAATAACAAGATACTGGAATCTTAATCCCTGAATGTAAAACAATGCCTAGCAGAAAAAAAAATACAATTTAAACGGTAAATAAACATGTCTGGAGATTTTTTATCTCAAATTTCAAATTTCTACTGACCAAGTTTCTTATCACCTGTTTGTTTACAGGAATTCGCTAAAGGGGTATGATGTAAAAAAATTTCTGCGCATAATATAATTTCTTTTCCAAAATACTGAATCCGCTAGAGGGGGTGCGCATAACAGTTGGGAGCACAAGAAAATACGGTATTTGACACAGGCAAGGCAAGTGTTTGTGATAACCCACCTCTGTTCTGGTCATAGTAGAATTCTGGGTCGTCCATCTCTCGGACGCCTTTGGGGCGGGGAGGTTCAGCAAACATTGCCTTGTAACCTACAAGTGAAAATGTTCAAAATGAGTTTTTGTTTGTTTGTTGTTTAACGCCAATCAGCAATATGGATATGATGACATGCATCAACCAGTCAGAGAGCCTGAACATCTGATCTCGTCTGTCACCTCTTACCACAAGCATAGGTTGCTGAATACCTATTCTAACCCGGATGTTCTATATGAGGAAGGGAGGAAGTTAAAACCATGGAATATGTTAAGCAGTATCCACGCCAACATTCAAATAGGCTTAATTACACAATGACAAATTCAGAAATTGCAAAAAATTCTAATCTTAATCAAATTCCCACTTTTATAATGTTAAACATATACCCATAATATACACAATGGGCAAATTGACCACAATAGACACATATCCTGTCTGGAACAAGCTAAAAGCATGCTTACATGTGATAAATAGAGTGCAACTGCAGCCCATATTATCATTATAATAATGATTATCATTCTCAGTCATATTATGATAAAGTAAGAATCTTCTGATTGGCATTTGAAAATCTGGGCCCACTTCCACAAAGCAATCTTAGCACTACGACTATTGTAAGCCTCTGTTAAAGTATGGGAGTTACAATCATCTTCTCACTAAGATCGCTTTGTGCAACTGGGCCCTGGACTGTGCCTTCTGTACTGTGTATGTGTCATGGGAATTATCTCCCTTTGGATATGTGAAAAGATGTGGGAGAATAACTCAGTTATTCTTAATTATGTTTAAAGAAATGCGAGTTAATTATCAGTGATGAGGGTGTAACCCAGGTCTTACTCTTGTCACATTCCTCGAAGGCCTTGGCCGCATGATAGGGACGGAAATACTTGACATAGCCAAAACCTTTACTTTCACCGCCCTTGTTCCGGAGAACATTCACATAGTCAATGTCTCCATATTGCTGAAACAAAACAGGAAAGTTTACAATCTGAGTGAGTGAGTGAGTGAGTGAGTGAGTGAGTGAGTGAGTGGATTGATGGGTGGTCGAGCGAGCGAGTGTGTTTTGGGTGGGTGGGTAGGTGGGAGGGACATAACCACAGCACTTGTAATATATACTTGTAATATAGCAGTTTGGACAAGTGGTCAAACGTGTGATCACACAGAGGTATGATGTCACACTATCAGACAGGTTACGATGTCAAGCATGTCAGCATTGCATTCAATGCAATAATGTTATACTAAGGGCTCTCTCTACCATTTATCTACATATTGGTCCTGTTATTAGTGAACTGCAAGTCACCTCGGCCATAAGTTATAACTACAATGACTTGAATTGGGAAGTGTTTAATTCCTATTTGGGAATTTGTAATGACATTTGCTGCATACAAGGGGCATAACATGGCCTCTGATTAGATCCAGATAATTCCCTGGATCCGCATCACTGTGGTACGATGACACTCAATCAACAATGACACATTTTGCAATGGTAACCTATTCTGCACCAGTATCCCAACAGGGAGACAAGCATGACGTAATGGGGACCTATTCTGCCTCAGAATCCCAACAGGAAAGCAAGCATGATGTAATGGGGACCTATTCTACCAGGGAGACCAGCATGACGTAATGGGGACCTATTCTACCCCAGAATCCCAACAGGGAGACAAGCATGATGTAATGGGGACCTATTCTACCCCAGAATCCCAACAGGGAGACAAGCATGACGTAATGGGGACCTATTCTGCCCCAGAATCCCAACAAGGAGACAAGCATGACGTAATGGAGACCTATTCTGCCCCAGAATCCCAACAGGGAGACCAGCATGGCATAATGGGGACCTATTCTACCAGGGAGACAAGTGTTGGGTTTGAGGAATCCATCCTGCCCAGGAATCCCCAACTCTCCCTCCTACATCATGATGTCACCAAGTGTATGCAACCCTGCCAACTCACGCTGAACTCTGTCCGCAGGTCATCTTCTTTGAAGGATTTTGGAATAACAACAAATAATCGAAGAATTCTCTCCTCCTCTTTGGGGTCGCGAATAGATCCTTCTCTTTTACTATTTGCAATGACAACCTGAAAGATAAGGAAACAAAGTAAACACCTTGAAAACTGGACATATCATGACATAGGTAACTAGAACATTGAAAACATCTCGAGCTCGCAAAGAAACCTACAGCAAAGAGATGCAAATATATCGTTGCAGCACCTTGAACTGGTGGGCCATCATTAGCATCTGAGTCCTTCAGACAAGATTCCCTAAGAAAAACTGCATAACGTATTAGCTTGACTATGTAACAACAATCATAAGATATGTTCTTCCTTATAGCTTTATTTATCAATTATGAAAGATAGTAAGTATGGTAAGTAAAGTGAGTGAGTGGGTCAGTTGGGTTACTTCTGCTTTGAACAGTATTTTATGTTCTATCACAGTGGGTCAGCTTGACAAGGGAGGAAAGCCCGAAGTGATCCAAACCACTTTGGGGAAACCCACAAGCACCTAGAAACAGAATGAGGGCGAACTAGGATTCAAACCGACGACCATAGGTTTCTAAAGTGCCCAAGGAACGCAACACTGAACAGCATATTGCGGCACTTAAGACGACTGGGTCACCCATGCCACCTGGTAAGTAAAGACAATATGTTTGTATTTCCTACCTTGAGTGGTCGAGGCTGCCCCTCTATGTTTCTTCCATTCATCTCCTCCATCGCCAAGGCTGCCTCCGAAGTACGACTGAATGTGATGTAGGCAATTCCTGCAGACAAGAAAAACATAACCGGTACTCCATTACTTCTAGTTCTAGAAATAATCCATAATTTTTATAAAAAGGTGAAACCACAATAAACATTGCCTTGGAGACTGACTAGAGTTTTATACAGAGTACTCGTTAACTACCTTTTATAGTCATAAAATCAATAAGAATTCGACATGGTAAATTTGGTATTAAAGGTCATGGAATGTCCGGTTATCCAAGATATTTGTGATCCTAACTATACACAATCACATATCACAAATATCCTAACTAAAGTAACTGAACCTGACCACCCAATCCATTTGGTCACCTCATACGAGCAGCATAGGTTGCTAGGGACCAATTGTAACCCGGAATTCCCCCAGACACAATGGAAAGGAAATACTTGTGTGAAGTTAAAACACTAAAAGTTGGGAAAACATAATTTGAAAGCTACAAGTATTGTGTATGCCTACAATGTTGGTACATACCCAAAGGTTCCACTGGATATTACAACCAAAGAATTCCCAAGGTATCCAATTTATGCTCTAGTGTTTTTCTATATATTCCCAATGTAAGGGTAAATTGAAGTTTTGGTGTTTTTTCAATGTATGTGATAAAACTACACTATATTTTATGAGATTGCGAATCTGATGACAAAAGCTCACAACAACATGAACTATAAGGACAATTCTTAATCGACAATTGTTATTGTCAAATATTTCACGTAAATATAGTGAGTGAGTGAGTTTGGTTTTACGCCACTTTTAGCAATATTCCAGCAATATCACAGCAGAGGACACCAGAAATGGGCTTCACACATTGTACCCATGTGGGGAATCGAGCCCAGATCTTCGGTGACGAGCGAACGCTTTAACCACTAGGCTACCCGACCGCCCCTCATGTAAATGTACCGGTAACTTACTGCGTTCCTTTTACGCATCATTAGATTCTAAAATGATATAAAATGACAATTTGATGATTTCGTGATTGTACAGTACATATGTAAACATGGTAAGATACAGTCTTATTTTTGGTTGTTCAACATAAAAGAGAGTGTATTTCAGCTATATGACGGCGGTCTGTAAATAAATCGAGTCTGGACCAGGCAATCCAGTGATTGTCATCATGAGCATCGATCTACACAATTGGTATACGATGACACACATCAACCAAGTCAGCGAGCCTGACCACCTCTTACGACAAGCATAGTCACCTTTTACGGCAAGCATGGGTTGCTGAAGACCTATTCCACCCCGGATCTTCACGGAATGCAAGTCAATACATCTACTGAGTGAGTGAATCATGTTCCGGGGTGTGAAACCACAGAGTGAGTGTCTCCTAAGGAAAATAAAAGTGTGATCGTAACATTTTAACACATGCTGGACAGATTAAGTTTAATCATCAGTTTCACTCAAGCTACCAACATAGAAGGTGTACACAACTTCAGCATGTGAATTTGTAAAGAGATATGAACATCACACTTTTTGATAATTATGTGTGATACTTTGCAACATATGATAACCAATGTTTCGTGCGATTTACCGGATAATGAAATTTGCAGCAGCATTAACTTACATGCTAAGCTGATAGTGGACCATTAAACATATAATTTTACCACAATGCATGTACCTATACTTAAATTAGAAAAGGAATCTGTCAAATACACTTAACAATATTTAAATATTTATTTATGTGAATTTTGCAAGATAGAGAAAGAAACTTGATGCATGTATTTTGAGAGTGTGAATATGTGTTTGAATTCTGGCAAAACTTTTTCATATAGTTTTTACAAGATTCAATGTATGTTTTGGTGAAATAAGTGCAAAACCTGCAAATAATCATATTATTATGTTACCTAAGAGACACATTTTTATTTCTAGTTTAAAGAAAAGGAAACCCTCAATGGACGTTTTTAAACAAGTATTAAAAGATGCTATTTATTTGGAATATCTGTCAGCAAAAACTAATAATAAGCTTTGCACTTATAACAGAAAGTGGAAATTGTATTGTGGTTTACATGATGCCTTGAATCTTACATAGATTGCTGACTGTGTGTTATTATTGATTGTTTCCAATCACTTTGACTCTATTGCAAAAGAAAAACTGCAATGTTTCTCCAAGATAAAAAAAATAAAATGATTACAATATTATAATTCGGTACTGTTTATTCTTTAATTATTAGCTTATCTTTCTATGATTGCTCATAAATATGATGTTAACAACTTTCATGCCAGAACATCATAAGAAATAGCTGCGATGTTTTTCATGCCAGAACATCTTGCTCGATCCTACATGATCAAGGCCTATCCTCCAAATATGTGGTGTCAAAATGTTAATAATGCTATATATCACTGTGTATGTAACCACTGAAACTGGAATAAAAATGATTGGAAAAAAAAAAAATATTCAACTATTTGTATGATAACATAACAGTCAACATGTTCAATAATGAAAACTAAGCATTAAAGCTTCTTGAAGTCTTCTTCTTCATGGGTCCTGGTCTCAGTGAAATAAGTCGACACATTAGCTCTAACTATATTAACCAGGTTAACCATGATTATGTTAATGAAATAGGAACACATAAATTCCAATTTGGGATTTTTTATGTACATTTGGTGCAGACTTGGGGCCAAAACAGGCCTAGATAATTCCCTGTCTTCTCCAATTTCATTATCCGACATCTACTGGTTGATACAACAAAGATACAACAGAACCTTGGGGACAAGGTGTTAGAAAGATGTCCACGATATTCTGTAAATTGCAATTGCACTGACGAAGCTAGAAAAGTATTTTTAAGAACGTTATGAAGACGTGAATAGTTGAAAATGTGAAGCTGCCATTGGATATCAAATAGTGAAAGTGAAGTACTAAGTCTGCATGATCATGACGATATCGCAGCTATTTCGGGGACGCTATTTCTTACGATCGATGCCGACACAATGAGCCCATTCTTTCTTCAATTCGTCTTCAAATTCTAGTGCAAGGAAGAACGCAGAAAACATCATATGACTTCTAAATGCCACACTCATAGATATGGAAACTGAGAAAATGTTTATTTCGAGGGAATTATCATTTTAGCATAAAGATTTATCTTCTATTAATGGTTTGACGGAGTTATCTGCCCTTGGTCGTGGTCTCATGCGAAGTTTTTTCTGCAGTTTCATACCTTTTTCTTCATTTGTGCGCCTATCTTTCACGATCCAAAGGTCCTTGATAGTTCCATATGTAGCAAAAGTTTTCTTAAGCATTTCATCTGTGGCGCCTTTGCCACACATGATAAACAAACGCGTATTTGGTGCATCTTCGTGGTTGTACGCCATCTTGGACATTTAGTGGCTTGAGTTATGTGTAACGGTAATTACCAATAACAGAATATCTGGAAGGTTTCGATAATAAAGCACAATACCGTAGTGTATATAACGTTATTATTTTATTCGAAGAGCTATCGTCTCTTGAGTGTATCTTTTAATTATATAAACAAACAATGATAGCAATATCATATTTTAAACAAGATCACAAACAGATTACTCCCAGCCACGTGATCTATTAGACGCTGAGCTATAAATAGCCCTAAACACGGAAACTATATAACATAAACAAGATCATCGTATTCTGGTTCTGAACAGGTAGCGTATCTAACTGATTTAGTCTCATTATACATTTTCTCAGGACATTCTCACACTTATCCAGAAAAAATACATTTCTCTCGTTGAATATGTCAAAGATCTAGCCAGTAACCAGGAATTGATCGTGTTTGTATTCAGTCAGTATTCCCAGGAATGCGTTGCTGTGCACGCACATTTTTTTTTATCCCATCAAAGATGTAGATCTATATGGATCTATATACGTCTTTGGACCCCTGTATCCCACTTCGGCCGTGTAGGATACACCATCGGCCTATAAAAAAATATTTGGGATGTGTATGTGCCGTCACCAACATGTTTTCTGATATGCATAACGGGTTAATGCTCCAAGAAAGTCTCCGCCCTTAGGAGTACTTGGACCGATTAAGGTTCTGGGATGGACTGTCTTTTTCGTTTGTTTGTTTGGAATGGTCACGTCAGCCGGAATGGGGTTACATTTTAATATTGCTGACTGGTTTTCGTCTTGGGAGAAATGTGAGCATGCATTCACGTTTCTCCCAAAGAAACAAGCAAACAGACTCACAGTTTAAGATAAATACACACACACACACACACACACACACACACACACACACACACACACACACACACACATATATAGTGAAATAACAATGTGTAATCACACATATTAAAAAACCCAAAGAAACACAAAAAATAAAATATATATTTATATATATTCATTTTTTATAAGGTCACAATATAGTTGTAAGTAGAAATGCTCGTCCACCTGATTTACATATACGACTGATGGACTGACTGAATATTGAAATGATAATATAGACCGTGTATAGATCAACAATGTTGATAAAAATATGTGTGAATGCAGAGATGAATTGCGTGCTTACACATGTGCATATAGGGACACTGATAGTGTTTATGTGGATAAAAATATGTGAATATTGTCTGTTTATGTGATCAATTATTGTTAGTTTTCATCATTCTTTTTTCTGTATGTATCATGTACATGGTGTCAACGAAATCTTGTGTCGTTTAAGCCAGTTTGGTGGCCATTTGGCGCCGTGCCGGTTTTGTCAGATCCATTTATAGCATACAGTTTAGTGAATTTCGCACTCTGAATGTACTTATTTGTATTATTATACGGACAGTGTGAAACACTGCATATGTGAATATTGCACTTTATCGTTTCTAAATTATTCGATATTTTTCATCCATGAATTCAATTTATTGTATCTAAAGCATATTCTGCTTCAAGACCCTGATAAGGAACTCTTTGTCCTTGAATTTAAAACTTTGTATTAATTGTGCTTCCTGGCCCGCTTTGGTTAAAAGTCACGTGGAGACCGAGATTATTTAGAGATTTGTTTGTTTCACGAATTGTTTCACATACATGTATATAGTTTGTCGTTCATGGTCTACGTTTTCAAAGTAACACCATCCCCCCGATTATCCGGTTTTCACCCGTACCGCTCTTGACTAAGGTTATTGATACCCACAACCAATCTGCATGTAAGACCAGATGACACTGTAATCATTGGACGCCCTGACCCGTGAAAATCCGGGGTAGAATAGGTCTCCAGCAACACATACTTGTCGTAAAAGGCGTCTATGCTTGTCGTAAGAGGCGACTAACGGGATCGGGTGGTCAGGGTCGCTGACTTGGTTGATACATGTCATCGTATCCCAATTGCGCGGATAGATGCTCATGATGTCAATCACTGGACTGTCTGACCCAGACTCGATTATTTACAGACTGCCGTCATATAGCTGGAATAATGCCGAGTGCGGCGTTAAACAACAAACAAACATTAGACGACCTATGATGTAGGCGACTTTGGTAGTATTGGCACATTCGTGTAAGATAAGTAAATATCTATATCATATCATCCTAAGTTATTCAGTGTATTATGTCTACATTCTGTGATGATAAATACAATGGACCCAATAGCTATGCTAAAATGGATTGGACGTCTATTTTTAGCGTCTTTCCATTCTAATGGGGCAGAAAACCAAGAAAGGGATCGTATGGGCCCAGGGTATATATAGCAAAATAGAATCGAGATGTGTATATGACATGCTTGAAGCTATGTCTATCACAATAGAATCGAGATATTTATATGACACGATCGAAGGTATATATATAATGAATCGGGATATGTGTATCACATGTTTGTAGCAATGTATATCAAAATAGAATCGACCTATGTGTATCACATGCTTGTAGCAATGTATATCAAAATAGAATCGAGCTATTTATTTGATGTGGTTATAGATATTATGACTTGTTCTCGTCGGTGTATGGGTGAAGCAGTGGCGAGGTGACGTTAAATCATGACTGACTCTCAAATTCTCGTGGATAATAAAATCGAGGATGATGTCATATTAATGTGTTTATTTTGTTCAGGTTCAATGGCGTCGCTGGCGGAGCAACTAAGAAACTGCAAGTTAAAGAAAGTAACAGAACCCATTAAAGATTTCTCCAGTCCCAAAACAGCCGGCTACATTAGTCAAGAGGAGATAACTCTCTACCAAAACTCTGTCCTTGATGTTAATACTGAGAAATGGATGCACATTCTTAAAGAGCTGACCTTTCCGACAGAGTTATGTCCCTTGAAAATCGAAGAAGCGAGACTCTTTGTACAAATATTTGAAGACTGCTACAGGAATCTTGATTCTGAACAAATCTGTGACGTCAACTGGAGAGATACGTTAACGTCAGACGGAAAAATAATAATTGAAGACGTCACTCAGCGTTTGGAATCGGTCATGAACAAATTTACAGCAAGAGATGGTTTTGCTTTTGTGAAGACGTCAAGCAGGAGCGCCAAGGATGCGCCGATGGTCCAACGTCGATTCAAAGATGTGTATCACAAGTATTTAATGGAATTACCAGAAGACAAACAGAAAAATGAAAATATCCAAATTACGTGCCTTCTCAAAGCTGGATTTGAAGGCCTCAAAGTTAAAACTGCTGAAGAAGTGGTTGATATGATCTTGAGGAGTGAACGTATCTACCAAGATATGTTGCTAGCTCTGGAAATCAAAGGCAGATTTGAAGAGAACTTTGTCGTGAGGAAATTCGTTGATATTGATGTTGATATGGAGTTTAGGGGTTTTGTGTTCGGGGGAGAGCTTGTAGCCTTGTCGCAGTACAACTATCTGATTTTCTCGCAGAGGCTCCTAGACACGAGGGACCATCTCAAGGATATTCTTTGCAAATATTTTAATGACAAGGTACGGCCGATGATGAAAGAAGGGGAATTTCCAACAGCATACATAATCGATTTTGCAGTTTGTGAAAACGGTAAGCACACACATATACAAACACTGTTCGGCCTTGCATTATCGGTTCATGTCCGGATCAACCTATTGTGAGATAGAATACCGGATTCCCAATATTATGCTAAGCGCCCACGGTCTGTGTCACTTTCGGTGTGCCTCCCACGTGATGACGAAACGCCGTGATATAATTGTTATATTGTTCAATGCAGCGTTGATATTACATGACATCGAACAGTGTTGTCGAACGGTGTATTAGAGCCCAAGGGATGAATGAGGTTGAAATACTGGCAGGAGGATCAAAGCAACCACCAACAGATAATTTTAATTCTATGGGACGCAACTCTGCCAAGAGAATTGCGAATTTAGACCATTTGTCCATCCGTCATCGCTGGTTCAAACCGAACCACTGGCATCTATAGGGTTGTCACATTCTGTCTGTGGCGTGAGGTAATATGGGTGAAACATCGCTTTCAAGACTGCTTCCCTGATACAGCGACTTGGATACCCGTGAACATCCGGGTTAGAATAGGTCTTCAGCAAACCATGCTTGCCGTAAAACGACTATGCTTGTCGTAATAGGCGCTTAACGGGTGGTCAGGCTCGCTGACTTGGTTGGTGCGTGTCATATCCCAATTGCGTGGATCGATGCTCATGATGTCAATCACTGGATTGTCTGGTCCAGATTCGATAATTTACAGCTTATTTACGTCATATAGCTCGAATACTGCTGAGTGCGGCATTAAACAACAAAGAACAAAAACACACAAACACGTATATGGCGTTGTTGCGGCTTTTTATCATTATCCGGATAAATTACGGCTTAATAGAGCTTGTCCACTGAGAATGCTGCATTTTAACATGGATGCCCTAATCAGACCCAATATATATAAGGACTCCGAGACGGCCTGTCCTCTTTTTATTCCGTTAAACCGATGAACAACTAACAAGTACCATCGATTAACGTCTTTTGGTATGACGCGGCCAGTGCCAGGGGCAGCGGACAGAACCACCGATCGTTCGTTCAAGAAAGACGGTCTATCCATGACACCCAGGAGGCGGTCTCATTCTGTCAGTGAATCTAGTCGGGTGTATAAATAGTTTTTTTATTTTACCTTCATTACGATACTTGTTTCTGATTGGTTATTGAATGGACAGTTTTTCCCATGTACCCCGCTAACAGATAAGGTTTTACTTTCATATACCCCACTAGGAAATGCCGAATCTCTTACTTTTGCGAATACAGTAATATCATTCAATTATCTCACAAGTGAACACCTATCAAATGCAGTATAGCGGATCTAATCGAGAATATCCGATTGCAATGCAAGGGCGATAACTCTGGTCGTGTTTATATCATCCTTGAAACGGTTCGCGAGCAATGCTGACGAAGACATGTTAGATACATGGGCTACAATTATGCCGTTAAGTCCACACAGGCCCATCTGTCGTTGCTTAAATAGCTCTAGATTAATCCAAATGGCGAGTTTCAGAAATGCACTATCCTAATATATCTTGCGTAAAGATAATTTGGAAAGTGCATTTCTGACACTCATACTATATTAATTGATCTAGAAATCCACTGTACCAGACACTACACACCCACTAAAGTACAACATACTATGACTGTTTTCTGTGTTATCCAGGTGACAAGCTGTGGGTGATCGAGATTAACCCTTTCGCCGAGACGACGGACGGCGGCTTGTTCAGTTGGCAGCACGAGCGCCATCTGCTGGAGGGAAAAGAAGGATTTCAGTTCCGGATTGTGGAGCGACCTAAACCTGGGGCCAAGGCGATGTTACCCCAGAGCGTCAAGGCGTTGTTGAAATAGGGGGAGGGGTGTGGAACTGGGACAAAGGCGTTGTTACCCCAGAACGTCAAGGCGTTGTTGAAATAGGAGGAGGGGTGTGGAACTGGGGCCAAGGCGTTGTTGAAATAGAGGGAGGGGTGCGGAACTGGGACCAAGTCGTTGTTGAAATAGAGGGAGGGGTGTGGAACTGGGCCCAAGGCGTTGTTGAAATAGAGGGAGGGGTGTGGAACTGGGCCCAAGGCGTTGTTGAAATAGAGGGAGGGGTGTGGAACTGGGACCAAGGCTATGTTACCCCAGAGCGTCAAGGCGTTGTTGAAATAGGGGGGGGGGGGGGGGGGGGGGTAGGGGGTTGTAAAACTGGGACCAAGGCGTTGTTGAAATAGAGGGAGGGGTGTGGAACTTGGACCAAGGCTATGTTGCCCCAGAGCGTCAAGGCGTCGTTGAAATAGGGGGGGTTGTAAAACTGGGACCAAGGCGTTGTTGAAATAGAGGGAGGGGTGTGGAACTGGGCCCAAGGCGTTGTTGAAATAGAGGGAGGGGTGTGGAACTGGGACCAAGGCTATGTTACCCCAGAGCGTCAAGGCGTTGTTGAAATAGGGGGGGGGGGGGGGGGTTGTAAAACTGGGACCAAGGCGTTGTTGAAATAGAGGGAGGGGTGTGGAACTGGGCCCAAGGCGTTGTTGAAATAGAGGGAGGGGTGTGGAACTGGGACCAAGGCGTTGTTGAAATAGGGGGAGGGGTGTGGAACTGGGACCAAGGCTATGTTACCCCAGAGCGTCAAGGCGTTGTTGAAATAGGGGGGGGGGGGGGTTGTAAAACTGGGACCAAGGCGTTGTTGAAAGAGAGGGAGGGGTGTGGAACTGGGCCCAAGGCGTTGTTGAAATAGAGGGAGGGGTGTGGAACTGGGCCCAAGGCGTTGTTGAAATAGAGGGAGGGGTGTGGAACTGGGACCAAGGCGTTGTTGAAATAGGGGGAGGGGTGTGGAACTGGGACCAAGGCGTTGTTGAAATAGAGGGAGGGGTGTGGAACTGGGACCAAGGCTATGTTACCCCAGAGCGTCAAGGCGTTGATGAAATAGAGGGAGGGGTGTGGAACTGGGGCCAAGGCGTTGTTGAAATAGAGGGAGGGGTGTGGAACTGGGACCAAGGCGTTGTTGAAATAGAGGGAGGGGTGTGGAACTGGGACCAAGGCTATGTTACCCCAGAGCGTCAAGGCGTTGTTGAAATAGGGGGGGGGGGGGGGTTGTAAAACTGGGACCAAGGCGTTGTTGAAATAGAGGGAGGGGTGTGGAACTGGGCCCAAGGCGTTGTTGAAATAGAGGGAGGGGTGTGGAACTGGGCCCAAGGCGTTGTTGAAATAGAGGGAGGGGTGTGGAACTGGGACCAAGGCGTTGTTGAAATAGGGGGAGGGGTGTGGAACTGGGACCAAGGCGTTGTTGAAATAGAGGGAGGGGTGTGGAACTGGGACCAAGGCTATGTTACCCCAGAGCGTCAAGGCGTTGATGAAATAGAGGGAGGGGTGTGGAACTGGGGCCAAGGCGTTGTTGAAATAGAGGGAGGGGTGTGGAACTGGGACCAAGGCGTTGTTGAAATAGAGGGAGGGGTGTGGAACTGGGACCAAGGCTATGTTACCCCAGAGCGTCAAGGCGTTGTTGAAATAGGGGGGGGGGGGGGGGGGTTGTAAAACTGGGACCAAGGCGTTGTTGAAATAGAGGGAGGGGTGTGGAACTGGGCCCAAGGCGTTGTTGAAATAGAGGGAGGGGTGTGGAACTGGGACCAAGGCGTTGTTGAAATAGGGGGAGGGGTGTGGAACTGGGACCAAGGCGTTGTTGAAATAGAGGGAGGGGTGTGGAACTGGGACCAAGGCTATGTTACCCCAGAGCGTCAAGGCGTTGATGAAATAGAGGGAGGGGTGTGGAACTGGGGCCAAGGCGTTGTTGAAATAGAGGGAGGGGTGTGGAACTGGGCCCAAGGCGTTGTTGAAATAGAGGGAGGGGTGTGGAACTGGGACCAAGGCTATGTTACCCCAGAGCGTCAAGGCGTTGTTGAAATAGGGGGGGGGGGGGGGGGGTTGTAAAACTGGGACCAAGGCGTTGTTGAAATAGAGGGAGGGGTGTGGAACTGGGCCCAAGGCGTTGTTGAAATAGAGGGAGGGGTGTGGAACTGGGACCAAGGCGTTGTTGAAATAGGGGGAGGGGTGTGGAACTGGGACCAAGGCGTTGTTGAAATAGAGGGAGGGGTGTGGAACTGGGACCAAGGCTATGTTACCCCAGAGCGTCAAGGCGTTGATGAAATAGAGGGAGGGGTGTGGAACTGGGGCCAAGGCGTTGTTGAAATAGAGGGAGGGGTGTGGAACTGGGACCAAGGCGTTGTTGAAATAGAGGGAGGGGTGTGGAACTGGGACCAAGGCGTTGTTGAAATAGGGGGAGGGGTGTGGAACTGGGACCAAGGCGTTGTTGAAATAGAGGGAGGGGTGTGGAACTGGGACCAAGGCTATGTTACCCCAGAGCGTCAAGGCGTTGATGAAATAGAGGGAGGGGTGTGGAACTGGGGCCAAGGCGTTGTTGAAATAGAGGGAGGGGTGTGGAACTGGGGCCAAGGCGTTGTTGAAATAGAGGGAGGGGTGTGGAACTGGGACCAAGGCTATGTTACCCCAGAGCGTCAAGGCGTTGATGAAATAGAGGGAGGGGTGTGGAACTGGGGCCAAGGCGTTGTTGAAATAGAGGGAGGGGTGTGGAACTGGGACCAAGGCGTTGTTGAAATAGAGGGAGGGGTGTGGAACTGGGACCAAGGCGTTGTTGAAATAGGGGGAGGGGTGTGGAACTGGGACCAAGGCGTTGTTGAAATAGAGGGAGGGGTGTGGAACTGGGACCAAGGCTATGTTACCCCAGAGCGTCAAGGCGTTGATGAAATAGAGGGAGGGGTGTGGAACTGGGGCCAAGGCGTTGTTGAAATAGAGGGAGGGGTGTGGAACTGGGGCCAAGGCGTTGATGAAATAGAGGGAGGGGTGTGGGACTGGGACCAAGGCTATGTTACCCCAGAGCGTCAAGGCGTTGATGAAATAGAGGGAGGGGTGTGGAACCGGGGCCAAGGCGTTGATGAAATAGAGGGAGGGGTGTGGAACTTGGACCAAGGCTATGTTACCCCAGAGCGTCAAGGCGTTGTTGAAATAGAGGGAGGGGTGTGGAACTGGGGCCAAGGCGTTGATGAAATAGAGGGAGGGGTGTGGAACTGGGACCAAGGCGTTGTTGAAATAGGGGGAGGGTGTAAAACTGGGACCAAGGCGTTGATGAAATAGAGGGAGGGGTGTGGAACTGGGACCAAGGCGTTGTTGAAATAGGGGGAGGGTGTAAAACTGGGACCAAGGCGTTGATGAAATAGAGGGAGGGGTGTGGAACTGGGACCAAGGCGTTGTTGAAATAGGGGGAGGGTGTAAAACTGGGACCAAGGCTATGTTACCCCAGAGCGTCAAGGCGTTGTTGAAATACAGGGAGGGTGTAGAACTGGGACCAAGGCGTTGTTGAAAAAGAGGGAGGGGTGTGGAACTGGGACCAAGGCTATGTTACCCCAGAGCGTCAAGGCGTTGTTGAAATAGGGGGAGGGTGTAAAACTGGGACCAAGGCTATGTTACCCCAGAACGTCAAGGCAATGTTGAAGTGAACATTGTATGGATTGCTGACTCTAGTATTGTGTTAATGTTTCATGTTATATTTTACCATTTGTACATCTGATGTAACTCCACCGTCCCAGCTTTCAGCTCTGTATGTTTGCCAGTATATTGTCCTGCACTTTTCACGAATATTAACCAATTATTCAGATCTGAAATATTAGTTTTATATTTCCTTTATGAGATGACAATAAAACGGGTATTTTCACAGACTGTACCCTTGTTATAATTCAATAAGTCAATTAATTAAGGAAGTGAAGTTTTTAACGCTCCGGTCAGTAATTTTCCACATGTCAAAACGATCTGTAAAGTATCGTTAAGATCCAGGTGAGATTGTGTCTTCCAGCAACCCATGCTTGTCTAAGAAGCGACTAACGGGGGTGGCCCGGCTCGCTAACTTGGTTGACGCATGTCATCGTATGCTCATGATGTCAATATTGCTGGAATATTGCCAAGCACGGCGTAAAACAAAACACAAATTATTTGTATGTATGTATGTATGTATGTATGTATGTATGTATGTATGTATGTATGTATGTGAGCGTGCGTGCGTGCGTGCGTAAATACTCGCGCGCAGACCGCACCAAAAGGTGGATCGAACCTGTGTAGTTTATTCATCGCGGTTGTTGGAACATATGCCCCGTTCGACATGTCAACCACTGGGTCACATGACCTTTCAAACGTTTCGTGGGCGGATATTAAAGACTAGGCTTCGGAGCTTTACACCTCTATCGTATGCTTGTCGTAAGACATTCGTCACCACTCGCCTCTTTCCGTAACCTGCAAGAATCGCTATTCGGCTTGTCCCGGAATAACACGAGTTGGTCACGAATGGTCGTAAGAGACGACTAACGGGATCGGGTGGTCAGACTCGCTGACTTGGTTGATGCATGTCATCGTAACCTAATTGTGTGGATCGATGCTCATGATGTCAATCACTGGATTGTCTGGTCCAGATTCGATTATTTACAGACCGCCGTCATACAGTTGTACTATTGCTGAGTGCGGCTTTAAACAACAAACAAACAACAATTTTCTTTTGCCGGGCAGTTTAAATGCGGTATACTGTATCACATTATTTATCGAAACAACAAATTCAAACGGGAAACAAATCTCTACAAATCACTATGCGAATATTACTTTAAATACCGGTGAATGTATTAGCCGACAGCGAGGACACCCGACACACGCTGTATCGATCACAAGAACCGCTCCGTTCTGTGCAGACTGGGCTGGTGCCACGAGAACGTTCTTGCCTGAGTAGAATTCGCTGCGATACACGCTGCTCCTTGGACACATTGAATGTAGGAGTCACACGTATAGATGTAGGAGCATGTCGCGCATATGGGAGCGGACATTATGTTGTATATATTTATTGATTTAAAATCAAATAATTAAATTTCTCATTGTGACAGAACCGTCACGCCATTCTTTGGATCAGGCTGCAGTCGGTGGTGCAGTGTGTAGAGGGGAATGTGCGAGTAACTTTCCATTCCTGAATAATTATGGAGCCGAGCCATAATAATGTTTATCATAGTGTCACATGTTATATACACTTCATACTAAAACACGTACACGAACAATACAATATGACATCCGACCAGGTATGGCCTACGAGACACTTAGACATAAAAGCAAATTATAACGTCAT